AAAACATATTTCTAGGACTTAGAAATAATGTTTATTGGTTCTTAAATCTTGATTTAATTTTAATATGAGCAAGACATTGATTTGTCTTGTGCTGTTACATTCAAATTAAAGGTGAGTTCATTAATTGGAATAATATTCTAGTGAATTGGGCAAAGATTTTTTGTGTTTTGTGAAATATTAATTATGGATAGAATCCATGTCTCGTTTAGAGTTTTGATGATGGCCTTTAAGTAAGCTTATAAGTTTTGCATGTGTAACCCTGCAGGTGGATATTGAATCCGACACATGAAATAAGTTGAGCCGATCAATATTAAATTATATTGTGATTTAAATATAAATTGGTCAGTAAGTTATGTTAAATGACAGCATCTCTATCTTAACTATGGGGAAACATTTATTTTATTATGTTGTGGGAATGTAAAATAATAAGGAGTTCATCATGAGTTTTTTTAGTGGACATAATTCATGATTAATTATAATAAGAATATGTTGTCTGACATAGGTTCTTTGATTATATTAGTAGCCCTGATTTTTTTATTCCCTGGCGGTCCTGTAAGTGCCTAATTAATTTGGAAAGTTAAGGGGTTGTATTAAAATAGATAAATTACTTTAGTTTTAAACCAATAATTGAATTTTATTTTAATATAATTTTTTTATTTTAAATTTATTTTATATTAAAAAATATCTTCCTATCGAAGGAGGTTTTTTAATATAAGATTGGAAAAACCCTAAGAATATAGAGACACACGTTATTCTATCCTCTGCCACTCAAGAGTTCCAAAAAAGGAGAGATAGTTAGGGATTACTGCAGAAGATCGTTGGGTGACTCCGAGATTCTGAAAAGAAGACCGGTGAGCCGATTCTGGCGCTTCAAGAGGTCAGTTTAATTGATTTGTTCGATATATGTTTTTAGTTTGCCTCATATGGTTTCGATAAGGGTTGTTTTCCGCTTTATCCCGCTCCCATCAGCATTGAATGGTTGTCGCGTTCAAGAATCTTCCTTCTTTGCTTGTGTACTTACCAATTTTTAATAAGAGGTCAGTTTATTGATTTGTTCGATAATGTTTTTAGTTTGCCTCATATGGTTTCGATAAGGGTTGTTTCCGCTTTATACCCGCTCCCATCAGCATGAATGGTTGTGCGTTCAAGAATCTTCTTCTTTGCTTGTGTACTTACCAATTTAATTGAGTATACTGTTTCTTAATTTGTTTATATATTGGATAAATGACGAGGCAAAAACTTTACTTCTAATTTAAAAAATAAAAAGATATATGCACAATATATATTAATATATTAAAATAATTAGTAATTTTATATTTTATTAGTAATAATTGTTAAAATTATATTATTAAATAATTATTCATTCCATTACCTTAAATTTAACAGTTTTTTTATCCCTTTTATTCTATTTTTTTATATATATATATAAACCTTGCACACGTCATCGATTAGTGTTGGAGTAAACTTGAGAGATAACTTGCGTGTCTTAAATAAAATAATTCTAATATATTCTCTCTTTTTTTTCAAAAGTTTGACAACTCTAGAGAAACAGTCAACTGCTTTTTTTAACTTTATTTTTCAATTTTTGAATTTTCATGCAAAACTTTTGCTGGTTGGATTTTCTTTTTCTCAATCCGTTCAAAATCTAGTTCCAGACTTTTTATTTTTTTTTATTTCAAAGGACTACACGTTTTGCTCATACGAGATATTTTATGGTGCTTCTCTATTCATTCCTTTGAATGTACATTCTCCTCAACTCAACCATACACGTGTCTTCCCGTCATTTTCTTTTCTGACCTCTCATATTTGACGCGTAAGCAAATTTGGGAACTGCAAAGGACATACGTGTCCAGGAAAAATTTAATTAATTATTATTCGTCTCAATTTATGAAATTCAAAAAATAAAATTTAATGAATTTACTGGATAAATAGAATAGATAAATTCTATTATGATTTTAATTTCATTGTTTTAAGAAAAAAAGAAAACCAGATCGAGATTTTTAATTTTATTATTTTTCCAAATTTCAAAAGATTTGAAAGGATCTTTCTTTTTAATAAAAAAGACCTCTCATTCCGCTGTGGTTGATGTTGTTGTGGCTGATTGTCGTTTTTCCTTAAAACGAGCAGGGATTACGTGGTCGTTCAGACGGTTAATTGACCACCGTCCGTGCTTTTCAAAGTGAACACTTGGCTGCTCCATGACTCTAGTCAATGATAGTTGACCAACTGATTAACCGTTATTCTATCCAGAAGTTTCTTCTAGCACAATCAAGCCGCCCAATGAAGATTATTGGCTCTTTAATTGTCATTGAAGTTTCGAATAAGATTTACCCTTATCCGCTCCATAAATTTTACAACACAGCGTCAAACAAATGCAAAATTTATTTATATTTTATCTTTTTTTATATAATCAACAGTAAAAAATATTTTATTCAATTAAAAAATTATTTTTAATTACCTGTACTCAAGATTAAATAATTCGTTATAATAAAAATTTAGTTAATTTGTTTCATTCATTTTTATTGTAAATGTGTAATACAAGAGTTTCTGAAAATAAAAAATTATTGTTATCATTATGCGAGTTCTAATTCATCTAGACTACAGTCAACAAAAAGAAACTAATATATATAAATATATAATATTTAGTCAAGAAGTTTTAATATTTAATTCAATTTTTTTGAATCGAAAGAGCGGATACATGGTTACGAACTTACGACACGTAAACATGTTAATCAACCGCGATGCGTCTCTAAAACGCAGTCGGTGTGGTGGGGCTGTAGAAGATACGGGCCCGTAGTAGTTGGGCCTAAGGAAGATTGAATTGCATGTGAGCCAATACACAAATCAAAAGGCCTCCTCACTAATTAATTGATTGATAATTTATGAAAATAGCCACATTCTGAAATTTATACGACACCGTTGCAAATGATATGTCGTATTGATTATATTAAAAATAGAATAATAGAGCTGTTGGGTCCGAAATTGAAATAACTCATTAATAGCAAATATGAATTTGTTTAGTTTGTTTTATGATTAATTAAGATTAAATGAGCATTGATGGCGTAAAAAGCTTTTGCTTTTGAAATTCTCTTTTTGCAATTTTACATCATCAATTTTGCAGTAGCAAGCTATAACTTGACAAAAAGCTAAGTCTGTCAGTACAATTTCTTATATATATATATATATATATGTATGTATAGACCCTACATAATTATGCAATTAGTTGATTGATTGGTTTCAAAGTGAAGATAAAATCAAATTCACACATTTCATACTCTGTCAGTCCATATGCAGTGTATCGTGTGCGTATATACATACATTCATAGGTGGGTACGTACATTAATTAGCGGATGAATATGATATACAAATCTCTCTACGTTTTTAAGATAAGAAAATATTTTTGGCATAACTTATATCAGGTATATTTACAGTGCAAATGGATTAAAAAAATTGTAATGCCCTTAAAAAGCTGATTAACAGTTTTGATATTACGGATATCATGTCAACGATGGAATTATAATTATAAACAGAGTGTGTCATTTAGCAAAGCTATTTTAAGATAAAGCGGAATAAATTCCATTTCACAAACGTTTGGCGGCATCAAAAGATGGAAGTATCCGTTTGTTTTCTGTCTCTTCTTGGCATCTCATGCTGGTTGGATAATCACTGGACTAGCCACCAACTCCTACTTACTTAGCTACCATCAAAAAAATTTTTGTTTGATTTTTTTTCCCCTTAAGTTTGGTGCTTCGAAGGACCAAAAATTTTCTAATTAAGTGTTTAATCATATTATTTTTTGCAATCAAATAATTGGTATGATTAATTTGTAAAATAAAATCACAATTTCATGAGCACTTCCATGCAATATATATATATATGGACATTGAAGAAGAATGGTGGTCGTTGGTTTATCTAAGCAACTTTTTTTTTGTGGATATGTAACTTTCCGAAAAGAAGAAAATTGAAAAATGGTGGTCTAAGTTGTTTCAGGTTTCACAATCTTCTTCTTTATTATATTACATGCATGCATCTTCTCTTCATCCAGATTTTGATTATTCAACATCCCTTTCGTTGATGAGTCATACTCATAGATACTGAGTGTGTAAGCCACTACTTATTATTATATTTTTTTGATTATTTGCATGATAGAACATGAGGTTCGTGAGGATGATGATATTATTGATATCTCCATATCCAAAGATTCTGAAAGAGGAACACCAAACCCTAGAAAATTCGAAATGCAAGAAGATAATTGGCATTGAGGAACCGTGAATTGATATATCTTGGCTTCTCGATATTGGAATAAAAAATCCGAAGGTCATATCATGGAAAAAACACAGCACTAGCTGGCTGAGATTTAGTTGTTGATAGAGGAATATATCCATTTCTCGATCGATATGACATTTGCAACTTCATTTTCATCTTACGATTGACAGACACCTAATACATATTTAGCTTTTTGAATTTCAAACTTCATTCCAACTCCAAATTGTATAGGTTCCATTTTTATCTATATATATATATAGAAAGCATATATCAGGAAAAATAATTATCAGCGAATCCTAAAATATGAAATCTCACTAATATCATGTAAAAGTCAAGAAGACGCCGTCAAACACTGTGCTTATTTTATATTATAGTAATATTCACGGTTATATATTATATAAATTAACATCGTTCTATAAACTTTTTTTTTTATTCATTGCGAGGCACGATGAGACGAAATAACACTGCAGTCTACAGAATATGGGATAGACCTCCCCTGAGCTCATCAATTACTAAATTTATGAAACCACTTGCGTTCGAGATGACTCGAATTTGAGCCTTCCCACTCTTTATATAAGTAAAAAGACCAGGCAGACGACACTTGATTAACTCGTTATATAAACAATTAAATGATCTAGCAACACCTTGTTATGCAATTTAAAAACTAGCTACACATTCTAGAATAAAAAGTTACATAAATGTCATGAAGAAGCCAAGACAGAATACCAGCGAAGTTGATCAACAAAAATGAATACCCAAGTCAACCGAATTCATTAAACTATAAGAATCTCACTTGAGCATCTTTTCATAATATTACACACATAGCCTCAAGATGTACTAAAGAAAAATACAGCTGATCAAGTTAGCTTTATTAATTAAGTAGTTATGGTATAGAAAGATGAGAAGCAGTACTAAAGCCAAATAGCTCCAGCATCCCTAAGCAGTTTCTTCAAGGAGCCATTAAGGTGAAGGGTCATGACAGTATTAGCAGATCCAACAAATTTGCCACCAATAAATACAGCTGGGACTGAAGGGTTGCACCCTAACCTCAAAAGAGCGCATTCCATTTCTTTACCTCTTGAATCTTCATCGAGCTCGTAAATTGCAGGGCTCACTGCTTGTTCATAGAACAACCTCTTTATTGCATGGCACATGCAGCATGAACTCTTGCTGAATATAACTACTGCTTTTTGCCCAGCCAACTTCGCTACTCTATCCATTTATATAAATCTTCTTCCCTCTCTCTGTTTATATGTATGTATATTATAACAAAATGTGCAATAATATAATAAATGTTATATATAAAACAAAATGTGGAGAATAAAGATTGTTATATTTGAAGGTTTTCAGGCAAATTTTATAACCGAAGGTTTGACAAAAATAATGCAAGAGAGCACGATTAATGGAGCATGTGTAGAGGTAAAGAAAGGAAATTAAGGTTGTTGCTTAGTTTATGTGTATGCTTATGGAGTTCTTTGGAGCTTTTATATATATATAAGTGCATGGAGAGAGAGAGAGAGGGTTTCTTTTTATTTGAATTAATTGTTTAATACAAGGCGACAAAGAAATCAAGAAAAGGTGAAGGTTCTTTAAGATATTTGGATTGATTCCTGATTTTGTGTTGTTTTATTTCTTATTTTTTTTCTTTTAATATGGATGCTCAAAATTTAATCTTTGTTTATGTAATGATAAGGACTTGATGTGAGCCGGAATCCAAAAGACTGAAAAATATAAGTATATGGATAAGCCAAATGGTGCCGAAAGTAAAAGAAGATTTTTTTTTTTTTAACGCAGGGTACTGTGTGCTATTGCCTTTTCGCAGACAGATGATAGAGTGCCACTAGTGCATCTCCAGTTTACCATTTGGTAAGAGAGTTGATATATATTGCTTGTGTAAGGTTGAGGAATGTCAACTTTGGATAGGATGATAACGTTAATATTTGCATATGCATGGTAGAATATCCTACATTTATTGACAATTAAAAATGTAAACAGCAAATATATTTACTGTATGTATCGGTATTCCAAAAGAATTTCCATCTCAGATTACTTGGGAAACAACTTTATGTATTTTAAAAAAGCAAGAAAGAAGACGTTGGTTTACCGATAAAATGTTGATTGTGGTACTAAAATCGGGCCAAGATTTTAAAGTGGGCGAATAGAAATTGGACACTGCATAAGCCAATCAAGTTGAAAATACTAATAAGATGTTGATCGAGGTAGTAAAATCGGGCCAAGGTTTCAAAGTTTGCCAATAGAAATTGAATACTGCATAAGCTAATCAAGTTGGAAAGGATTAAAATCTTTACACTCAATGATCTTATTACTTAGCAAGCCTTATCAGCGCAGGTTCAAACCTAATACTGCACTCTAACTCGTTTAGGCAAAAACCGGATTTCCAAACTCTAACGACTCGTTTAGGATGCAAAATCACAGATTATATGCGATGGACAATCAGATCGTATAAGGATAGAATCAAACCCTAGAAAACGTTGGTACGGAGGAAAAAAAAACCTCAATGTTTGTCAAGATCATGACAAAGCAGAACATATATTCCAAATGTATATAATATATCCATGCACGTGTTTAACATCGACACATCATTGTTAGTTATCTTTCGGACAATTCTATACATCACTAACTACTAAGAATTGAAATAACATAGAAAATTAATAAATGATTAAGAGAAAAGCACGTGAAAACTGTAAATTAATCTTGAGATATAGAAAGATGAAATCATCAATTTATTGTTATTTATTATACTTGTTCTTCGTTCTTTATTAATAATGGATGGAGGTATTCTTTGTGTTTCGTATCTGAAAAAGGTACGTAACAGTAGAAAAAGAAAAGGCAAAGAGTATATAGTATAAAAGAAAAGAAAAATGTTCCTCTCTTGGCTTTATTAATTTATTTCTTTATCTCCTTTTCTTGAGAAAAGAGGAGAATATGTAATATGTAAGCAGCGGAGGTAAGGGTGGTACCTCTCCTACCGAAAAAATAAAATAAAATAAAAATAAAAATATATATGAATGTGATGCTAGGATACGTCCTCGCATTCTTCTTTATCATATAATTTTTATAAAGTTGACATTCTTTTTCCACTCGCCACTATTCCTCTTTATGGGGATCTTATCCCCTTCATTCTCTCCCACATTATACATAAGTTTTTCTACATACAAAAATCATATATACATATGTGTGTCATGCATGCATGCATATTAATATTATTAATATCGAAACCAACAACCTTTTAGTTTACGTTATAGGCGAACTCACGTGAGAATATAAGTTTGATCCTGAAAAATGCACTTTACTGAGAGGATAAAAAAATTTCACACTCTGCGGTCCAAAAGGGATTACACCTCTTGGTTATACCGAAAAATATTATTAATATCAAAACAAAGTTTACTGGATACTATTAAATTTTAATTAAAGACTTTAGTTAGCGGATAATTCAAGAGTTAGTAGAGATTTAAACCATGCAGTTGAAATGGTTTTTTTTTTTTTTTTTTTTTTTTTTTTTTTTTTTTTTTTTAGTTAGCTGGATAATTCAAGAGTTAGTAGAGATTTAAACCAATGCAGTTGAAAATGGTTTTTTTTTTTTTTTTTTTTTTTTTTTTTTTTTTTTTTTTTTTGCTTTCATTCAAAACATTTATTGAGCCTTGAGATCTCTGTTATATATGTGTAATGTTAGTTTTTGATTTTTTTTGTAGTTTTATATAATATATTAATATATAGTAAAAAAAAAGACATTCAAATTTGTAAATAATTAAAGATGATGGTCTCATAGCAATAGAAGGAATGGATGGAGATAATAGATGAGACATGCATATATAACATGCATACGGATTGAGAAGTGGAGAACACGTAGGTGCTACGATCAAGTAACCCTAGAATGTGCCCCTTGGCTCCTGACTTGAGCCAATTATACAAATGTAAATATAAATATACATACACATATTCAGGGGGATGACAATAACCCGAAGCTAGACACAGAAAGCAACACATCATAACGATCATTCATGAAGAATACGTATCTGCTTTTCACGTTAAAATGACAAGGATTTGAGTTAATCGCAAAAAGTGGAAAAAGAAGAAAGTTAAGTAGCTTTACTTTAGGTTAATTAATGATTTTTTTTTCTATAATATATTTAGCATATCATCTCGATCGAGTTTCTCGAGTTTTCTAATGTCGTACCTTTTTGCGATTGATTAATTGTTATTATATGTAGAGAGATCAAATTCGTTTTTATTTATACTAGTATAATTGAGAAAAAAGACCCGTATTTTTTACATTTTAAATTTAGCTCAAGATTTAAATGTATGGACATCTTAAGAAGTATCTTATCGTTCTTGCATCGGATCACCCACATCTCCTTTTTTTACATGCCAAGGGATGATGTCGGTAATGCCAATGGGGACCTCAGGCATCTATGTCTCTGATATCTTTCCATGTACGATCGCTTTTAACTGGTGCAAAGCTCTGTGCTAGAAGGGGAGGCTGAGTTCATTATAGCGTCCATAGAAAGAAAGAATGAAAGATAATTTCTTTATATCCAATTTAAAAGAAGCCAAATTCCTGCTTCAGATATTCTATATAAATTTACTTGTTATTTGATGATCGACCATTATTTATTGATTGAAAATTGAAATTTGTTAATATTTCATGGGAATGGATTGGATGAAACACCTTGAATTGAGTGGGAATCTTGTTACTATCAGGAAAGGTCCCAGATGGATAAATGCAACAAATTTTCTTTTCTCCCACCTCAACATATATGCGTTCTTGGAAAAAGACACTCTCTGTGTAGATAAAAATGAACAATAGAAATGTGGGCAACTATCAGTTTTGCAATAAATGTGAATGAAACCGTACTAAGATGATACGTCTCTATAAATTTCCGTATGAAATATTCTCCATATCGTGCAATTTTCTTTTTTGCATTTCCTTTTCTAGTGGAACAAAATTGTGGTTCTCAAACCAAACACAAATATCTAATAGAACATTCTCATTTTGCTTCATATTGAAACCTTCTTTTTTGTTCTCATCCTCAGAACCCGGCCTTATATATATCCCTCTCCTCAGACCCCATCAACCCACAGCACAATCCATCATAATCTTAAATAAAAAAGAATAGATACAGAGAGAAAGAAGAGTTCATCAATGGAGAGGGTGACACAATTGGCAGCACAAAGACCAGTGGTGATATTTAGCAGGAGCACATGTTGCATGTGCCATGCGATCAAGACATTGCTTAGCGATTTTGGGGTTAACCCGGCAGTTCATGAGCTAGATGAGATAGCAAGAGGAAGAGAAATAGAGCAAGCACTATCAAGACTTGGCTCTCCAACCCTACCGGCTGTGTTCATTGGTGGTGAACTTGTGGGTGGAGCCAATGAGGTTATGGCTCTTCACCTCAATCGCTCCTTAATCCCTATGCTTATACGTGCAGGCGCATTGTGGGTTTGAGTAATTAATTACAATTAATTAACTATCATGGTCCTATAATATACAATTATAATATAATAAATAAATAAATATTAATAAATAAATAAATAAATATATATATATATATATGTATGATGATGGTACATTCTATGTATCGGAAGCTGAGTTTATTATATACTTACAATGAGGCTCTATACTATATGTATGGTTAATAGGTAATCAGGTGCGTACGTAGTACTCCTTTTTGTAATGTAGTATTTCATGTAATGCTATGTTCTTCTTGCTAATAATAAAACTATTGTAGTTTCCTTAATTTATTATGAGTTAATACAGCTAGATCCTAGTTTTATATATACATATACATACACAAACTTCCTATTACTTTTAATCTATCTAGAGACATGAATGTGTAATAACCAAATAGAATCTCTTATTTCATCATTGGCATAAACTATGTAGATTTAGAATAGATAAAATGGAGAAATGTCGAATATTATTTTTAATTCTTTTTTTTCCATATGTCCAATGATCCTACGCTCGAGCTGAGTATTATATTTAGATAATATTTATTAATAGTGACAATTTTTGATTTCAAACCCTCTAACTTTTGCTGGTAGAAAATCCAAATAAAAGCTTGCATGAAGATGGAAGGGAGATTAAATAATAATTGAGATGGCTATACTTACATTACATGCACACTGTTACCATAAACGGAACGGAACCCATCAAACGCCGGCAGTTGATCCATTGCTTGTTTGGGGATAGTGGGCTTAGCTTAAAGTCTTCAAAATTGGGCTAAGTTTGGGCCAATTCAAAGTAACTTATATTGATATGGGCCTATATTAAGAAATAAGTGATGGGCTGGGCCGTGCAAGGAACACAACGTCCAAACAGATTCCAAACAAAACAGTAGTAACACGTGGGGTGGAGGACAGATTCGATTCAAGTCCCAATATAAAAAGAAAGTCACCCAAATGACTGTGGAGCCCACTGCCGCAGCTAATTAATGTTTATTGGTCTGTCTGAACGGAAGGAGCCTCGACTAACTAAAACGCAAACCCAAACGGTCATTTCTATTTCAGGATTTGTTTCTTTATTATTACAATAATTGCGGTAATAAGTACTGCAATTAGATTTCAATTTAACTATTCATAATCCATTCTTCTTCTTTTTACCATTTGATTCATAATTTATTTTATTTTATTTATTTGTATCACGTGCTGCCTTCACTTAATTATATGCAAATGAAATTAATTTGCACTTCAATCAAAAATATTATTTCTCTCTATAATGATAATTTAAAATTTTAAACAGTAAAACTTAGAAAATAAATAACACTAGTTAAATTTATTTTCTCCTAGCAGTAGCCGTGCCCCTTAGTTTTAAAATCTTTTTAAAAGTTATAATATAAGATATAAAAATTTTATGAAAATTCTCCAATTTTGCTTTTTTAAATTTTGATTTTTTTTTTCACGTTCCGTCACTATTATCCATAATAAAAGTTCAATATATTTCTGTTATATAGAAAGAGGATAAAATTAAAAATCGTTTAATTATTTCTCAAAAAAAAAAAAAAATAGGACGCAAAATGACAAGATTAATCATTTTCCATGATATTTTTAATTGTTTTTTTTTGGAAGGAAAAAGCCAAAAAGAAAAAAGCAACCTTTATCACTACTCTCTCTCCTAAAATCTCAACCAGAATCACAAAACAAAGCCAATGACGACAAATGCCATAACTTTGACACCTCTATCTTTCTCTCTCTCGCCTCACTTACAGCTCACTAATAGAAAGCAGTAGCCCTTTTACATAACCGGCTTTTTAAGACCAGTGATTTACATTGTATTATTTTTCAGTTGTAGTACTTGCAGCAACTTTTCATTTTCTTTTGGAATCTTTCGTCTTCTTCAATACTTGTGTTTTCTCAGTAACCAAACATGGGTCCATTGTTGTTTTCTGTCGAATGTCTGTTTTGATAGGTAAGTTCATAACCCAGTAATTATGTATTTGGTTGTCTGTTCTTGTGTTTGTTACTGATTGGAAGCTCCTATTAGTTTTTATCTTTTGACCGTCTGCTTTTTTTTCTTTTGTGTGTGTGTGTGTGTGTGTGTGTGTGTTTGTGTGTGTGTTCTTGTTGCCTCTTTGGGGAGTCTTTTCTTGATAATGTTTGGCTGCATTTGCCAAAATTTTTAGGGTTTCGTTGGTAGCTTTTGGCTTTGAGATAGAGAAGGTGTTAGTTGCACTTTTATTCCAAGCAAAAATGTTTGGTTTCTCTCGTAGACGCATGAAGCTTGGCAGGTCAGTTATTTATATAAGTTTCCTTTTACTGCCTGTTTATTTTTGGGATTATTTTCTTTTTTTTTTTTTTTCAAAAACTTAGTAATGTATAAAGGTAGAGGAAATTTATGGTATATAAGCTTGAAACATTTGAGACTCGAGAAACTAACTTTGAGATGCAGTTAAGAATCATTTGTAGGAATCTAATTGTTAACTAGATTTTGACTGGTAACTAATTGATCATGCAGTTCTGTCCAAAAAGTTAGATTTTGACTTTGATGCTGATATAGTGCTTCTAAATTTGAATTCCAATTATGTTGCTCTTCAGAGTGAAGAAGGTGCAACTGTCAGATTCGACACTCGTAACTAGAAGTCCCGTTAGAACCCAGAAGCGAAATCCCAATGTAAGACTCGCAACTTGTTTGGTTGTGAACTGGCATCAATGGTTTTGTTTGTATGCGTTGTGCTAAGATCTTTAATTGGTTTTTCGATAGGGTGAAGGTGCTGCCCCTACAACCAGTCATTTCGATGAGCTTGATTGTCAGTGTTCGTCTGCTCCACCCGAGATTAATAGCTCTACTTCAGGGAGCTCTGAGAATTGGATGGTGTTGTCTGTATCTGGGGAAAAACCCATGCCTCGTTTCAATGTAATATTTTGTTGATTTTTATAGTCTATTGGTTATCTCCTTGTGCATATGCTAAGGAAAAACTGAAAACTTTTGTCTTTTTTTGTCATTTTTCTGAATAGCATGCTGCGACTGTGATTGGTAAAAAAATGATTGTGGTTGGTGGTGAATCTGGAAATGGATTGTTAGATGATGTACAGGTACAGATTTTTTTTCTTCACATTCCATTTGTTTTTGGTTGTTTGATGTGGACAAAAGAAAAAATTACTTAATATTCCATTGCTAGATTATTTGTTCGGAAGTGATCAAATTTGAGTGTGGTCACTCAAATCTTTCATTTTAGAGTATGGTAAATGTATGTCGAGTCAAGAACTATACGGTGGAGCTAATGTTGTCATTTTTATCTCCAATTCAGGTGCTTAATTTTGACCAATTTACCTGGACCGCAATTTCATCTAAGCTTTACTTGTCACCAAGCAGCCTGCCGTTAAAGATTCCTGCATGCAGAGGCCATAGTCTGGTATTGTCACATAGCTTTTTACCAGTACCTTTCAACTACATCGTTATATGTAGGGCATTTCTCCAGTTATATGTGACAGTATCATTCTATAAGGATGAAAGTTTGGTTTTAGTTTTCCGCGAAAGATATTGTTCCTGTTTTAAATGGATATAATGAGTTTCATGTGTGCTAATTTGCTGTTTTTTCTTACTTAAACATGATGTGTAAATATGTGCTTAAAATACTTCATATGCATTGTGTAGGTTTCATGGGGGAAGAAGGCACTTCTAATTGGAGGAAAAACTGATCCTGCTAGCGATAGAATTTCAGGTATTTCAGGATGGATCTTCGTGCATTGCTTGGTTCTCCCAGGTGATGTGCAATTACTCTATTGTCTTTCTGGCTTTTGCAGTTTGGGCATTTGACACAGAAACAGAGTGCTGGTCTCTTTTGGAAGCAAAAGGGGATGTGCCGGTATGATCACAGCCTATCTGACAATTGCTGTGACATTTTCAATTCAAAGCCTTTCAGCAAAAAGATCTATTCCTTGTGTACATTTGCAATTCTATCGAATCATTCCCTTGATTGAATTGATGATCTAATTTTGCTGTTTCCGTTTTGAGCTCTGATCTTAATTTTTTGGACAAATTTGGCTTAGAAAATTGAAGCATGCTTCCTGATGTGAAATTTAATTTGCATTGCAGGTTGCTCGCAGTGGTCATACAGTAGTTAGGGCAAGCTCTGTTTTAATTCTATTTGGAGGTGAAGATGGTAAGAGGAGAAAATTAAATGATCTACATATGTTTGATTTGAAGTCTCTAACATGGCTTCCCTTACATTGCACGTGAGTTGATTTTGCTACCCTGTTCTCTGGTATACATGATGGGCATACGCATTAAGGTTTTCAGTTAGCATTCCTTTGTGCGTGCAGTGGAACAGGGCCATCTCCAAGATCCAATCATGTGGCTGCTCTTTGTGATGATAAAATGCTTCTTATATTTGGAGGAGCATCAAAGTCGCGAACTCTGAATGACTTGTATTCACTTGACTTCGAAACGGTGCTCAGTTCATTCCTAATATTGCTATGTGGGTTATTTTGTGGCCAGATAAAAGTAACTTCATAGTAGTTGGTGCATTGATACATTATATTTTTACTCAGATGGTTTGGTCGAGAATAAAGATACGAGGTTTCCATCCGTCTCCAAGGGCTGGTTGCTGTGGAGTCTTATGTGGAAATAAATGGTACATTGCTGGGGGTGGTAGCAGAAAAAAACGTATGCCTCATGAGCTAAGAAGCATATGTTTTTTAATACTTGCAACTTTAGCTGCAATAAAAAGGACAATACTCTTTTAGTTTGTTTCTCTAGTATTGCATTGTGCTAGTGAGTTTTCTGGTTTCTTTATGTCAGGTTCAAGTTGGTGCTCCATTAATTGCTAGCTTTTGTTCTTTTGGTCCCTTTAGCTTCAGTTCTTGCTAGGTCTTTGATGCCTAAATGCCTTAAGAGTTGATTTAATTCCTTGTTACTAATTCATGGATGCATTATTTGTGTATTCATCGACATTTTGTCACACAGTTGTACTTGCAGTTGAAAACTTTTCTCATGATGCGTGCAGGACACTCAGAAACTTTGATTTTTGATATTCTGAAAGTGGAATGGTCTGTGGCCTTTGCATCATCCCCATCTTCTATCACATCAAATAAGGTTAGCTCACGGTGATATTCGCTTCTGCATAATTCCCTGCTACAAAATGAATCCAGTCACCAGTAATGTAGCTCACGGTGGAATAATCTTGAAGACTAATTTGCAGAGAAAGGGATGAGCATGCATTATTCTTGTCCCTTTTCATTATATTTGTCTGTCTAAATCATTATTTTCTCTCCTAGGGATTTAGCCTGGTGCTTGTGCAGCACAAGGAAAAGGATTTTCTTGTTGCATTTGGAGGATCCAAAAAGGAGCCATCAAATCAGGTTGGGAGCTGAAATCGCATTTTTGCCAAGGAGTTGATTTTACTGAATTAATTTATTTCACAATGCATTACAGGTTGAAGTTATAGGCATGGATAAGAATGAATCCATGGGTCGACAGTCTGCTGCTAATAAAGGTACTGGACGTTTGTTGTTTGGAAAACGCTCATCATCCGTAGGGCTGGCTGCACAACTTACTACTGGTTCTTCCCAGCGTTCGGTTGATTCCACTGCAAGACAAAATTTGGCATCTGCAGTTGAGCAGCATGGATCTGCTAGGAAATCTCTGTCAGAGACACTTGTTGATCCAAATCCTGGCAATGTCTCACTGCGCAAGCAATTTCATGATGAAGAACACGGTACAGCTGTTAAGATGGTGAAGAATTTAGAAGAAGGAACTTCTTCATCTCCTGTAAGTTGATAGTTCTCCAATTAAATATCCTTAATTGAAATCAAGCATGCTTTATAAAGCTCAGTTTTCAGTTTATGAATCTGAGGTTTCTAAGTTTTTACGCAAATTTTGGGTTTGTTAAAGTCCTTTTGCACTTGTTTACCCCTCATAATAATTGGTCTGCTCTATCCTTGCAATTCATCATTTGCATGCATTTTATTCTACTCTTTCAATTCTTCTATAAGTAGTTAAACATATGTTCAAAGTGAAATGTATTTGAATTTTCTATTGACATTAACATGATTTTATTTTCAGGCAAGGGAGCATCGAATGAATCAAACACATATGCCAATTCAGACTAACATTTCTATAGGTAAAATTATTGCGGAGGAGGCATCTTGTGGATTTGAATCTGAAAATTTGAACTCCCAAAACCCAGCAATTGGAAACCATCCAGTTGACAATGATGACGTATTAGTACCAGAGACTGATGGTATGGCAGGAGGTGCTCATTCAAGCATATATCAATTGTATGAAACAAAAATAGCTGCTCTAATAAGAAAAAATGGGGTTCTAGAAGGACAACTGGCTGCTGCATTATCAAGTCGAGATTCTGCAGAGAAAAATCTATCATCTGTTCTGAAGAGTAAACAAGAGTTAGAGAAAAAGTTGACAGACGCACTGAGGGAGATGGAATTGTTAAAAGAGAGGTTAGCTAGTGTAGAGCTAGCACAAGAAGAGGCCAACAGCTTATCAAATATTGTTCATTCCGACAATGTAAGGTTGGAGCATGACGTGGCTTTCCTTAAGGCAGTTTTGGACGATACGCAGAAGGTAGCTTCCAAAATACAAGTTCGCAATATTGGGATTGGTCGTTTAATGTTAGTTTTGACATTGTATTTTCTTGCAGGAGCTACATTCTACAAGGGGAGTCCTTGCAGGGGAAAGGGCTAGAGCATTCCAACTACAGGTAATGACTCCAGAGTCCAGACCATATACCTGAGGAATAAAGAAAGAAGAATGCTCATTTTAACAGTTATTTTCTTCATCTTAATTAAGACTCTGGTATTAACAGTGCATCACCTTGCAGGTTGAAGTGTTTCATCTTAAACAAAGATTGCAATCTATGGAAAATCGAGTTCCCACCCCAAGAAAACCATTCAATGTCTAGCAAGTGAAAATTGAAAGGATAAAAATAGCAAGTGAAGGCAAGAACATGCTATGCTATCCGACTGGTCAACCTGTCCCAAACTTTAATTTAAAAAACCACGTTGATGTGCATGTAATGCATACTTGTTTTGTTGAAAATATAATTTTACTAATTTGTGCCTAGAATTTATAGTTTCAATTAGTACTCCTTTCAAGTTTAGATTTTGCTTATAAATGCTATTAATTTTAGTAAACTTTAGGCCAACTAGTTTTATAAAAACAAAAATGTAAAGTTCCAATTAAAACTTTACTTAATAGTAAACCTGAAAATTTAAATTTGGAAAGTGAATTACATAAGAGTTCATTTGATACCCAATCAAGTTCTTAAGCTCTTTTTATGACATTACAATTGAAAAGGAGCAATAATACAACATCAGTCAAAATATTCATTTTTACATCGCCCGTGAGACCTTCAGGCTTCATTGAATCCTTAATGATATCTTCTTACGGCAACAGTTTTGAAAAAAAAAAAAAAAAAAAAAAAAACTTAAGCTCCTTTAATGACATTACAATTGAAAAGGAGCAATAAACAACATCAGTCGTTCAAAATATTCATTTTACATCGCCCGTGAGACCTTCAGGCTTCATTGAATCCTTAATGAACTTCTTACGGCAACAGTTTGAAAAAAAAAAAAAAAAAAAAAAAAAAAACATTCATTCACCTCATGTCACTTTCGCCAATAGTAATCGATTGAGACTGTAAAGTGCTGCGGTAACGTTGCAATTTCTGATTGTCTCTCAATTGATTTATCCAAGTGCTTAGAGGCACGGTCTGTGGCGGCAGAGTTTGTGTAGCATTTTTTTTTCTCCAAATTCATAATCTTCATGATGTCATTTCTCCATCACTACTAAAATTCCAAGACCTTGTTTGGGTATGCTCTCACAAAAGCTCAGGCTCTTCTTGGTCTGCATCAGCATCCTCCACCTCATTTTCTTCATCTTCCTCGGGTGCATCTGGATCCACTCCCTACAATAAGTTGCCCATTACAACTCCGACAATAAATGTTGAAAAATTTCCCCTAAAACCATTCTAGACACCTGTGGTCTCACCCCCAAAACAAAACTCTAGAATAGATTTTGCTTACGAATGTCACAATACTGCAGTTTCAACTAACTGCAGGTTCACATTAGACAAATATTCAAGGATCACCAAATTCCATGTAACAGTTACAAACACTGTGGGGATGAAAAGTGAAAACTAAATGTGGATGTAACAAAAAGTATACAAGCAGAAAACAAACCTTCATCTGTTTTTCCAAACGCTCTAGCCCTTTCTTTGCAGCCTCATTCTGCGGGTTTATTCTGCAAAGCAAAATACAGTTTAAATTGAAGGCAATAACAACTGGGGCATCGCCATCTGGTGCACTATTCACAGCCTATGACACAGCATCTTACAAACAACAAGGCCAAAGACCAATGCTCTATTGCAGTTTTAGAATTAAAGAAATCAGAGCACATTAAATGAGGTTAACCTTAATGCAGCCTGGTAATGTGACAAAGCCTCTTGCAGCATATTTGTGGCAGCAAATACTTGAGCCAGTTTGACATGAAGAGAGTCATCAGCCCAGTCCTTTAGATATCGCTCGAGCAGAGATACTGCATCTCCATTTCGACCCTCGATTACATGGAGCTCGGCCAAAGCTAATGCAGCACCAAGATAACCAGGTTCCAGCCGCAGTGCCGACTCATAGAACTTTTTTGCCTGTTTCCAATTGAGGTAAATAATGGCTTCTTCATAACTCATAATTTGGTGATAACATTTTACTTGATACAAAATGACCTTAACCTAGAAAAAGGTAAGGAGAGGAGATTCTAAAATGATTTGTCACAGGTTTACCTTCTCTCTGCCCCCAGAGTTACTAGCATGTACATCCCCAACTAATTTTAGAGCCTTAGCAGATTGAGGCATGGCCTTCATTGCCTCCCTGGCAGCATGCAAAGCCTCTTTGATTTTGGAGAAAGCCAGATAAGAATGAACCAGACCTGAAATTGTAATCCACCCCAATTAATTTCAAGGCTTATTTTCTTTAACCACATTTCCTTCAATAAAAGAGCTGCATCAAGCATGCATGCTAATAGTACAAATAACCTGGAGGCTATGCAATAAAAAATATAGATATTTTTATCTCATTTTCATCTTTGCAGATTTCACCTTGATATGAACGAAGGTCTGGTCTTAATTCTTGAGCTCCCCTGAAAGCAATTACAGCTGCTTCTGGCCGCTTCAGTGATAAGAGCAAATTGCCCTGAAAATATAATATGGTGGTGTGCTCATTTCATCGAAGATAAATAGGCTAAAGTCCTAACCCCAATCTAGTTGGGTAAGTTATATGGATCTATTAGCTGGGGTTAGGTATGTATCTACAGAAAGGTCCAGAAAAATAATACATAAAAACCTCGAGCAAGATAATCTTTATTCTACCAGAGAGATATATCATCTGCATACCTTCATTATGTAAGCAGGAATGTGCCTCTCATCAATTCGGATACTCTGATTGCAAAATTTTGAACTTTGTGAGATTATGACTCAAAAAAATAACAAAATACATGCCACAAAAAAAAAAACAAGTCAACCTTCTCAGCAAAAGACAATGCTCCTCTTTCATCTTTCCTTTCCCACAGGACAGACAAAGCCACAAAAACTTCTGGCCTTGTAGGGTCAATACTCAGCAAATCATGCACTAACTTATTTAACTTTGAGTAATCAGACTTTATCTTTAGAAGCATTGCATACTCATCCATATAGGTCATGACGTATGGATCAAGTGATCGAACCTGGAAGACCAGAAGATAATACGTTAGTTTGCATGATGATTATGGACATCTATAGAACAAAAGAAAAATCTGATACCTTCTGAAAATTCATTATGGCTTCATCGTTCTTTCCAATAATGGCTTCAACCTTAAAACATTGTTTTTATGCATAAGTCACACAGATAAACCCAATTTTAATCATCTTTGATGCGACATAATGCAACATTTCTAACCTTTGCGATTTCAAGTAACATATGTATATTATTTGGAAAACGTTGTAGGAGTTCTCCAAAGAGTTCCAAACCACCTACCAAGAGAGAGAGAGAGAGAGAGACATCAATCAATTGTTAAACTCAAACAGCAATCACAAAGACCTTACCTTTGTAATCATTTGAAGCAATGCAACATTGTGCCTCCACATAGCGCTGCAAAGAAATAACATCATTAAGCTAGCAAGCTGAGCATTAACTACGATATAACATGCAACTCAAGGAGGAAAAAAAAAAAATCATAGAATATATTTTTCTATAAAAAAATAGTGGGGAGTGAAAACAAATACAAATACTTGAGAGAAATACAAAGCAATGAGAGGTTTGTAAAAGATATCGAATCCCAACTACTTCATCCTATACTCACTTGAAGCCAACGATTTGAGTCAACATGATCAATTGATGCCCTTCCACTTCTATTTGAAGCCTGCAATCACATGACAAATAGCCACAAAGATAGCAAACTACTCGAAATCAGACATTACAAAAAGCTATGCCAATTTATAACCCATAATAAAGGCTCAAGTTAAACATACTTATGTAAAAGTGGTGTAAGTTTCATGGAAAGCCACACCGCTATTTATTTCAGTTATTGTTAAAGTGTTGATTCTTTTCATTTAGAGCTTCTACTACAATATTTAATCCCTAATTCTACTCAATCAAACTAAGCTCCATACCAATTAAGTCTTAGTCAAGTGGGCTAGAAACTGAAGCTCCATATACACAACACAAATCAAGCTCAACACAGCTAATCTCAGTTCCTTTATCTAGTAACTCCAATAGATAGAGCATGGTTAAAAATTATACAACCGGACCATCTCTATGAAACTTTTTCTGGCTTACATAAGAAATATAATTAATCACCGAGATAAAGTGGTTGATCTTGGACAAAAGAAAAGCTTCTACTTAGCTGTGTGAAAATGGCTTCAAACTCTTATGAACAAACCTGTGAAAAAATTGAAATGATGTCTTTGGCAGACACTCCTAGTTCAGCTAATGCTATTATAGCCTCAATTACATAAGGGCAATGCCTGCAGAGGGAGCGAAGAGAGCAATGTATTTCAGAATGGCAATATAACAATACTTGTATTAAAATTTGATAAAAGTAACAAATTCATGCATGTATGTGAATCAACATGCAGTCAGAACGAGGAATCTGTATGGTAAAAACAATGACTTAGAAATAGCAAGCTACATTTTTCGACATAAGATCAATATAAGCACGTACATATGTATGCATAGTTTTAATACACATTGGGGGAAAAAAAATAAAATATCTCATATTTACTAATGTGTTAGGGAGAAGACTTAACATAAAGCAACCAGCACGAGAAAGTGCCAACTAGAGTGCCTATTCAAGTACTCTGGCAATGAGACCAAGGGGATCGAATGAGATTGAGAGTTTTAAAGAATGGGAGAGTTCTGCCCCCTATAACAAAGCCATTAGATGTGCATGAGAGAAAGAGGTACAGACTGGACATAACAAACCTTAAACACTCTTTGTAACAGGCAATAGCAAAGCGGTTATGTCTAGAGTTTCGATAAAGCTTGGCCATTAATAGACTCATCTGTAAAGTTCTTGCTTTACTAGGAATTCCCTCCATCTGCATAATTGAGCTTATATAAGAAGAGAAAACAAAAGGAAATGCACAACTAAATACTGTCAGGTAACTTGTAACTTGCTCAATTGCAATAAAAAAGGCAACATAATATGCTTACACGTAAAAAGCTAACAAAACAGAAATACATAGCAACCAAAGACTAGGGACGCAAAACCTCAACAAGTGCCGCTCTAGTTTCACTCAAGGCAGAATGGCAAGAAGCAACCTTGAACTTCACCTGCCACAGAAAATTCAACACCAAGCATACAATTCCACAAACATCAGCTACTTCACCACTAAAACAAATATTAATTGCTTCACTTGTCAAAACAAATAATGAAGCTACCTCATTTTCATTAATTGCCGAAATGTTAAAAGAATTCGGAGAAGAAGACCTGTTTGACAATGAACTTCTAGAAGTTGTTGAATTTTGTTTGGGGATTATCTTATAATACTGTAAAGCCTGCTTGTATGTATGCTGCCACCAAAATAACAAATGAAAATAACTTCAAAAACAACATTGATATCCATAATTTGAAGCGACTAGCTTCAATCAGTTAAATAACTCACAATTGCTCTACGAAACTCCCTCTCACGAAAAAATGCGTCTGCAAGGAAAATCTGAAACAAAGCAATAATTTAGGAAAAGATGTATAAGAGCTAAAATAGTTGAATAGAAAAGGAAATGAAAAACCATTACCAGATTTTCGGCCTTAAGTTGGGGATTAGTTTCAGGATTAATAGAAGACGATGAAACAAGAAAGCAACCCTATTTTCAGAAAAACAAAAAGAGAGAGAAATTCATTAGTGTTCTAATTGAATATAAGTAACACAGAATAGGGTTAAAGGATAATTTGGAATTTAAAAAAAAAAAAAAAGTAATTACTAGCATTTGAGCAGAGCTGTAGAGGTCATTATCGAAGAGAGTGGTGATTTGATCCTTTGGAATTTCCATATTTGCAGAGAAAGAGAAGAGAATGGATGAGGAAATTTTCAAATCGTGCGAGTTGGCGTGTCGAAATTTGGATATCAGCAAAGGGTTTAGGGTTTATGACCGAAATTTCTTGCCTGGATATAGTACACTACAAAGCCGATTGCCGCCGGTTTCTCTCTTTGGTTTGAAATCAGTGTCTCCATCTTCCACTTTTCTGTCTGTATCTTTTTGCACACAAACATGTAATAGTAAATTATAATTTTGGTCCTCCATTTTTTTTTCAAAAGAAAAAAAGTACATATGCTTAATCTGGTTGTTCTGTCGTTCATGTCGTTGGATAAATACTAAGTTTGATGCCCAGATAAAACGACCTTAAGTTTGGTTATTGTCGTATGCAAGTTGGTAACCTGCAGTCGGTTGTATTATGACCGAGAGCGCAAGTGATGACGTGTTTATAAACAAAAAGCCCAATACGGCTGATGATGTCGCCAGAGATGCAACCGCCTTTCAAAGGCCTCCGATTTTTGTCCACCGGGCACTGTTGACTTCTTCTCTGTCTCTCTTAAAGAATGGATTCCTCTTCTGTTTCTTCTTCGTCATCACGAAATTCAGAAAAGCACGACCTCAATCGCGAGAAGTTTCTTCTAAGGGTAATTTGGCCGGCGATACGAGGGCAAACCTGTCCAATATGTTTGAAAGATCTCGGGGACCATCGCAGAACTGCGGTGATCACTGTTTGCTTGCATGCCTACTGTTTGCGATGCATTCGGAAGTGGAGCGATTTGAAGCGCAAGTGCCCTCTCTGCAACGCGGCGTTCGATTCCTTATTCTACAAGATCAGTTTCTCATCTCGAAATTTCCTTACGGAGAAGTTACGTGCTTTAAAGGAGGGTAAAATAGCCATTGTTGAACCTGACTTCAGCTCCAGAGTTAGACAACAGTGAGCCCTCAAGCTCATAATTTTTAATTTCCGTAATAATCAAATGATTACTGCTTGAATATGGAAATCGTAATTGTTTTTTGTTCAGGATGATGCGAAGTAGGCCCTTGCCGTGGAGGCGAACATTTGGGCGGCCAGGGTCTGTGCCTTCTGATGTTATTGCTGAAAGGAAGCTTCAATGGCGAGCTAGGTAGATTGCATATTGATTTTTTATTGCAAAATTTGTTGCTGAAACATTTGTAAATATGAACTAGTTTGCTTTGGGCGGGCCTCTGGCGGTAGCTAAAATTGTTTTATTTCTTTGTTTCGCAGTGTATACAAAAGAAGCTTGCAAGCTGTTCCTTCATCTCCTGAGCAGGTTTGTGTTATTATCTCTTTTTTTTTTTTTTTTCATGTTCAGTAGCGGTTGACATGTTGCTGTTCTTATGGCTACATTCAATATTTATGAAGCATTCCTTTGTGTTAGGGAAAATCTAGCTCATATTATGCTCAAATTAATGTCCAAAATTTTTTGTAGTTTAGTTCTAATTATTGGTAAATAATTTGATTTATGCATTTAAATTTGTTTTTTTTTTTTTCGAACCTGTAGAAGGTATCAAGAGATGGCTACTTGAAAGAAAGAGTACTGCAGAAAATAGAACCATGGATTAAAAGGGAGCTGCAGGCAATCCTTGAGGACCCGGATCCATCTGTTATTATTCATGTTGCATCATCACTTTACATTGCAAGCCTTGAAGGAAACTTTGATGTTCAAGCAGCACAACATGGTGTTGAAGACAACTTTCTTGCACCTTTGCGACCTTTTTTGCATAATTGGACAAACATGTTTTGGCATGAATTAAGGTACAAAATTCAAATACTGATCATCTTTATTCGTTAATTATGAAACTAGCATCTAGAATTTGAATTCAACAGTAGAAAGCATGACTTACAAGATCAAATGATCTCAGTCTTGACATCCTTATAAAACGGAGAAACACATACAAAATATTTAGGGTCTTTTGGTTTATGAAAAGATTGCGAGTAGTTACCATGTCAATTTTCTGTGAGAGGTTGTGAAGGTGCTTCCAAAGCAATGTAGCCAACCTCACTAGATAATAATTATTTCCATGTTTTGTAATTAATGCAACCACGTAGAAAATACCGAGTCAAAGGCAGTATACCTATAGGATGCTGCTTGCTCTTAGTTTAGGGTTTATCAAAAACTGGACGTCTTATTGCATGTCCTACTCCATGGATACTCTCCGTTGACCCCCCTTTTTTAATCCATAACAAATAAATTCTGAGCAGAAAATGTCTTTTAGATGTTTTGCAGAAACTTCACTCGCTATGGAAACATATGATGCTGTGGTTACATACAAACGGTTCAATTAAGTCTACTTCAAATCCTTTGAAGGGAATTGCAGTCAACTTGAGCCTGGAGAACAAACGGATCAATTAAGTCTACTTCAAATCACCTTTGAGGGGAATTGCAGTCAATTTTGGCTGGAGAGAATCAATCTGCAACAGGTGGACAGGGAGATAATTATGTAGAAACTTGGGTCAATTAAGAGATCTTAGCATCAACTTCGCTCTAGCTTCTAGTGTCTGTTATTAGGTTGTTCATCTTCTTGGACCGAGTTCCTTTCTGTCCCAAATGAAGATAGAATTCACCATTTATGTGCTTGCTCAATCCAATCCCAAATTGCGTGTAAGAGAATGCTAATGGTGCCATGTAAGGATACTTCAAATTATCCATATACGTATTGCACGACCAGTTGACTGGAATGGATGAAAATGCCTGTGCTGCAAGGCAATGGACAAAAGTCACCATTGTTAGGGAAATGAATTGCAGAGGGTGAAAGGAGGAAATCTCCATTATCTGAAACTGTAGTTGCTTATGCAAAACAACGGCTAACTGCTTCTCTATATACTGCTATAATTTTTCTTATGACCTTTGATGGCCTGGGGCAATGCCATTGAATTACCGGCACACTGCTATAATAGTGGATCCAGTCTCTTTGGTTCCGTTTTCTTTTCTTCGAAATCTTGGTCCTTGACTATAAGTGAATAGCGTTCGATGTGTGTCTCTCTATATATATATATATATATTAGATTTCTTACCTTGTCTCTTTTTTTTTTCCACAAAAAAATGTGTTTAGGACGGTGGGGACAGAGTGCAACTTACTATTGTTTCAGTAGTGTATCAAGCCATTGTTGAATTACCAACATTATTAATCAAGGTACACAGGCGCCTTGCCGCACGAGTTAACTCTATAGAAGGGGAATGTTATTGGAAATCATGCAACTTACAAACAAATCTACTATAGTAAATGTTAACCATGAGCATGTATCAATTGCTACATCTTTTTACATAACATTAGCTAACAAGATACATCACAAGCCAATTGAAATCCTGCCAGTGCGCAATACAAGTTAAGAACCATTTGGTGTTAGTTCATGAAAAGCAAGCTTTGGGTAGCAGTAGCACACATCTGTCATTCTTCTTCAGGCTCTTCCTCTTCTTGGAGAAGATTTTCTCTATTATCATGGGCCCAGAAACCACGCACATCGATCAACATGCTGGCTACAGTCCCACCTTGTTTACACGAAAGCAGATCAGACAGGGTAATCCTGAGTGGATCCTTTGGCTTGACCATATCCCAGATTTCATCCCTAACATCCTCAATACATAACTCGTAGTTTCCACCCTCAATCCATTTCTGGTGTACATCTCTGTTAAACAGGGAAAAGAAAGCGTTAGGGAAACATTACACATGCTAGTACCGGTTGCTACAAAGTTCTCTGTTTTTGGTCCAATATATCTCTGAAGATTTGAGACTTGCAGAACTTGCTCGAGTACTACAAGCAGGAAACTACAGAGTTTTCTCTAGGAAGATTGTATCAGGTAGCATCTCAGCTTTTAGATGCTCCCCTTCTATACTTCCACTTGATGGCTCGCAATGAGCAGGTGAATACCAAGACGCGAAAAAATTAATAAAACTAAATTTGCTCGGCAACTAAATAAAATGATAGAATTTTGAAATTCAAGTATCAAGAAGAAAATAGTACCAACCTGAAAAGACAGTGAATATCAGCCGTCGTTAGGTATCCCCGTCCATTAAGATCAAGGCAACGGAACAAATATGCTAAACCTTCTGGAGTGTCTTTATTTTCTAGGGCTAAAACAAAGTCGAGAAAGCTTTCAAAATCCATCTCCCGAGCATTTCCTCCTCCACTTTTTCCTCGGCGGACATGCTCATCAAATACTGTCAAGAGAGATGCATAAACACAAAAACTTGAGTCATAATCTCAATGAAAAAAGATAACCTATCCCTGTAACACTTCCTATTTTGGGGGGAAATGTATCTCCACAATACAAAAAGAACTGCAACAAACATACAAGAAAAGCACTTGAATTGAAATTTAGTGACATGGTATTAGGCAACCTTATTTTTTAATTTTGAGAGAGCGAGTTCATATTAAAAGAATTACCGCACCACTTTTAGATGGCCTATGAAGTAGGAAGTAACATCTCATAACTTTCAAAATAACTATTATGAAAATGCAGAAACTTATTGACTAATTACCTCAAATATCCATCACGAGAATCAATTTCTATTTCGACATTAGGCAATTATGAGTGTCAGATTTCACACAAAGGCAAATGCGAAATGAACTGTCGAGCTAATGTTGTTCACGTGTGTTATAACAAGTTATAATCTTGAGTAAATAAAAAACAACCGTGCTTCTGACATGATCAATGATATATAAAGAAAATGTTAAACCCTACCTCTTTCAATAAAAATTTCAGTGAGAGCCCCTTCTGCATACTCTCGAAGCTCGTGCTTGCTCAATGTTCCATTCATATCTTTATCAAGGGCAAGGAACATATCTATAGAAAAATGAAGATTAACTGGTTATAATAATGCCACTTGCTGTTTGCTGTCAAACCAAATTGCAATATTTAATAAAAGTCTAATGCATCGATTACATACTTGAGTCGACACAGTCCATCACTTATAATTTCTTCGATTAATACAGCAAACAAAATAGTAAACTTTATGAATAACAGAACCCAGAGATACCATTCATTTCCATTCTCGTGTGTCTTGGACCACATTTAATAGGGCTAATTTTTTCATCAATAATACACTCATAGTAATTGATGAGATTCATACCAGGGAAAGAATTACCAGAGAGAGAGAGAGAGAGAGAGAGAAGACAATATAACACACAACCAAAGTACTAACCACATATGCGTTGTGCAGAAGTCAAAGAAAACCAATTTTCAGCTTGTTCAGTGTCAGTTACTTCTTCCTCACTTTCCTAGCATAGCAAAGATTTGTAGCGAAAAATTAACTTCAGATCAGAATCTAATAAGCTATTCGCTATTCATGCACTTCAATGTTTTGAATTACTAAGGCAACTAAGCAAAACAGAAAGAGCAGAATTCACCTGATGCAATTCCATTAGTTCCTGAAGACAATTACTAAGAAGGACCTTCTTTATGCAGGCCTTCCCTGTAAGCAAAAGACAAAAAAAAAAATATAAGTTTCAACCATTTTGTATTACCACATATAGGACTACAGATATTCTAAATGACTAATCCAGTATTTGATGACTGAAATAATACAAGACAACAATTTGTATTCTAACTAAAAAAATAGTCATGCAAACCTCGTCTATGAGGATCACAAAAGAAGAAGAATTTGTGTGCAGCTATGCGGCAGTACATTTGAACAAATTTTGCAGGCATGTCACGTAGTTGTGCTAAATTAGGAATAAGACCTCGTATATAGGCCTCCATTTCCTGATAAATAACAGAACAATTATGATTATGCATGAGATGGACTTAGTAAGTTGGCACCAAATAATTTAACATTGCCAAAGAAGATATCAGATATAGGAAAATTAGATATAAAAAACTTTAAGTGAACAAAGGCACAACAATGCATAAATTCCATACATGCGGCTGGAGAAAACCATCTGAATCCTCGTCAAGCTCACTCATATCTATTCTAGCCTGTGTGAGTGACACCTGACCAACAAATTCATAAGCAACAATCATGAGGACAACCAAAACCATGTAAGAAGTGTTTGTATAAATAGATCATTTAGGCTAAATGAAAGAATTTTGTTAAGAAAATGTTACATCAAAAGACTATACTCACTGTGCGCATCACATAAAGGTAAAAGGGCAAAATGGCAATTCTTCCAGATTCATCTTTCTCAAACTTCATAAAGTTAGACGGGCTGAAAAAGCGTCGACATTTGGGGCCTATTTGTTCTGTACATACTGAGGCTATGTGGCAAAAATCTTCATAATTCATCTAGAGCATGACAAAAGAAGTATATAAGTAAGCATCAATAGAGGTTAAAACAAATGATTCGAGAATATACAAGCCAAAGATTTAAAGAAAACACTTATTTTGACTTGGAGATATTTAAAAACTATGAAGCAGAAAGAACTTTCAAATTTATACTTTTCATGGTAAACACTTCAGTTCAGATTTTACATCACAATATTCAATATTAACAAAATAAGAAAAGTTAAAATATAATAAAGCTAATTCTTGTCAGAAGGCAAACAACAAACATTACAAATAGAAGTCAAATCAAAACGGCTGGTGTCAGTATTAAGCTTATATTTTCCTTCCCAAAAGACACAGCATTTTTTTCTTTTTAATTTGTGAGGGGAAAAAAAAAAAGAAACAACTGAACCCTTACAACTACACTAACAATAGTTGGCATTACAGCTTGATGCTGCAACTCTTACAAACCTTTTCTGCACCAGTGGCATCATCAATAACACAGTTTTCCCTCAAGCAAACCCACATTGCATCCAGATCATCAGCATTAAGCAAAAGATCTGATTGCTTCTGCAAAAATAAAATGACAATGTCAGCAGAAAACAAATACCAATAAATTAACAAGTACACCAAGAAAGAGAGCAGATCATACCTTTAAAAACCGGTATTTTGCTAACCTTTGGACCCTGTGACTGATTGATCCTTCTTCAGGTTTCTAAAGCAAAGAAAGTGCAACAACAAGAAGAGAATGAGAACACATTAGGAGCACTTAAATCAAAAGCCCATAGGAAAGGTCAAATACAAAGGTGACAAATGAAAAACATCCCATCAGCTTTTTAATTTTTGTCTAACAAATCGAACCCATGACACAGATCTCATACGCGCCAATGAAAAATCACAAGAGGAAGAAAAAGTAACCCTCCTACATAGGTGCTTCTCCCCTAGGTAACATCCAACCTTTTATTTAACATCAAGCATACAATTGCAATACATGCCTTCTTATAGAAACTGGGTATTGTGCCAGCTTCAGCACTTTTTTGTTGCTTCTCTTTGAAAATATCAAGCAAGATCCTCTTTGTCTCAAGCTCTACAAAAAAGAAAAGAGAGAGAGAGAGAGAGAGAGTTACATCCTGAGAAAAGAAATCTGAATGTGTTTGTAAGCAGTAAATTTTTTATCCAACTTTACATGTTGCTTATAACAGCAACAGAACAATGCATCTATTCAATGTAAGTGCCAACTAAAAGATAAAATGTTTAAAAATCCCAAACTGATTTAACTGCGCTTGCTTCACATTAATCATGTTATCGCAATATCACAATTACAACTCTGTTTTTGCTTTCCAAATTTATTATGCTATTGGTGATGATGACACTTAAAAAATAATAGTAAATGTAGCAGAATTAGAATTCGCTAGAAATGTAAAACTATATGAAAATATTAAGTAAAGGGAAGCAAAATGAGAGGAAATAAAGAACAGACCCATTAGGGCTTCGGATCCTAGTCCAGCACCGGATCCGATGTACCGTCGGAGATTACGGACCCACAACATTGACGAAGCCGGCGGGATTTTCTTCTGGGCGGCCTCGTGGCTCTCGCCATCGCTGGACCCACTGTACATTTCCAAGTTCACGAATCCAGGTTAACTGAGTTTAATCGAGCGAGTTCAGAGTTGAATTACGGTTTCGAATCGAAGAATAAAAACCCTGCGCATTACAGAGTGAAAACCCAAAACCCTAGCTCTTTCAGTTTGATCTGTAAACTTCTGTGAAAAATGGGAACTTGCGAAGAAAAGGCATTTCTGCAACTCCGTTTGCGTAAATTTGAGTTACCTCCCACAATTTTTCAGAATCTCAAAATAGTGCACTTAATATTTTAAATAATGCCCTAGCCCCCCAACTTTTGAGATATTTTAATAAACACCTCAATCCTATAGTAAAGCATGTAAACGCAGAAAGTTCTTTAAATATTTGGACGTTTGCTATTGCTTATCTCGTAGTAGAAGTAAGCTTTCAGATGATTTTTTGTTTTTTTTTTTTTTTTCCCTTAAAGTGAACTGACGGAAAACTTTGTTGTTTTAAGGTTTGTTAATGGCTATACTTTTTAATATTTTATTATAAAATTATCTCTTTATTGCATTTTAATGTCTAATATTTTTTAATTTTAAATTCTAAAAATATTGGTATTTGACATAAAATCTTAATTTGGGATATGTAAGTTTTTCAAAATGGACAATGATTTAGAGTCTAAAAAAAAGACCGTATGCATACAAATTGGAGATCTCTTATCCTTCACCTCCTTAACAATACAATACAAATTGTTATTTCCTTTAATTTTGGAGGAATTTACTTACTTAAACCTAATCAAGGAAAATAATTTTTGTTGAAACAGAAATATTTATGATGGTTGATTGAAGAAAAGGCATAATGAGATATCGTTTTTTACCTTTTTCTTTTTTTCTCTACCGTTGATTGTGACACCCCATCCGCGATGCTTGATTGTTGATTTCATACGTGACACCACATAATGAATTATTTTTTGTTAAAAAATTAATTATAGTACCATGTTAAAATAGATTGCAATTCCTTTTGGTTTAAGCTTTAGGTTAATCATGCACAAATTGGCACCCAAAATAATTTCCTCATAAAAAAATTGTTTGTTAGTTATGCTTTTAAAAACTATAATACAAAGATTATCAATCAGTAATTAATTGAGATTCTTTCAAATAAGATTTGACTAATTTCAACATGCAAATCATATTTTCTTGAAATTTGGCAAAGGTTTTGCTCTTATTTTTCTTCAAGGTTGCTTGGAATGCTTATTATGTTATCATGTTCCATTACATTTAAATAAATAAATAACATTTATGAAGAAGGTACAAACCTTACTTTTGGTTCCACTATTATTTATCCTACTATGTTAGCTTTTTGAGCTAAGCTCTTTTTTTTTTTTTACCACTGTTGTTCTTATTCTATTGACATTTAAGAAAAAATAGGCTTTATTCTGTAAGCCTTTTTAGCAATATATTACTGGCCCCCAACTTAATAGGTTGTTTGGGAATAATTCTGGTATACAATAGGATCAAGAAAAAGAAAGGAACAAGAAAAAAACAAACTTCCTTTCTCTTTATATATAATATAATTATATATATAAATATATATATTATATATATAAAAGAAGACAGGAAAAAGAAGAAAACCATATTAAAGCTTTTTTATATAAGTTTGTGAGGAATCAAAAATAAATCTTGCAATGAAACCTGGCAAAACAACTATTAAAATCCTCTAAATATATGCAACTCATTGTTCATTTTTTAGCAACCTTTATGAATCCCTACAAGCATTTAGTCACAAAGATTCATATCTTCATTTTCATCTCAAATTTTAGGATTATATTTCAACCATAGAGGACATTTTGTTTATTAATTAAATTTTTGTGTATTTGGTAGCGGTTTCATATCAATGAAGAGAAAAAACAAACAAGTTCACCCCTATAGGAAAAGAACAAAGCATTTGCCAAATCAGGGGCCATGCATAAGCACATAACTTGCTTTGCTATTACCCAGTTTTTTGATATATAAAGAAGACAGGAAAAGAAAACATAATTAAGCTAGAAAGGTTTGAGAATTCAAAAATAATCTTGCAAATGAAACCTGGCAACAAAACTATTATCTAAATATATGCAACCATGTCATTTTTAGCAACCTAGAATGCCCTACAAGCATTTAGTCACAAGATTCATATCTTCATTTCACTCAAATAGGATTATATTTCACCATGAGAGACATTTTTGTTATTATTAAATTTTGTGTATGGTAGGTTTCATACAATGAAGAAAACAAACAAGTTCACCCCTATAAGAAAAGAACAAGCATTTGCAATCAGGGCCATGCATAAGCACCATAACTTGCTTGCTATACCCAGTTTTGAATCCATCTTTCCCAGCTCCTTTCCCCCTTTGTCCCTAACATGGGCCTTTTATACTTGAGTCTAATGACTTGCACTACATGACAAGTTGCTTTCTAGCTTTCTCTTTTACTTTCCAGCCCAACCCATAACATAACAAGTTGAGGAAAGAAAACAAACCGAATAAATGAGAAAGAGACAGACTTACAGCTTAGTGATCTTCACTATCATGGTTACAACTCATAACTCAATCATATATGTGCAAGAAATAAATAAATACAGAAGCAAGCAAGTAGAGGAGAAAACCCAACAGTTCATTTTCCCAGAATAGCTAACGTTTATTCTTAGGGAACATCAAACCAAGAACATCTAGCCATGGAAACTGAGTACCTGCTGAATTGCTGTTGTAATGTCTTGTTGGCCCGGTTGTCATAGACCCCATCTGAGGATGAGAAGTCCCATCTCTCTATACCAAAATCAGAATCCCTCTTTTCTTTCCAGATCAGATGGCAAAAAAGAGGCAAAAAGGAAGATAAGAGTGAATTCAGGGAAGAGGCTTGAAATTGACAGAGTGATAACTACCTTTTCTTTGATCCTTTCAATAATTATGTCTTCCAGTGCCTGCCCAAATAATGTCGTTTTCATGTCCAAATATTCATGGTAAAAACCAAAAATTTTTACTGTATGAAAATAAACAACCCACATGGGCCATTGATTTTTTTGGTAGAGAGATTCCAAATAAAGCAGCTAGAGAGATTAACCAACCCAATGTATGTCCAAATATGTCACCATGAATGAATGAGTGTAGTGGTCATCATAAAACAACTTCTTCCCATGCACTAAAATCTCTTCCTCCTCCTTGGGGGCTTAATTCTTGAGAGACTCTTTCTGCAAGCAATGCCAAATATAAACCAGCATGAGGTCTATCAGCAGTAGTAGCCTATGTTTTCTACTTTCCTCCAATATTAGCCCCTTTCCCATGAAATCAAATACAAAGAGTGTTTGAGTTGGCAAAGAGCAAAACATAGGATGTTCTTCGGTGTACGGCTTCTCTAATGTCAATTTTTTTGGAGGTGCTCAAAGTGGGGGTACTTGGAAAAAGAAATGAGTTATCTACTATTATCTTACTCAGACTTTACTGGCATTGAACCTTGCCAAGCATATCTGTTTTGCTAGTGGATACTTGAGATCAGCCAGTTGTTTTCCTAAATACTTGTCACAGCTAAAGTTCTTCAAAGTCCTGTTGCCCCCTGTAAACAAGAGGAAATCCAATAGAAAAGACAACTTGATCAGTGGTTGCTGTTACTGGTATTGAAATTAAGAGTTCCAACTTACAAAATCTGGTCTCCAATTGCAAAAAAGTCTCCTCTTGCATCCTTAATATCGTGACAAATTTTTGGTTGTTTACACACTCTAATTTGTGAGAGCTGGCTCTGTGCAGTTTCATTGTTTGAATTTGTTGAAGTAGACACTAAGACTGTTCCTCATGTCAAAGCCATACGCTGCAATAGTAGGAGGTGCTGCTGGAGTGGCACTTGTTGCAATATTCATCATATTGTGGTTCTGCAAGTCACACTGTAAGAACTTTTCAAACAAAAACTCAGAAACAGGTTCTTCAGATCCATATGCAGTAGGTAATGTTCCTCAAGGGACAGAACATGGAGAAATTGTTATTGCTTTTCCAGTGATATTCACTGTTTCTCTTTCTAACTTGTGGCAGTGGAGTGGAATAGGGGAGGTCAATGCAGTTCAGCACCTGGCCGTCCTCTATTTGGGTCACAAGGGGCTAGAGCATTCACAATGGATGAGTTGGAGCAAGCTACCAAGCAATTTAGTGAAAGCAATCTCATCGGATATGGAAGTTTTGGGTCAGTATATAAAGGTTTGCTTCAAGATACTACAGTGGCAATAAAAAGGCGTCCCAGTGCTCCTCGAGAGGACTTTGTTGCAGAGGTATAAACTTCCAAATTGTAGATCACGTTTCCTTGAGATCTATCCACCACACCACATGCATTCAAATTCTAAGTCCTACTAGGCAATAATGCACTTTGTGCATGATATCCTCACTTGTAAAATTCTGCTGTGCATGAAGATCTTGACTAGGATTCATAAATATCCCAGTAAGCCTAAAATGAAGAAAATCTGAAATTATGTCCTGCTGCTTAGCATATATATATGTTTTCAGAAGCTTTAAGCTACTACAATTCAAATACACATTGACAATTTCACATGGCAAACAGGTATTCTATTTGTCAGAAATTAGACATCGTAATTTAGTTTCACTTCTAGGCTACTGCCAGGAAAGAGATTCACAAATGTTGGTATTTGAATATGTACCCAATGACAGTATTGGCAACCATTTATATGGTATGACTCAATTAGCAAACTCTATTTTCCATGATCCTCCATGAGATATATCTCATAGCAGTTCATCATTTTGACAGATACAGGTTTGACGTCATCAACCAAACTAGAGTTCAAGCAGAGGCTGTCCATAGCCCTGGGAGCAGCTAAAGGTAAATGCAAAGTTAAAAGAGAATCATAAAAGATATTTAAATTGAAGAGTTTTGAAATAATGCAGGTCTGTGCCATTTGCATGGCCTAAACCCCCCCTTGGTACACAAGAACTTCAAAACAACTAACGTCTTGGTTGATGAGAACTTCCTTGTAAAAGTAGCAGATGCAGGGATCTCAAAACTTCTTGAAAAGATAGAAGAAGCAGGACCATCTTACACATCTGGTGTAAATGTTTTCTGGGATCCAGAGTAAATTTCTTCCTACTGCATTTTTGTGGTGTGAAATATGACTTTCACTTTTTAAAATATATCCAATGTTTAGAACAGGAGTATCGGGGACCTTCACTGAAATGAGTGACGTTTACAGCTTTGGGGTGTTCCTTTTGGAGCTTATAACTGGACAGGAGGCAATACATCTCGGCTTCTTAGGATATGATGAAGGCTTAATTCAGTGGGTAAATAAATATGTCCTTATTTATATTTATTTGTTTAGCTTTCATTTTGGAGTCACATATATAGAGATTCAAGATATAGTAGATGTCACTCAGCTAAACTCAAAAGAAATTAGGATAGATGATTTGTTTTTGGAGCTACAGCACTCTGTCATTCTAAACCTAAGCTATAAAAGTTACCAAAGAGATGTTGCTTTATGAAATTCCAGTCATGTTCCCAGTCAAAAATTTCAACTTGAAAAGGTCAGAGCTTAGAAGGAATTGCTGGCCACAGAAATTTCAGTACAAGTTTGTGTTACACTGAGCTGAATTTAAAAAAAAAACTAAAATGGAGAATTAACTTTGTGAAGGTGGCTTCTCGGCTGAACTCAAACAATTTTGTGGACCGTAGACTTTTGGGGAGTTTCACTGAAGATGGGATTAGGGATTTGATCAGGTTGACACTGCAATGCATGAGCTTTCCAAGAATAGGAAGACCAAAGATGGAAATGATTGTGGTCGAACTTGAGCGGATTCATGAGAAAGAGATGGCACTAACAACCGTCACGGGCGACGGCACTGCTACATTTATTAAAGGTAGCGAACTATTTACTTCAAAATGAAACCAAATTTACGAAATAGTTGGCATCTGTTATGTATGTGCCAAATTTAAGCTCAATGGTACCAGCAACAAACAACAATTGAGAGGGAGTGAGAGAAAGGTCTTTTATAACTGCAAAGGGATTTAAGTCAAGTATGTGCAAGCATGTGTAAGTATGAACGTGTTTCTAGTTATGCAAGATAATAGTGTTTTAGAGAAGCATGTATCTATCAATTATCTATTATTCAAATTTGATAGTATTGTCATTCAGGAGGTTGAAACTATCTGTGTCCATAAATACTACAGTAGTTTATTTCTATCCAGTGAAGCACCTTCAAAACAACATTCTAATCTGATGAAAATTATAAAAAAGGAATAACCAAGAAAACTCAGTTTCTAGAGCAAATTTATATATTCCAGCATAATTATCACATGCATCAGTAGAGAAAAGCTTCTTAAAAACTGCAAAATTTGATATAGAATAATATTCAGCAGGAACAAATAATTATCATACATGTGTTTAAAGAGAAACCTCGAACGCCCTAAATTGACATTTGTTTTCCAAGTCTTAATTTTCCGGTCAGTTGTAGGGTTTCCTTATATTCCACACAATTTTTCTCTTTTGCTTCAGCTCCCTGTGGAAATAGCAATAGCAAATTTTGATAAGCTCTTTGACGAAAAAAATTAATAATCCATATAATCGAAAACATAAGTTGTGAATGAGGAAATAACATTGGCCCGTGTGCTAATTCCAAAAGAGGCATACTTTATTTGATTCAACAATGTCAAAACTCACATGTTTTACGTAAATGAAAGTTGCATCTAATTGTTGGTAAGAACAAAAGACCCATAAAGCAGACCGCAACTAGTTTGGCTGAGGACTTGGGCTCAGTCAACAACAAATTCCTAATAACAGACCTAGGGCATTTCCCAACTCAAATCAATACACAAAAGCAGCACGCTGTTGCTGAAAGCTGAACTTGTTTGGCACCAAAAGTACTAATTCTAATTCTCCAGCCACAACCAGAAAGGTAAACTCAAGTCTAACTCACAAGATTGAAGGATATGAACAAGGTAACAGATACTACATAATGGCCATGCTTTTTGATAATCATCAAATTGACATTGTTGAGCAAATTATAATCAGTCGATTTCAGTGGCAAAAGATCATAAAGTTAAGGATAATGACAAGCTTCCTCTCTATCACCGTCAATACATAAACATGGGTCCAGATGCACAAAAACCTCTAAATCTACTAGGAATGATAGTGATGTAATGACAAGACATGATTAGTGGGGAATCATTGCTCGACAATGCACAAATAACTGAAATAGTATTACTTATCTATGGACATGAATAATATCTGTGTTTTATACATATAAAACCATCTTATCAACAATTAGTAAAATGATTTGAAAATATCCCATTTAACCAAACAATGAAACAAGTGGTTCGCAAATCACATCATCCCACAAGATTCTCTGTCCCCCCTTTTGTTCAAATGAAATCCACCACGATTCCAGCAGCGGGTCCATAAAGATTTTTGGTTACCCTACTAAATTCCTTATCTCGACACTGCTCAAGCAAAGGGTAAATCTATTGGTTTTTCAAATTCACACAAGAAAAAAAAAGAATACAGTAGCTGACACACAACAGGAGCTAATATTCAGACAGGCACAAATGCCATGCAAATTAACAGAGCAGAAATTAACATCCAGATCATGAAAAGTTTAACACTAATGGAACTTTCTGTTTCAGTTATGATAACAGGAAAAAGAAACGAAATTTTAACTGGCCAGAAGAATATAAGCTAAAGACTTGGACAAAGTAAATGATACCTGAAAAAAAAAAAAAAAAAAAAAAAAAAAAAAAAAAAAAAAAAAAAAAAAAAAAATAAAAAAAAAAAAAAGAGAAGAAAGAGAGACGAATAGGAGTGTTGGCAGTTGCAAGAATCTTGGAGTGGGACATTACCCTTATTAAGCTGTAATGGAGCTCATCAACGCATAGAGGTCACCGTAAGCAACCGGGATCCGCTTTCCATGGAGGGATACGCGCAATCTGTTGTAAGCTCTTTTAGTATTTTATAATTGGTGTAATCCAGAGACCAGTATTTTACGTGTTTTTACATATGGCTCTTCTACAAACAACAACTTGTGTTCTATTGGGCCTGGTGGATCTGACATGGGCTAACTTGAATCAAATTTATCCGATATTTAATTGGGCAGATATCAAAACCCATTTGGCGGGAACCAATAAGGAGTCCGGGTCGAATTACACGGGGGCATCGAAATTATTGATCTGAATAAAACGATATCTAAACGGTGATCGCATCATAAGCGAAACTAATCTTCTCAAACTTTTGCCTCTCCTCAGCCCGCTTATCCTGTTACTGCTGAAGACTATTAGTAAATGGCTTCCATGTCCGTAACCTGCTTCTCTTCTCACAAGCGCTAAGCGCGCCCGAAAAACTCAAGAAAAAAAAAAAAAAAAAAAAAAAAAAAAAAAAAAAAAAAAAAAAAAAAAAAAGAGGAGAAAGAGAGACGATAGGATTGTGTTGCAGTTGCAGAATCTTGGAGTGGGACATTACCTTAGCTGTAATGAGAGCTCTCAACCAGAGATCACCTAAGCACGGTTCGCCTTTTCATGGAGGGAAGCGCCAACTGTTTACCGTATTTAAATTTTTACCCCAGTATTTTACGTTTTTACATTATGGCTCTGCTACAACAACAACTTGTTGTTCTATTGGGCCTGGTGGATCTGACATGGGCTAACTTGTATCAAATTTATCCGATATTTGGGCCAGATATCAAACCCATTTGCGGGACCATAAGGAGTCGTGTGAATTTACACGTGGCATGAAATTATTGATCTGATAAAACGATATTCTAAACGGTGTCGCATCAGCGAAACTATCTCCTCAACTTTTGCCTCTCCTCGCCCCGCTATCTGTTATCTGCTGAGCAGAGAAATGGCTTCCATGTCTGTAACCTGCTTCTCTCCACAAGCTCTAGCGCGCCCGAGAACTCAAAACCCTAAACGTAAAAAATACTCTCCAGAGAAACATTCTCGTATCGCTAATGGGAACCGCAGCTCTAATTTCAAGCCTCAAAAGAGTAAGAACAAGTCTGTGCCACCACCGCTAGCTGGCGGCGAAGCTACCACTTATACCAGCCTTCCTCCAAGAGAAGATTTCACGGTTCCTTCACTCAGTTTTGCTGCAGCGGAAATTAAGCTCTCCCATTCAAGTGTAGCGCAAATTAATAGTGACAGTAAGGTTAACCGTTTAAGCAGCAAAGGAGAAGAAGAAGAAGAAGAAGAAGATGATGATGAAATCAATGGAAATTTTCCGGTTGATTCTGGGAAATCTGAATATGATGGTGATGAATGCGTTTACTCGAGTGAAGAAAAAAATGTTTTCAATGAGAAAAGTTTAAATGATCGTAATAGCAATTGTAATGAAGCACAGGAGATTGAGGAGTTTGCCAATGGCGAAACCTCAAATTTACCGGATTTCGAGAATATAGACTTGAAGGAGAAAGGAGTGCCAGCAGTAATGCGATGCTTCGATCGCGCCAAAATTTACGTGAGAGCCGGAGATGGTGGAAATGGCGTCGTAGCATTTCGGCGAGAGAAGTTTGTGCCCATGGGTGGTCCGTCCGGTGGGGATGGAGGGAGAGGGGGACATGTGTATGTAGAAGTCGATGGTTCGATGAATTCGTTGTTGCCATTTAGGAACAAAGTGCATTTCAGGGGGGGAAGAGGGTCTCACGGGATGGGGATGATGCAAGATGGGGCGAGAGGAGAGGACGTGGTAGTGAAAGTGCCACCAGGAACGGTTGTTATGGAGGCGGGTAAAGAGGAGGTATTGTTGGAGTTGTTGCATCCAGGACAACGGGCTCTTTTGTTGCGAGGTGGAAGAGGTGGCAGAGGGAATGCGGCTTTTAAGTGTGGCAGCAATAAGGTGCCCAAAATTGCAGAGAACGGTGAAGAAGGTGTAGAAATGTAAGTATTGAGTAATGATCGGTCAATTTATACGGTGTATTTTCTTTTTCGCTGTTTTTGCAAACTTTTTTTATAACTATATGTGATTATATGTGTTTATTCCATAGCATTTGTTTGATTTTCCTATGTGATTTATCTGGCAATGCCAAATTTCTATATTTTTTATTTTTTGTGCTCAGAAAGAATTATGAACTTATAAATTTCATAGTCCATGGGATGTGAGGGCTTGGAAGAGATTACTTTTGATTTGTGCACGTTACTAGCAATAATGGCATTCGTGACCAGGTGGTTGGAGCTCGAGCTAAAGCTTGTTGCTGATGTTGGAATCGTGGGTGCCCCAAATGCTGGGAAAAGTACATTTTTGAGTGTGATAAGTGCTGCACAGCCAACAATAGCAAATTATCCTTTTACTACTTTACTTCCTAACCTCGGTGTAGTTTCATTTGATTATGATTCCACATTGGTAGTAGCAGACCTGCCTGGTCTGCTTGAAGGAGCACATTCTGGTTTTGGCTTGGGCCATGAGTTTCTACGACACACAGAAAGGTGTTCTGCCCTGGTACAGGCTTTCTATCATGAACTGCAACTTTATTAGAAGTGAGATTATATTTCGTGTGCAGTTGAAATGGCTTTTTCTTGTCTTCTAAGCTTTTCATTGCTGTATTTCACTGCCTTATCTCAATTTTTGAGCCAATAGAAATTGATCTACCTTTCCTGTGTTATTTTTAACGTGCTGTAATTTGTCATTTCAATGTTTTGCTTACAACTGAATTCGCTAAAGTCCAAAAGTGGCTTCATCATCTGAAATGATCTTATGTGACTTCAATGTCATTGAAAAGATCTGCCAAGGCTTTTTGCCAATGAATATGCATGATAACAATGTTGTGAGAAGGAACTCGTAGTACTGTTGACTGTACAGTTAACTGCGGCTCATGAAAAATAATTTGATAGTGATGCTATTGCTGACTTTTGTCATATTTAGTATTCTTTGTCCTCTTGTTACTGTAAGTTCATCTGGATCCACCTTATCCTCTGTTTCATAGGCTGCCATTTGGAATAATTGTTCTTTGGAATTTCTAGGTGCATATTGTTGATGGCTCCTCCCAGCAACCAGAATTTGAGTATGATGCTGTTCGTCTTGAGCTGGAAATGTTTAATCCAGAACTTGCTGAGAAACCTTTTGTAGTTGCCTATAACAAAATGGACCTTCCAGACGCATATGAAAATTGGTTATCATTCAAGGAAAAGCTACAAGCTCGTGGAATTGTGCCTTTCTGCATGAGTGCTGTGAAGAGAGAAGGCACTTATGAAGTGATAAGTGCTGCTTACGAGCTTCTAAGAAAATATAAAGAATCCAATCAGGAGTTTGAAGGTCAAACTCTTACTAATTTTGTTCTTCATTGTAGCATATCTGGATGCTTAAAATTCTCTTCTGTATTCTTCAAATTTTATCCTCCTTCAAGTTCACATTGTATTCAAAAGTTGCACCTGATTCAGGTTTGACAGAGCCAGGAAATTTGGATCATGTAGCTGATATGGTACAGAAGCGGCGGAGAGCCCCTATCACGGACTTTGAGATCCTTTATGATAGTGGTTCCAATTTTTGGCAAATTGTTGGCACTGGTTTGGATCGATTTGTTCAGATGACAAATTGGAGGTAAGTTACTATTGGCAATAATGGGGTCCAGTTATTGTCACTTATTCTTATTTCTTGCTGTCCAAATTCTTGGTTGTTTAATTATCAGACTCCCGTTAATGCTCTCCATGTGACTAATTTGCCCAACCTGTTTCTTTAAAGAACAATTTGCTGGAACTACAATGTGGAAAATGTGTCATATTGTATTTGCACCTTATATTTGCGGTCAGACTTTACAACTTCTTCTAACTTAGCTGGTAGTGCAAGCTGAAGCTAGGGTTCAGTCCATGTGAGAAGCTATATATCTAATTTGTACATCATTGTTTTACTAGAGTTTTTAATGTTTTTCATTATTGACACACAGAATGTTTAAAACTGATAATACAGTTTTCTATAGTAAGCCATCTAACGCATGTGGAACAGCATAAATAAAATGTGAGTATAGATGGATGAAATAATGAATTAGATAAGCCTGCGATATGCATTCTGTGGTTGCTTTTGCTCATCAGAATCATTGCAATTTATCCCTCTTCTTTTCAATTGTCTGGCATTTCTTCTGCTTCTTCTTCTTCTTTAAAGATTGGATAAGAATTATCATCCATCTTCTTTTTACAACTTGGTTCAAGTTTCTCAAATTGGTCTTAATTTATCACTTTCAGAAAAGGGATTTCTTTTTTCCTTTTTGTCAGTGTGTGTATGTGTGTTAGCGTCGCGGAACTCTGCCTATGTGAGCCTAGGAAAGTATAGCTGGTTCCAAACCCGGATAAAGGAGGAGGGTTGCGATCAAAAGGTTGACTGCCAGTGTAAAAAGCAGTCAAACACACATTATGGATCCTTTGATTATACAGACACAGTTGGGACGTGCTCACTAGGCACACGCTACATTTGGGTGTAGTGTTAAATGAGCAAGGAGTTCCACCACATTGCCGCTCGAGTGTGAGGGAGTATGAGCAAGGGTTCTCACATCAAGGACTGGTGTGGGTAAAGAAGCTAGTTCCGCCATATCTGTGCCCAAATGTGGCGTTGGATAGAAAAAAATTTTAAAAGTCTCTTTCAAAAATTTTTTTCCAACTTATACTTGGCTTTGCATTAATATTAATTTGATCAGAGCTTTGATATTTGAAACAAAAGATTCATGTAGCCGACTCTTACCAGTTTGGGATTATAAGGCTTGGCTGTTGTTGTGTGTGTGTGTTTTAGAGGGGATGGGAGGGGAGGGGTGGGAGGTGGTGGGGTTTGGTTTTGACAGCCTGACTTTTGTTTGCACCTGTACTAATTTTGCATTTGATGCTACTACTTGATGATACCTTAACTTTCCAATTAGTTTGAGTTCAATCTAGCATCTTGCTGTTTATATAATGCTAATTCATTAGTTTTGTATGGAAACTGTTTCATGTTTTATGTTTTTTGAGCTTGTTTTTGACAGCTATGGGGACTCTGTAAGAAGGTTCCAGCATGTTTTGGCAGCTTGTGGTGTGGATAAGGCTCTCAAAAAAAAGGGTGTCAAAGAAGGTGACACAGTATATGTCGGAGGGGTAATACTCTATACTTTTGCAATTGGAAACTCACTCCTATTTCTAGCAATGCCTCACTTTACCGCTGAAACTTGTATGCACGTGCTATTCCCATGTTCACGCACATATGCATGGATCTGTATGCGATGATGGTAGGATTATATGATTTATTGCTGCAGGCACCTTTAAAACCTTTGCATCTTGAGTAAGTACACAGCTAAATTTGCTGTTTCTATCAAGGTTCTACTTGCTTGTAACTTGTGTGTTTTGTAAGCCTGTTGTCATTTAACACATAGCTAAAGTTTTACAAGCACACAAAAGTACGAGTCCTCATTATTGCCTGATAACATTTTGTGAAGCCCAACCTCTTGTACATCTTGCAGCTCTTTTATACTGTATTTGAATCATTGTTAGAATTTCAATAATCACCTTTCTTCTGCGTGCCAGATGGCAATGGTGTGGAATGATTCTTCCACCGATAGTTCCAGTCCATCCAATATGAAATCCAAATGGCCGCAGTTGATGTAGTCCTCTTGTTTTTCATTGATAACAGCAGGTAAAACCATCTCTCTTCTTTTGGGTTGAAGTTTTACAATAAATGGGGAGATTTTATTACCTTTTGTCAATAAAATTATAGGGAACATCTAGACTAAATAATATACTGTTGCCTTCAATACTGGTAATAAAGCTGCTATAACAATTACGGGCTTGCGTGTAGGCATTTGCTACAGCCTACATGCATGGACGCATGGATCATTGCACACAACTCTCTTATTTGATGGATATGTTAATTTGGTAACAGAAATGTGTAAATTTGTCTCTATCCAAGTTTGTGGGATTTCAAGATTTAAGAGAATTTGCAGTATTAACGTAGCTTGAACAAGAGTGATGTTGACATTTCAGGGGGAATCGATGTTTACAAGAGTGATATGGACACTTCAGGGTAGCTGCAGCACCCAAAAGTTTTAAGGCAAGTAAATTTGAGCTTGTCTTCCAGCGAGCCATGATACTAATGGATGCAAATGGATTTTCAGGCACCATCTGATATCCGAAACTAGAGACCCTCATGCTCATTCTTTCTTAGTAGAGATCTTTTTTCAAAAAATATTTTGTAGTGTGATAATGTATTTGTTAGTTTTTGCAGATGATAGAATATATGTATCAGCTCCTAAATTATGACCTTGTTGTATAATAGAAAGGAAGGTTGGGATTTGATTATTGCATCTGGCAGAAAGGGGTGGGAGAATAATTAGTACAGAAATGTGAAACTATATATGGTAGCATCTTACCTTTATTTAGAGATACAATAATATGGATGATTTCCTTTTTTTTTTTGGTTTTTGCTTTTCATTAATCAAAGAATAATGTATTATTGAAATACATTTATTTTTAATTTTGTAGAAAAATAAAAAAAATCAAAGATAAAAAACAGTGACCATATCAAACAAAAACATTTTAGCGATGTGGAGCATGCGGAGGTGAGAGGAAATCCCGTAGAATGTGTCCTGAAAAAGGAGACAAAGTACAAAGAGTGATTCTCACTTCTTGACCGTCCCATATTATATCCAACCGTTCTAAATGAATCTTTGACCGGAACCAAGAGATTCGCTTTTACTGTATCGTAATTCATAAACGGGCAAAATCTATTTAATAAGTGCCCAATTCCTCAACAAATCATCTCCGTACATTACTGTGACTCACGTCCAGATCTTTGACACGTAGCTCGTACATTCAACTGTAAACTGATAAGATCATCTTCCATTCACATTCCCACACGTCATCGTAATGACCCCACTGTTTGCTTCGCTTCCTTGACACGTTGTCTCGGTGGGTCCAACTCCAAACAATTGCATTCTTGTTGACGTGGCAACAGTGTCCCTGATATACTAGGTTCGGTCTCTTCTTCCTACGTGGCAATGCTCCATTTGTTGGCTTCAGAGGAGATCGTGTTTCTTTGTTGGCCGTAAGATTTTTACTGTTTGATATAGTAAAATAAACTAAAAGATTTACATTGAATCACCAGAAAATAAATAAATGAAATAAATAAATTTTGTCCGCTGAATCAATTCTGTTATATGATTGGCTATCATTTTTGTCCATCTCATCCCAATTTAAGTAATTAACCCGACCCATTATGCAAATTCTCATTTTTCAAATCCGAATGAGTAATTCAAATTGATAAAAAATGCCAGTAACAAATTCTCTTTTCTAAAATTATAACAAGTGTGGAATTAAAGTTAAGTTTTTACTGTTGCAAGAGAAAATAAATCATATACAAAATTATTTTACTAACTCATACATTTTATGGGCACATTTCATAAGTAATGTAAGATCCGAAAACGAGCTCACACGCTTTCAGTAATACCAAAAGCATCATATCTCATACAGTGATTCATTGGACTTACCTTAATTCAAATTCAAAGTCTTAAGTGGTTAGAAAGACATACTTAAGTATCTTTTCCCCTAAATCCGGATCAACTTTAACACTAACAAAAAGTTGTAGTGTTTAGGAGAAAGTGCAAAATTCTCATCTGACTCAAACAAGTACAATCAATCTTCCATGTCAAGAGTTGGGAGAAAGAGACCCCTACACCGTCCAACCCTAAAAGTTTTATTATTATATTTATTTATTTATTTATTTAAAAAAAAAAAAAAAAAAAAAATTACTAACTCAATACATTTTTAATGGCACATTCATAAGTAATCTTTGTAAGATCCGAAAACGAGCTCACATCGCTTCAGTAATACCTATAAAGCATCAATATTCTGCATACATGAATTTCAGTGGACTTACCATTAAATCAAATTCAAAGCTCCTTAAGTGGTAGAAAAAGACATCACCTTAAAGTAATCTTTTTTTCCCTAAATCCCGGATCAACTTAACACTAAACAAAAAGTTGTAGTGTTTATAGGGAGAAGTGCAAAATTTCTCGCAATCTGACTCAAACAAGTACAGATCAATCTTCCATGTCAAGAGTTGGGAGAAAAGAGCACACTACATCCGTCCAACCCTATAAAGGTTTTATATTTTAATATTTTATTATTGAGGTTATTTAAAAAAAAAATAAAAGAAAAAAAAAACGATCCATTTAAGGAACTTCAAGAACTTTGTCAAAACTTGTACTCTGTTGCAATCCAACTAGTCTTCACGTCCTTTTTAGAATGGCTCTAAAAAAAAAAAAAAAAAAAAAACATCCATTTTAAGGAACTCAAAACTTTGTCAAAACTGTACTCTTGCATTCCAACTAGCTCACTCCTTTTTAGAATGGCTCTTGACTAACCTTTTCTCTATTCATTTGGTAAAATTTATATCTCTCCCATTCAAAAATATCATTAGCTATGAATTTTTAAGTTTGGAGATGATTCGCACTTTGAAATTTTTCGCTTTTCATATCTTTTATAAAATATGAAAAGACCAATCAGACCACTAACTATTCGTTTTATTCTCTTTCTTTTTTTTTTTCACAGTATTATTATTATTATTATATATTTATGTGGTCCACATGCAATTTGCAAATGGAACTATATGTTTTGCTCTTTCTTTCTTCAAATTCTTAGTGGAAGAGTCAAGGGTCATAGATTCTATGACTATGTTATTCATTCTAAAAGAAAATGTTAAAATGATTGTTATTATTCATAAATTACTAATATATATGATTGCTTAGTTTTCATTTCCACCTTTCCCCTTAGTTAAATTTATGTAGGTCTATAGTTTAGAACAGACAACAACAATAATGGTCAGTGATAAAAAGCATATTGCAGCATTAAGAAATGCTAAAAACAAGAAAAAGAGGTTGACCCATTTTATTATCATTCGTTAATGTCATTCCCAATGCCATTTTAGGCTCATGTATGATGTAAATTCATTAAAAGGAATACAAATATACCTCTTTTTTTTTATTTTTTTTGAAACTAATTAAATTTAATTTAATGGTACTGACCCACTTATAACTTATGTTTGGGCAGTTTAATCCATAGTGTTCTTCAAGCTTTTGATTCATTGCCCTTTTGACTATATCCCTTTTTGCCAACTTTTGGAGATCAAAGACAGAGACCCTCATTTCTGTAATTACTTTTGCTGAATTTTCTTTAAAAAAAAGGCAATTTTTCAGGTTATATTTCTTAATTCTCTTGTGATTTAAACTTTCAACAATGGTTCATAGGGTTATAATGAAGTTATTAATTAACATTTATAGCATCCAAAGGCCCAACAGTAATTCATATTGATAAGCTGAAAATTGTGGAATTGTCTGAAAGTGGTGGGATCTCTTGACCTAAAACAATTTCCACTTTAGGGTTACAAGTGGAGGAGAAGAAGCTCTCAAGCAAAAAGAATTGGCCAACACTTGCTATTTTCAATGTTCCTAATATCTTGACCTTTTGTTAATTTTCTATTCCCTATTCACTCAAACCCACTTGACAATTAATGAAACTGCCATATGTAAAAGACCATCGTCAACTGCTATCTACATATTTATAGAAAATAGATAAAGAAAATAATTTCCCTATTCTTAATTTATTTATTTATAACCCCTTGAGGTAAAAACATAAAAATTATGTTAAGTAAATGTAATATGACAAACAGAAGAAAGCTAAAACATTTGACTCATGGTTTGTTTTTTGCACTATGAAGTGGAGTTGTTTGCACGAGTCAAGACATGAGAGCCTAACTACAATATCTTAATCCTAATTAGCTATAGTTATTAAGACAAGTCTTGGTTTGATTAGAACTAAAACCTTAACTGCTCCCTTTGAAAATTATGAAGCAGACAAACTAATTTCATCGGTTCATTTTGCATAAAATGCGGATCCACATGTGCATATTTCAGATTCTTTATATTTGGTGATTCTGAGTAAATCCAACACAGATACGGTTTTCTTCTTCTTCTTCTTCTTCTTCTTCTAATTTTATCTATAAATTTTGATTTATATATATATTTTCGACATTAATTCCTTTGCAATTGGCAATATTTATGACGTCAAAAAATGGTGAGGGAGCTATTACCCATAATCCATGTTCTAGTAGATTGATTGCCTGGCTACTGAGTTTGCACGTGAACCAGGCATGCTATTAATTAGTTTAAATCTAATTAACCTTAATTAAATTTATAATTAACAAATTCTTACTGCTTGCATTCGCCTGATGTAATGTTGCGCTCATTAATTAATATATTAATTTATATTAATCAGAATAGAATTAATGAATTTATGATTGGCAAACTCCTATTGCTTGCATTTGTTCTGATTACTTCATTAAAAAATAGAGAGATTTCTTTTTTTTTTTTTTAATAAAAAAAAAGAAAATGAAAATAAGAACAAGGGTTATTAAATAGAAAATGCCCTGCATTTTTTAGTTCCTTGCAATGACTTAAGAGGAATCTTTAATTTCTCCATTGTAAGATGAAAGCTCCTAATTACTTGAGTTGTAGGGCAACTATTTATTATTATTATTATTATTATTATTATTATTATTATTATGGGAAACAGATCAATACAAACCCAAAACTTATGTTAAAGAATCAGTAGGTATTGGCTATATTGGAAATTAGAAAAAAAAAAAAAAAAAGAAATATTTAAAAAGTAGGTGTAAAAGGGGAGAGCATGGCTTCCAAAATGACATCTACAGTGTCCTTTTCCTTCGCTCCATGATTAAATCAGTGTCTTTAAAAGACTTCACTGCACCTTCACTCTCTATTCCACACAAAATCTTTTTAGACTTCAATTACTCACTCACTCCCATTCCATCTATAGCTCTCTCTCTTTCTCTTTCAACTCGAAAATCTTTTCTTTCCTTTTCCTTTTTCTTTTTCTCTTAGCTGCTTAATATAGCAATGTCTACCTCCAAAACCTTAGATAAACCCTTATATGAACAAGTTAAAGTACATGGTGGGTTTGCTCTTATTCAAAGAAACACATCTCCAACTCAAAGTGGAGAAAGAAGAGGCAGATCGAGAAAGCAAGCAGAGCCTGGTAGGTTTCTTGGAGTTAGAAGAAGACCTTGGGGTAGATATGCTGCAGAAATTAGAGACCCGACGACTAAAGAAAGGCATTGGCTTGGAACTTTCGATACAGCTCAAGAAGCAGCTCTTGCTTATGATAGGGCTGCTCTTAATATGAAAGGCACTCAAGCAAGAACTAACTTTGTTTACGCTGATAATGGTACTTTTCACTCTCTTCTTACTCCATTTGATGTTCAAGCTTTCTTGCCACCATCACAGTTTCTCAGTGGCATTCAAAGTAATTATAAGCAACAACCCGTTAACAATGACAGCCCACCAAAGCTTGAGACTTGTCAGAATTTTCAGATACCCAATAACCAAATAAGTACTTCTGATAATCAGATTTCAACTGATCAATCAACATATGATACTAGTTTCTTCTTTTCCAAAGATGATACTAACTCGGGCTATTTGGGTTGCATTGTACCCGATAATTGCCTAAGGCCTCCACCCCCTTCTAATAATCCCACAAGTGCTACAAATTCCATAACTTACAAATTCAAAGCTCCAAATGATCAAAACTTTGGCTCTATCCAAAACCAACTACATTGTAACAATAATAGTTATGCATTTCCTATAAATACTACAAGTGCACCAACTAAAGCACTTAACCCTGAGAATTTTCCCTGCTTTGAAGAACTCAACAATGGATTCTGGGGAGATCAACAGTCATGGGAATTTAACTCAAATGAGTTATCTGCAATAATCAATAACCCATTAATGGCAGGAGATGTGTGCATGGAAGCTTTGTATCCAAGCACCAATAATCATACTAGTTATATTGGGTCAGTAATGCCTCAGGCTAGTACTTCTTCCTCTTCTTCTTCTTCTTCAGTATCTTGCACTCCATCATTTCCTCCTTATGGCGATACAATTGAGTTTGGCTATTCACTCTATTGATAATTAAGTAGGGTTTTTTTATTTTATTTTATTTTATTTTATGTTCTTTTTAATATTGAGAGAAAGGAGTCCAATCCCGGTTTGTTATGCAGTGAAAAAAAAAATGCAATAGAATCACAAGATTATGCCTGCATGTGCTGTTGGATAACTATTAGTCACACATTAACATGCACTATTTTTGTCTCTCTTTCTTTTCCAATGTAATTACAAAGAAAGTTTCCATGTGTGAGCAAGAAAGAGCTATGGAATCTGTATCCCTATTATTATAAGTCCTATGAAAAAAAAAAAAAAAAAAGGGGGTTTTGTTCTCTCTTCTTTCCAATGTAAATTACGAAAGAACGTTCCAATGTGTGGAGCAAGAAGAAGAGCTATGGAATCTCTGTAACCTATTATAAAGTCCCCTATGAAAAAGAAAAAAAAAAAAAAAGTGGGTTTCGCAAGAACTTCCTCGATGGTCCCTCTGTTTCAAGCATAAAAGTGATGTCTTTGAACTTGCTATGTATAGATATCAACGATATAACAATATTATGAACTTGATTGGAGTCTGTCTTTTTTTACGGGCTATTTGCATATCTTTTAACGACAATGCAAACATACTATAAAAAATGACAAATAAGTGCTCTGGAAGATGATTCATTAATCACTTAACCAGACACAGTGGATATGGAGGCGCCCGTATAGCAGTGTCCTTATCTAATGCCTTTTCACTATATTTTCGGTTTCTGAAATATTGTGCCATCCTCCTAAGATTTATTACCGCTTTATGGCATTGTAGTTGGTCTAACCACCTAAGGACATCCCAGGGAAGTATAGGACCATTCCAACATAAAGCTATAATTAAGAAACATTGTTGTTCATCTATGCCAAAGATTTGGCAATTTATGGACTAGTTACGTTAATATTACATTATCACGGCTTCTTACAGTCTTTAACCATTTTCCAACTTTGATACCAAAGAACATACACTAATGATTTTTAATGTTGCAGGGATTGTGTTAGGGAGCTAGCTAATAAGACAAGGAGTAAGAGGGTCAAGGGTGGGACTAACTTTTAGGGCTGAGAACACGTCATAGTAATGTCCTAGAAACCATCATTTGTCAAAATCAGGTAGAGTGAAAGAATTACCTAGAATATATATAAGGCACAGCTTTGGGCAGCAATCTAAATTTATTTTATGCAACAGCTACTTATACACCCATCATGGAACTAACCAGGGATCAGCTACGTCAAAAGATTTACTTTTGAAAAAAAAAAAAAAAAAAAAAAAAGTGGGTTTGAAAAGCTCCTCGATGGTCTCTCTGGTTTCAAGGTCATAAAGTGTTCTTTAACTTGCTCATTATTAGATATGCAACATATAACAAATATTATTGACTGATTGGAGTCTGTCTTTACGGCTATTTGCCTTATCTTTTATCGACAATGCTAACATTACATATAAAAAATGACAAATAAGTTGCTGAATGATTGATTCATTAATCACTAAACCACCACAAAGCCCCTAGCTATGTCCTTATCTATGCCCTTCTTTATATTTTTCTGGTTTCTAATTGGTCCATCCTATTATTAACTTTATCGCATTTGTAGTTGGTCCTAACCCTTTAACATCCAGATATTAAATAGGACCATTCCAACATAAAAGCTATAATTAGAAACATTGGTTGTTCATCTATTTGCCAAAATTTGCATTTATGGACTAGTTACATAAATATAATATAATAACCGGTTCTTTACATCTTTACCATTTTCACTTTGATACCAGAAGAAACAGTAACTCTATATATGTATTTTAATTTGAGGAGTTGTTTAGGAGCTAGCTAATGACAAGGATAATGAGGTCAAGGGTGGATTAACTCTTTAGGCTGACAACTGCATAGTATGTCTAGAATACCATCATTTCAAAATCAGTAGAGTTGAAAGAATTCCTAGAATATATATAGCATCAGCTTTGCAGCAATCAAATTTTATTTATGCACAGCTATTATACAACCCATCAATCAACTAACATAGCTAGCAAAGAACTCAGCCTCGTCTGAGAATTTGAAGACCTACAATGACCGTATCAGAATATAGGACTAGGAGAACGCTCATCCACCTCACGTAGGAAATGTTTAACTAATTTCAAGAACAGGAGATGTAATCATGTAAACTAATTGATAATTCAGAAGGAAAGACCATTTCCACAATATCAGAAGGTGCTTGCTTGACTAACACCAAGCTAGATAATAACACAAGAATTGTGTACATCCTACCATTCACATATATTGTCAGTGTTCGGGCCATATAATAACATTCAAACAACTTGGAACAATCCAAATAATGATTATTCAATAAATCTATCTTGAAATCATTGGATCTGTTGTTTCTTTTTAAGAAAAAAAAAATGATTCCATCTATTTCTTTTTTTCATTTTGTTGCTGGAGGCTCCTTTTTCACGCTCAAGATGCGTTGCACCAATGTTTAGCTGCAACGGCCATTACTAGAAAGTAATTATTGTTTTTCTACCAAAAGTTTACCTGATATTGCGTATGTAGCAAAGCTCATGCAAAGCATATTAGAAAAAAAAGAAAAAAGAAAAAAAAAAGTTGTTTTTCGTGAATTTGATCAAAAAGTTGTTTGATATTTTTGCTTAGCTTGAGGTGTGAGCCTCCATGCTGCTGCTTGATGAAGCGCCAGAACTCTGGCTAGACTGTTGCACACCAGAATGGGAGACAGGTCCAATCTTTGAAAAAGTTGAACCTACCAATCCACTAGATGTGCTCATTGATGAAGACATCCTGGTCGAACTGGAGTCCTTGCTTGACCCTGAAATAAGTTCAGGCCGCAACTCCGAAGATGAGGATGATGGGGCTAGAGTACCAATTGTAGAACCCACAGGATAAGGTGCAACAGGCATATCAGCAAGAGAAGATGCAGATGGACTGTAACTTAATGTTCCCATTGGATGATCAAATTTGCAAGCAGGTCCAAACTTGCATTGTCCCCGTTGCGTATAGTGAGTACAAGGTGGTGCACCCTGACCAGAATAAAAGAACATCAGATGCACCACAACGCATAAACAAACTCATAGGAAACTAGAGCACCAGGAAACATAAATTTCACATGTGATTAAATCTTCAGAACCAACATACGCAGGTGGAGAATGCACAACAAACAATAAAAATAAAATAATATTTTGACCTAGTATGAATACAGAAAACGAAACATTGATCGGGATACTGTAAAGAGTAGTTTCAAACACCAAGTTCAAATTAGTTTTATAGTTTAATTGGAGAATTTCGGCATGTAGTAAATAGAGGAAACGATGAATTGACTAATTCTAGAAACAAAGCCCAGATGCATGACATCATGCCAATGCATCTAAATGCATTATGGAAGATCTCTTAAATAAAAAAGACATGACTTAACATTTGAAAAATGATATCACATTGACAATGACAAACCTTTAAATGTTTATAGATCACAATGAGTATGCTTGACCGTTCCTCAAAATTGGCTTTCACAACCTTATATGAGTGTGCTAAAGCATGCACAAAAATCATGAATTTTGCAGAAGAGAAATAGAGAGAGAATGCAGAGACAATAAATATCTGCTGTCTACGAACTCAACACCATTTCAGAGATGCAACAGGATCAGTAAATTGCAAATGCAAAATAACTTGCAAAAACTAATTTATCTGATTCATCTATTTCCTGTTACTCCACTAATCTGCACCGCTATTTTTTAAGTACACAACAAAACCCAAGAGCTTTATAGAATTGTTTAATTTCTCTGTGAATTTCAGAAGCTGGCCTAAATTTGCTTGCCAAACTCACAGCAGAGAGACATTTGTACAATTAAAGATTAAATGGAAAAGTCAGGAAGACAGACAAACATGTCCCTTAAACAAGATATAGCTTTGTAAAGATTAACGTAAAAGTGATTAAGACGAATTGGAATCCTACCATCTCCAAACTCCCAATGATACACCGAGAATTAACAAGAGAAAGAATTTTATTAAATGTCTCAACATTACGACTTACAATAGTTGCAGCAATGAAAAATTATATCAGGCAGATATAGAAATCCACCGACTAAAACCCCTTCATGTGGAAACCTTAAACTAACAAAACAAACTCCAAAAAACTTGTTCAGTTGATTGTACAATAAAGCATTAGCACATTGTACAATGCCAGGAACATAAAAATTCTCATTCAAAGTTGAACAATTTACAAAGATGACCTCTTGCCATAATTATTTCTCAAGATGTAATAAGTCATCAATTATTTAGTCAATCATAGAAAAATATTGCACTCTCACAGTAAATCAGGGAACAAATCTTTTCAACAAAAATAAACAACCCAACTTTCATCAATGCAAGTAGCATAATATCCTCATTCATCTAGCAAACTCTTTGGAGCACCACAGGCTAGCTCACCTATAACGCCTGTTAGAAAGACTCCAATGAAATGAACTGATACACAAATTTTAGCAACCAACAAAGAATGACAAAGATGCTTACATCTCACATGAAATGAAAGAGGAAAGAAAAATTCTTTCTGTAGACAAGAAGACTGCAAGTGACCTTCCACTCATATCAAAAAGTTATGGAAACTGCTCACTATAGGTTGGATTTTGCAACAAACAAAGATCCTGATGCAAATTATTCCCGAGGAGACCCTAAGGTTAAAGAAAATAACAAGTCAAGTACACCTAACAGCTTATTTAAAAAAATTGTAGAATAGCACAAGTTTCTAGCTAGAAAATAACGAGGAACTAACAAGTTTCTCATTAACCATAAAATGACATCTTTCAAAAGTATAAATTGACAGTCTTCCAAAACGAATAAAATTAGCCAAAATTTCAATTTTAAATATTAAAAAATCGAGTTAAGACCAAAGTCAGCTGCAACAATGATAGATAATTGAAATGTGTAAAAAATGCCAAGAACGACAGGACACACGAGGCAAGCGGAGAATTATTATGTGTCAAAAGTAATTTTCTATTTCCAGCATTCATCCAAGCCAAAAAAAAGGTAATAAAACTGATCAACACAGTTACAGTGACTCATTCCACTCTTATAGCCAATCATACAGGGATGCGGAGCTTCTATTGGCTTGAATGCATGGGCGGTCTGTTTATCACATGACCTCAGATAGACATATCCGCATCCAAAAAACAATTTGAAGGCCATAATTTATAGCCTCTTGTATTTCAAAAGCACAACAAGTACTGTCGCACCCTAAATATTGTGCAAGAAGAACTAGCATCATGCAACACTGACAAGATTATACAGATCAAAACATAATGTTCAAAGTACCATTACAAAGAAATGACAAAGTTTAAATTTTACACCTACAACTACTGGACCATTTTTATGATTACAGAGCATAGGAGTTTCTTGTCTTGTTAAGTTAAAAATTTCTAAGGAAGAAAGGAAGCAGAGGAATGCTCCTCACTTATTTCCAACAATAGAAACATGTTTGAAAGACATTAATCCAAGCCTATGAAACATTGACAAATACGATGCGCAGAAAATGTTGAACTAGGAATAATTAATGAACTTTATATTTCAAATCCAACTATGGCATTGAGCAGTAAAAGAGGAAAAAAAAAATTAAAGCATGTGCAACTTGTGTTAAAGGTGGCAATAATGACAATGCAAACCAACAAAATGACATGTCCAGGCAAGCACTAAACACTAAAGACAAGTAAAGATAACTTTCTCTAAGAAGCTCTCACCATTCATAAAAGTTATGTGGGTTTGCATGTGGCTTGCATGTCACTGTTGTAACAATAGGTCTAAAAATTTGTACATGTATAAAAATACTCTCACAAGGAAAGAAGTTGAGGGAAGTGTAGAAAGAGACTTGAGAACACATCCAACATAATTTATCGAGAGAAGAAAAAGAAGAGAGAGGGAGAAGAAGATAAGGAAAGATGGAGGGAGAGATTGAATAGGTATCACTGGAAACAGATAATTAGATATGTACACACCTTTGTATAAATCTTCTTTAAACACCAAATTAATACATATATCATAATGCAATCTAGAAAACAATATGCCTGATTTATTTTCCAACTTTTAGGAATGTCAGACATCCATAGACATAAGGAATCACAATATAAAGAAATTTTCAGATGATTCTTACTGGACGTAAAGGAAGGCCGATAGGGCTAAGTACAACATTTGTTTTTGGTGCAATCAACTCTGGTGGATGATGATATCTACAGGAAGATCCAAATTTACAGTTGCCAGTTTTCATATAATACTGACATTCTGGTTGGTCAGGTCTTTCCGGAAAAAAGGGTTCTTTCTGGCTGCTGCTTGATGGACCAACTGAAGAAAGCATGGACTGATATGCTCCTGTGTAAGCAGGTGCTGAAGGAGATAGTTGATACAAAGAGCCTGATCCAACTCCTGGCTGAGTGCTAGGAGATGCAACTGGACTTACAGGTGCCTGCACAAGGACGAATGACAAATGATAACAATAAATAAATTCAACCAGATTCTATGCAATAAAGAAAGCATCCATACACATACCGGGTAGGGACTCCAACTTGGATAGGGAACTACACCTGGGGAAAGCAGCATTGGACCATAAGGACCTTGTACATAAGAGCTCGGCAGAAGAGAAGGCCTCGCAACTACTAGTCCATATTGTTGAGTAGAAGGAACAGATGAAGGATACAATGCAGGAGCAGGAATTGGAGCTGGCACAGGTGCAACTTGGGGAGCCGGTGATTGTGGTACAATTTGTAAGTTAGCTGGCTGTGGATGATGGAATTTACACGTTGCACCAAATTTACACTGCCCTGTTTTTACATAATATGTACATTCTTTTTCACCCTGTGACAGTTAAAAACTCAAATGTTAGGCAAACTTAACTTCAAGCTGAGGAGAGGAGACCAATGTGATAAAAGGGACAGGACATTAAACACCAATGCCAAAATATACAGACCGGACGTAATGGGTATCCATAATAATTTAGGGACACAGGACTAACAGAACCACCTTCCTGCTTAGGATGGTGGTACTTGCAGGAAGCACCAAATTTGCATGTCCCTGTCCGCATATAATACTGCAAATCAAGTAAGAACAGCATCATCAGCTTACTAGAACTTGCAATTATACTAAACATAAACCTGAACAATGCATCACAAAACAACAACAATTCTCACTTAAGCCATATGTATCCACATTACAAGGAAGAATGCAGTGAATGTACATTGTTAAAATTGGCATATATCCAAGGTCTATTTTTGAATAAAGACAAGTGAATTAAGCACCTGGCACACAGGCTGGCCGACTCGCTCAGGAAACTCCCCAGCACCAGCTCTTGCAGCTCCTATTACCTGGGCATATTAAGAAAACAAGTTATCATGCCAGATCTTATTAAGTAACAACGTAAACTTTCTACACTGAGTTCAGAGTTCACCCATTTCATAATAAACCCACATATCAAACACTCCCTTATCAAATTAGCAAACCGTTGTCCATCTCAATTCAAAAACCACAAGATCAAACTCAATCGAACCCAATAAAAACATTCAATTATCACTTTGAAAGCATGAATCATGACAGCTCCAATCAAAGCTTAATTCAAGACGAAACCAAAAGGTAATCAACTAGAATTACCGCGCCTCGGTCTCGCGGGTGATTGAACCGACACCTCGCCCCGTACCCGCAAAACCCGGTCCTCAAGTAATAGATACAATTGGCCTCGTCGGGTCTCTCCGGATACCCGGATTCTCCTTCCCCTAATCCCAGCGGCCAAACACCCTCTACATTCACACAAAAACAATCACAACAAATAAACAAACAATCACAATCCAAAAACCAAAAATAATAAGATCATACTTATAATACCCATTTCCATTTCCCGAAATTGGAATGCAGGTGAAATTAACTCACCCTCAAGCCCGCTTTCAGGTCCCGGGGTTGTCCATTCCGGTGACGGATCGGACTGTGAGCCCTCCTGGTTCCGACCGTACCGGTCCATCCCGAAATTATCGGAACCGGACGGAAACGGTGGAATTATACCGGCTTTCGGACAGTTAACAGAATGAGGCTCCGATCAAGTGGGGTGCGCTCGTGTCTTCGCTTCTAGAGAGAGAAAGTAGAGTGATAAACTGAAGAAAGAGTTTTTCTTTTTTAGATTTTGCTTTGGGGTTTTTTGTTTTTTTTTTTTTTTCTTTTTTGTTCTTTTTCTTCTTTCACTCTCGACACAGACTTGCACAGTGTTTGGTTTTTTTCATTTTTGTGTTTCTCTCTCTACTTTCTCTCTCGCTCAATCAGCTTTCAAAGCGATGGTTTTTTTATCTTTCTTTCTTCCTCTGCTGTGGTGGTTTATATACGCGCCAAACAGAGAAGAAATCACCTAAAATAATGCTTATTTTTAATGTAAATAAAAAAAATATATATACACACACAAAATAAAAATAAAATAAAAGTATATGTTGAGGAAGGAGCAGAAGTCGAAGAAACTGTGCAACCAACAACTGTTGCTACTCATGGTCATTTTGTTATACGAAATGGCTTTAATGCCCTTGACTTTTGATCTTCTTTAGTGGAATGGCGGTGCTTATTGGTTGTGATAGAGATGTCTTTTTGTCGTGAGGTTATTACAAAAGAGTTAATGGAAGTATTAATTTAACTAATTAAGCTAATCTTATGTCAGTGAGTGTAATGAAAAGAGAAGAGGGCAACGTGGCACGAAAAGAGGATCTTCCTTAAATTTGTAAAAAGGGTACAAAGAGGGGACCATATTTTTTTTATAATTTTTTTTACATTTTATATGTCATATACATCAATTATTCTTTTCCTTAAAATAAAATATAAATACTGAGAAATGAAATTTAAACATAAATCTAATATCAAGTCATACATATATTTATTATTAAATTATATTTTAAATGTATTATATTTTCATAATTTCTACTGTTAATAATTATTTTTTTCATTTGCTGTACATGACAAATTTCATTTATGATCCCCAATATATAATATCAAATGATTTCACCAAATTTCATTTTTTAAACAGAAAAAATATACATTTTATGTTTTTTAATGCTAAAAATGTTTAAAATAATAAGTTTGTAAAGGGGGCCAAGACCACCCTCACCCTGGCCCCCTCCACTATTGTATGATGTGACCAAAATTGCACCACATTTTAATTATTTGCATAGTTTTTCCAATACCATAAATTTCCATATCAATTTAATTATTTTATTTATTTTTCTAGGTTGGAGGTTGTTTTAAATTCACATATAAAGATTTATGTTTTGCTTTCTAATAATAAAAATTTATGATGACATGCATTTCATATATATTTGTATTATCAATCCAATTAGATAGAGTATTCGAAATTTATGAACTAATTTGCAATGAGTATGACAAAATTATTTATACATTATGGAATTGTGAAAAGCATCATCTCAATGCATTGAATGTGCACCACTAGATCGCCTTTTGTATGAGTAATTAACTATATAAAAATAAATATTTTGTAACATTGTTAATAAATTATAAGATATCATGATAAAAATGAATTTAAATATTTTTTATAAAATTATGAATTTTATAACAATAAATTCCTAACTGATATCATATTTTTAAATTAGCATCCGAACATAAATCTAGATGGATTTGGTTACTTTTTCACCGCTGAAAAGTGTTAATTAAAATTTTGAGACAAAATATAGATGATAAAGAGAAATTACTTATCGGGTAGGAAAGAAATATAGCTAATAAAATTTATTAATATATAGTCAATCAGTGTTAGCTCGGTCTATCGGCTTTCCAAATCAATAAATATATTTGAATACCTATCGTTCAATCCTAATCTTCTACTGCTTACATAAACTTATTTTTTTTCAATCTGATTCTACATGACAAATTTCTATTTATGAATCCCCACCACCTTCCACCCTCCACCTACCATCCACCTCACCACATGCCCCCACTCCCTTCACACTCCCAACCCACCCATCTCCTTCCATTTCTCTCTCTACCAACCACGCGACAAACTCCAACCCTCTCTTCCATGCGCCTCCTTCCTTTTCCTCCTACCATGCCTCAAAAATGTTTTTAAGAACTAAATAAGTTTGTATAAGGGGGCCAAGACCACCCTCACCCTCGTCTTCGTTGGCCCCCTCACGACTATTATGTATGATTGACCAATATGGCACCACATTGTAATTATTGCCATTATGTATTTTTCGCTAATACCAATAAATTTCCCATATCAATTTAATTATTTTATTTATTTTCTTAGGTTGGAGCGCGTTGTTTTAAATGCCACTATAAGAGATTTAACTGTTCTATTGCCTCTTCTCAATAAATAAAAAACTTTACATATTGATGACAACTCGCATCTCGCTATTCTTCCATATTCTATTAATCTTTCTAGTTTACTACATCTTTCAGTCAACTTCCCACTATTCGCCTCAGCCATATAGATAAGTATCGTAAATTCTATAGAAATCGTCTATATTAATCTGCCCCATCATATCACGACGTGAGTTAATTCGACCCTACATAATTATTAATCGTAACTCAAACATTTATGGAGGAATTGCTGACCTAATAGCTCACTCCACCATCACTTACTTCTCAACTTATGACACATTACTATCTTGGATCAGCATGTTGCACCCACTAGATCCGCCCTTTCTAGTTCAACGTACATCTCATAATAACTTCAATCTAACTACCGTTTAGCATACAACAATATATGACTATAAATCCATCTAACATTTCTGGCTTCGCAACCATTAGTCTCCGAAATAACTATATATAATGATTATCATTCTAGAATAATAAAGACTAGTCACTAAATCTAATAAATATTTTTCAACACTAATAAATTAACTTATATGACATCTTATTAATAAACCCAATTTTAAATGATGCACCTACTACAACACTAGATACTCAAACCCTAATTTTTTAAAATTAGATCATCTAATGCTTTCTTTTAATCTTATCTAACTCTTCTCACACTAGACACTACCATTTGACCTGATATATATAATATAATAACAACATATTTTAAACTCTTATCTATCTGGATTTGTTTACTTATCTTCACTCGGCACTTGGAAACACAGTCGTCTTAATTAAAATTTTGAGGACAAAATATAGCATTGATAAAGAGAAACATCTTACTTATCCGGTGGTAGTGGAACACGACAACATATAGCTTAATAAAATTTCATAATAATTAGTCCACATCCAGTTGTAGTCGCTCTGACTTGCTCTATGGGCCCGTGCCTTCTTCCAATAAAATCCACGAAAACAATAATATTGTGCATAAACTCCATGAGTCCAACTACTACACTCGCACACTATACAGCACACACTTATATAGCACTCACAATATATAACTTCCATACTAACTCAAATTTACCTCTGATTTACGAATTTACCACGCATCTATAAAGCACATCTACTAGGGTAGCTTATATATATACTATATATATATTAGCTTAAACAAAACTTATGAACAATCATTCTTAATCGACTCCTTCATACTTCTTCATACTCATATCAAATATATACATATTCGATCATTATCTACATAATACCTGGTCATACTCAACCCCAGTCTCAGGCGTTACGCATGCGCCAACCTAAAAACACTGCTCATATCCACCGCATGAACACGCTCGTTTGGACTAATTCATTCTTCTTCTATGTCACCATCCTCCTTTCTCCTACTCACCACTCACACCAACCACACCTCAACTCATATACAATCATAATACTGCCCTCTCTACTATATTTAACTATCTCTCGCCTCCGCCACCCATATTCCCCCTGCGCATCACGTATCATCTACTGCTGACAGCATATAGCTTGCTACATACTGATCCTTTCTAGACCTTCCACCATATTCGACCATTTGCCTCAACTTTTCTTCATCAACACTACTCACCCAATAACTTAATGTTGCACTTTCACCTGCGGTCCCCAAGTATCAGCCACTCAAAGATATTAGCTTAAACAAAGATATGTTATATTTATATATAATATAAATATGGAAACCCAGTAGGTAGATGGCAATAAAATCTTATATAGCATGAAACGTGTTTGATAATTATTTTTGTCATTTAAATAAAACAAAACATAAAATGCCTTTATTATATTCTCCCACTTTCCTAAATATAGTGAGTAGACTTCCAAATTTGATTCCATTTATCAACAATATCACAATGTACTTCCGTCGGTCCAATTTGCACCAAAGTTGGGATTTAAATGAATTTGCTGCCACCATTTTTAGCTTCTAAAGCTAGTTGTGAAAGTAAAAATAAAAATTGAACTCCATTTATTTACAGAAAATAATTTACTTTAAAAAATAAAAAATATTATTAGAAATATGATTTAGTTTATATTATTTGATTACAATATTAAAAACTCATTAACAATAAATAAAAATTGTATTTACAAAATTGTAAAAATATATGTAAACAAACTTAATATTTCAAAATATATTGTTAAATATGAAAAAATATATAAAATTAATAAAATTGCAGTAATGCATGGTGACGGTCTTCATAATAGTGCTTTCGATAATTAATGGATTTATAGATAGTTTTTCATTTGATCAATAAAATATTTTATTATTTTCGTAAAAAACATTTTGTATTGACTAATTTTTTCATTTTCAGATATTAAAGTACCCAAAAACTATTTTTCAAAAAATTATATTTTAAACAACTAAAGTCTCAAAAATTAAATTAAAAGCCCATGTCAATTAATGCTCGTGCCCTTTATTACAGGGCTTCATCCATGGCCTTTTCTTGCTCTAATCATGGACAAATAATGATTTGGCAGTGTAATGACTTTTGATTTTGGTTAAAAGTTCCAAAGCAGGAAGCAAATAGGGACAAATTAGTTCTATTGCATGATTTTTATTAATCTGAAACACCTAAGAAATTTGGGAGAAGAACGCAAGATAGAGACACCCGGCGGTGCTGATGCTTTTTTCTATTGACCAAACAAAAAATGCCACGTATTCACCAAAATCCTGCGGTGACCTTAGCTGGATTGTGAACGTTCCATCGCATAGCGTCCTCACGCGCAAACAAACATAATGCATAGAATAGAAACTTCAACTTCAACTATTCAAGTAGAATTTGCAATGAGTGGGACACGGCTGCTTCTTTGGGAAGTCAGGCATAGGAGAGTCGGAATGGGAACGGGCATGGAGTAGTCAGATTTTTTTTTCTCTTTTTCTTTTAACATTTTAATACATAAAATTATTATTTTTAATAAAATTTAAAAATTTACTATTTAATTTTAATGATTACAATTAAAAAATTTGCTATTTTAAGGGTAAAATTCTGAAAAAAAATTTTATCGTAGTAAAATTAACTATTTTTTTAAATAAATTTTATCTGTAAAGTCAAAGATTTTAAAATTTAAAATCTTCATTATAAAAAAAGAAATTGATTTAATCGACGGGAATTGAAATGAGTAGTTCGATCTTATTTTTAATACCCAATTTAATGCAAACAGAATTAATTTTAATCCCGTAAATTGGATACCTATAATTGAAAAAAAAAAAAAAAAAAAAAAAAAAAAAAACTTTAAACATCAGGCGCATCTTCCATTTATAAAAAAGACAAACTTTGACTTGGTATCGCCGGGGCAAATTGATGACATTGCCCCCCCAGTAAGTTCTGCATCATCTTCTTATTTTTACAGAATATCTCCTCCCAATTAATCAATCTGCAAACAAGCGTAACTTAATTTCGTATACAACATCCCGGTTAAATTGACATGCTGATACCATAATTGGAAAAAAAAAAAAAAAAAAAAAAAAAAAAAAAAAAAAAAAAAACCTAAATATCACCAAGGTGGGTGACTGGTTATTTTCTATCAGAAAGAGTATGCAATATGAAAGCGGCATCAAAAGAAAGAAAAAAGAGTCTAAGATGATCAAGACTAAGTTAGCGTGCTTACGTACAGTAATGCATTTAGTTTGGTCTAATTAATTGTCGAAGCGAGTAAGCAGCGAGTATTTGAGTAGAGCGTGGGCATCGTCGCCAAATCTGTTAAATAAAAATCAAAGCACGTAAACATCATGAGGAGGTTTGTTTCAGTTGCATTCAGTTGCGGTAAATTTCCCATTCAGCGGCTCAGATCCATTCCGGTAAAATGGACGGCTAAGATATGTATAATGTCAGCATTTGCATTGGAAATGACTGGAGGTGTTAGGGGTAGTGTAGTAGGTAAGAAGTCTATAAATGCGGAGTTATTTGTCCAGCAGGTAAAAGGAACAAGGAACGGGTGTATCCGGTGGATGATAGCGGTGATTGTGACGGGCAAAGACCGGTGTAACCAGTCATCAGGTGGAAAGTTGTTTTTTTGACTTGGACAAGATTCGGCCACAAGCAGCACTTTTCTAAGATTTGCTTGCATTTGCTAGGTTTTGTACTGTTGTAACCATATCTTATCAACCAGATGTCGGCGAGCTATTTTTCTTAGTTGGGCCTTTTATTTATTTATTAAATAATTATTATCTCTCAGTCGTTGCTGGCCTGGAGCTTGAGCTAAAGCGTCGAAAGGCGATAATGGATCCAACTGATATCATTTTGCTTGGGCTTTTCAAATTTGTTCTGATTCTTTGTCTTTTTGGTTTCTCTGGCATGGCAATTCTGGGAGTAATGCGCTGATAAGATGATTGCAACTAAATTTTCAATTTAAAATACAATAATCAAAATTCTTTAAACAGTGCAATATTTGGAGAAACAACATAAAATGAACATTTCTGCCAATTTGGATGAAATAGTACATTTCTCGTTTTAATTAAGAAGATCGTCAGAGTTAGAATTTGATTTCAAAACATTATCATCGCAGATTTCATTTTTATTGCTCCAGAACAAAGACCAGATGCTAATGCTAAGGATAAAGTCATTATCAGTATCTAAGTGTAAAAGTGACAAGAAAAACTTTAGCTCTTTAACAAAAGACTAAAAAAGTTGGATAAATACAATAGAAAAATCCCTAGCACCAGAGAGACCAGAAATTTCAAGGAAAATGATCCATCAATCAGGCAATATGCTCTGCCAGAGTAAGGATTTTTACATGCTTTTTCTGCCTTAGCTCGTGTGGAACTGGCCCGAAGACTCTAGTCCCAATTGGCTGACCTTGCTTATCAACCAGTACAACAGCATTGTCATCAAACTTTATCTCACCTCCATCACAACGGCCCCGTTGCATAGCGGCACGCACAACAACACCATATACAACCTTTCCTTTCTTCACCTTTCCGTTCGGCATGGCTTCTTTCACTGCAGCAATTATGGTGTCCCCTAATCTTGCACCTTTCTTCCCTTTCAAAGCTTGTATGCACATCACCTTTTTTGCACCTGAATTGTCCACAACTTTGAGAACAGTCCTCATTTGTATGAAAGTCCTCTGCTGCTGCAAAAATGCAAAGAAATATTAATGCCATGATTAGGAAAGGATATAGCAGAGAATAATATTTGCAAATCTGGAACCATTTAAAAAGGAGATTCTGTTATGTTTGAGATGCAGTAACCTGAAATTGCTTCTCTCTCTCTCTCTCTCTCTCTCTATGTTTTTGAAGATGCCGTAACGCTGAAAATTTGCCCTTCTCTCTCTCTCAGTCGGTATCATCACATCTGATCCTCTCCATCTCTTCTCTCTCTCTCATCTCTCTCTATATATATCATATATATATATAGTATTATATTATTTAAAACTTGTATTTTATAATTTTATAAACTTGTATTTTCATAATTTTTTAAAGACAGGTTGACATAACCCAGCATTTCTTGTTTATAGGAGGAAAACATCAATAAAAATGCTTCTTTCCAATCATTTATAGTAGGAAGAGCAGAAAGCCCTCAAACACATAAAAAAAACTAGATATTGTCAACAGCTTATAAATTATTTCGGTGATTTCGGTGCACGTTATTGCATATAAGATTAGATGAAAAGCCTCTCAAGCCTCTACATGAGATTTTATCAGTTGAAGAAATCAAAGCACATGGGTAGCAAACTAAATCAAAATCTTGCATGATCAAAGCTACAAGCTTAAATGTCAGATTTAGAATAAACTAACCTGGGTCATGAAATTACTGCATGTAATCTGATGTGATGAGCCCAAGAAACCAGACAAGTTGTTGTCAAGAGCCCCCAACAATGACCGGCCCGCTAGACATGTTTTCCAATAAATTAAATGAAACAAAATGAGTCAAATATGAAATCACCAGTTAATGACAAGAACAAATACTAAGAGATACTTTCATCAAAAGTAATCAAAAGCAAAAAGGAGAACAGAACTTCAGATGATCTTGAATAAAGGCAATAACATGACATCTATGAAAACCAAAAAAAAAAAAAAAAAAAAAAAAAAAAAAAAAAAAAAAAAAAGGCCAACAAATCATAAAATCATTCAAGTTTGGCACTAAATTAGCCACACTTCATTAACCATTTTAGTAAGACAGCCATTATTGGAGAAAAAAAAAAAAAAAAAAAAAAAGGCCAACAAACATAAAATCATTCAAGTTTGCATAAATTACGCACACTCATAACCATTTAGTAAGAAGCAGCCATTATTGAGATCGTGACCAGAACTTCACATTTAATGAACAAGTTTTCTAGATTGCTATTAGAAGTCAAGTTGTAACATCGGGCCACTTACATACACCTTGGCAGATCAAGACTTCATAATATCGAAAACGTACATTTACTCAATGTGGAAATAAAGCAGCTTCTATTGCATGTGCACCATACAACAAAATGCTGAAGATATTAACTAATGACTTTCTGCACACAATAGATGCATGCTTCACAGAAGTCAGATAATTGCCCGACATCATTATTTATAAATCATCTTGAACTAAGCTACTGTGATACAATGCGTCCAAGCATGAAACACCACAACATAATCCAAGCATGAACCCACCATTTCTTATTAACATATCCAAACTAAACTGCTCATAAGGAAGAAAATGAACTTCCAATATCAGCATCTACAAGCATCTATACCATCATAAAGATGAAACACACTAAAAACTAGTACCCCAAGAGGCGGAAGTATGCAGAGCATTGAGAAAGCAAAAACAAGTTGGCATCTAAGACAAAAAAAACTCAAAAGAGAGCAAGTAGTTATTGGAACAAATAGCAATCAAATTGCAGCGAAATATCATACCGCGGGAACATTTAGAAACCCAAGCAGCCATTTTTGGGCGTAACTTGTCAGCCTTGATTACTGGAAGAAAAAAAAATGATACACTTAATTATCAAATTGCACAATATAAATTCCAGAAGAATTGGAAGGAAGCCACAGAAAAGATGATACTTGTTACTTTTGATAATCTTTATAGCAAAAAAAGTAAATCTTCACAATCACATAAATGAAGCCATTTTAAAGGCTTAAAAAGTACATAAATGGATCATTTTCCTCTAAGTATATCCAAATTAATGTGCATGTATGGTAATTGACCATTATGATAATAAAACAAACAATAAGTTTGTTTGATGAGTGATGTAAACAGTACAACCAGATTATTGAAAAGCTTTTTCTAAAACAAAAAAAGAGACTTTTTTCTAATTTATGAACCTCTTAATTAGTTTGGCTGCTGCCTGTAGGAATGAACTGCGAACAAATATTTGGAACTAATATATAACCTATCTAAGGAAAAATAAGCCATCTTTCCCTGTAAAAATGCAAAAAGAGAAAAGCTTAATTTTTTTAGCCGCGTATGTGATTGATCAGACATTCAGTTTTGCTATACACCTTATTCAGTTATAAAAAATAATTATCAAGTTATCGACACTTATTTACAGCAATGAATCAAACCACAAACTAATTTACAGTGAAAAGAAAAAACAATGTAGAAAAACATGGATCAGTAGCAAAATTACCTAGTGTTGCGACTTGCGAGCGTCGAGAGACACAGAGGAGATTGCTGCTCGTGGAGCTGACCTGTCGTTGACAAGATGGCTGCTTGTCGAGCAGATTGGTGCTTGCTGAGTCGAGATATCGGATTCAATTTCTGGGAAAAGGGCGCGAAGGAAGCGGCGATGAGTTGAGGGAGAAAGCAAGCTTTGGAATTGATTGAAAGACAAACCAACGAGTTTTCTTTCAAAAACCTAGGTCAAAACGACGCAGTTCTTATGTTGGACTTAAATCTAGCTCTTCCTACGTTCAAGGGTTAAGTATTTCGTTTTTATTATTAAAATAAACTCACTACTAATTACTATAAGTGCTATATTCTTCTTTGAAACACTATAAATACTATAATTACAACATTATTATTGATTATTTATTATAATATTAAACATTAATATCATTAGGTATATAATTGTATATAATTTTTAAAGGGCATATTATATTTAGTAGCCTAAACTAAATTGGCCATCTATTTTAATTTGTAGCAAATGATCCATTAAGTGTTACACAATTATAATATAAATTCTTATGGAAAGTGGTAAATATATTTTTAGTAACTATTAAGTATTTATATAAAATTATTTTTTTCCTATAAAATATAAAATTATATTTTAAAATAAAATAATTTAAATATTGTATAATGAAACCGTCAATATACATTGCTGAAAACATTACTTATATATCAGGTTTTTTCCTAAAAAACATATTAAAATTTACATAGATAGATATTACATTTAACTATAAAATGTTAAAGAAAATTTTAAAAGACGAACTCGTAAAAAAAAATTTACATAGTAATCTTTTTGTAAAATGAAAATAAAATATAAAAATTAAAATAATGATTGTAAGCAAAATAAAAATAAAAAATTTAAACCAATTAAACTTCCAAATAAATATTAAACACTACATAGCTTATTAATTAAAATCGAACAATCCTATATCAATTTATAGGTCAATTGAATCTTAATATATAGTATTTTTTTGATTGAATAAATTCAAATTCACACGGAATTTAAACCTATTAACAGATATCACTATTTTATTATAATTCATATTAAATTTTATTTGATAAAAATAATTATTTTAATAGCTATTTATTATTTTTCTGTTTATTATAACCGTTAAACTATAAATATTAGTATCAATATTATGTAATTAAATATTATAAATAATTGAGATAATATTTTAATTAAGGAAAAACATTAAACACTGTATTCAATGGTTTTGCCCAACAATGCCTTTCTATCTATTAAACCGTGAAAGGAATAAAAGAAATAAAAATTTTGTTAAACATCCTCGAAAAATAAATAAACAATTTATAACGACGTAAAACCAACGGACCAAGATCCAATCTTCAACGCCACGCGTACGGTCGATGCAGATGGAACCAAAAAGAGGTCCCACGTGCAGCAGAAGGGGTGCTCTGAATTTCACACCAAAAAATAAAATAAGAGTTTTAAAGAAGTAACCCACCAAAATTACAAAATTCTCTTAGTCTTTTAATTTCCATTATTTTTAAAGTTTCGCGGTTATACCCCCAAATTTCTTTATCTTCCTCCTCGTCTTCTTTTCCATTATAATTTGTCAAATCTTTCTTCACTATATTGTATGGCCTCTTGATCGATCGCTTCCCGCCTCGATTTGCTTTGCCTTAACATCTTCCTCTTCTATTGATGGTGAGATTACAGCACCCTATGCTTTGATCGGTAAGTTCACTTTTGTTGTGTTCCTCTCTGCATCAATCTCTCAATTAGGGTCATGCAATTGAGCAATTTCAAACTGCTTCTTAGCGTCTCCGTTTGTTTCCCGGGAATATGCGGGAAAACGGAATAAACACCCAATGCGAATTTGATTTCGATTTTATTTCTTTTGTTTTTTTTTCCCCTTGCTGTTGCTTTGTTCTTGAAGAGGCTGGAGAAGTAAAACGAGTGTAGTCGTGCATTTGGGGCTTAGCTGAGTCATGAATGACCTGTTAATTATAAATCCTCATATTGAATTCTGCGCTTTCTTGTGCTTTACATTTGTCAGACGAACTTCGAATTGACCAAGCTAATTAGCTCGCTTTGAGTGAGATTTTGAATTGGAAACTTGTATTCGAAATGCAACTGTTTTTTCTTCTCCTTCTTGTTTACCAGAAATCAAGGATCCGTGAGTGCTCGTTTTGTTATTATTTATTTCATCTCTTTCTTTCTCAATTTCAATGTTCTAGCTGCAAATTTTGGTTGTTTTGGTGTCTTATATTTCTCCGTTAAATCTTTTTGGTTTGTCAAAAATTGGAAAATTCATTTTAGTTAGTCCAAACATTAGCAATGAACTCTATCTCACTGAAGATTCTGCTCCAGCTTTTTTTCTTTTAGTATTTTCTGCCTGCAATTTTATATTTTTCTTTTGTTTTCCCCGAATCAGTTAATAGTTGTTTGGAAAATTGATGCATTAGTTTCTATTCAAAGCCAATTATGCCACTCCTACATTTCTATCTCTTCTGTGTTGCAATTGTTTGTTACCTGACTGGTGCACAATGCATCTCTTGCCCCCGCTTTATCAAATGATTCATTTCTGTTGTGCTAACTGTTGCTTAAGTGAAAGGTTGGTTCAGTGAGCTATTTCACTTAGATGACACAGAATATTGATGTGAAGATAACTGTAAATCTTAGAAGTGTCGTGGCCGCATTGTGCTGAAGAGAAAACTGCACATTAAAGGGTGCATAAAATTGTAGAAAACTGCACATTAAAGGGTGCATAAAATTGTCCACGGTTATATACTAAGCTGATTTGACTAATGTAACAATCAGTGTTAAGAAAATACGTGGATGTTATTGTTTCTGTATTGCTTCATCTTCAAGTAAGATTAAATCCTCAGAAACTTAGTTGAACTATTGTGTGTTCTCTCAGCTGAGTTGTTGTTGGTCTTGAGCTCAAATCTAATGGGCTTCGTTTTGGGTAGATCTAAGCTCAGATGAAAAGATTGGAGGGCATACTTCATAGTTTGTTTTTATGTTCTTGTTGTCTTTTGAGAGATATAGGAGGTATTGTTCACTTATTTCTCTCTTCTCAATGAAGTTGCTTTTTCTTTCTTACTTTGTGGAAGCATTTGGGCATGAAATTATGGAGAAAATATATGACTGCAGTATCTTTTCAGGCTTTTACTTTTACTGTTAATGATATTAAAAACTAACATAGGTTTTGCTTTCTTGGCATGATTCAGACATTTTAGCAAGTTACTCATGGCTCCATCAAGAAAGTCTAGAAGTGTGAATAAGCAATTTTCATACGTTAATGAAGTGTCTTCTAATAAAAATGTGGAGAACGCGAGCAAAAACAGGCAAAAGGTGAGTTTCTGGCTTTGGTCAGAAGATTATTGTGTTTTATTAGATTACCTAAGATATACTGTTCCTTTGCACATCCACTTCAGATACCTTTATTGAACTACATCAAATTAAGGTAGCCCCATGGAATTAATGACTAGCTCATTAAAAGTTTGATTTTGGGAGCATTCCTAGTGGATAACACTTTTTTTCATGTGCAGAAGAGGAAGTTGTCTGACATGTTAGGACCGCAATGGAGCAAGGAAGAGCTTGAGCGATTCTATCGGGCATATCGTAAGCATGGACAGGATTGGGAAAAGGTCAGTATTGATTTTTTTTGTTAGTATATATAAATAGATATAAAATGTCAATGGAACACCACGAATATGCTTCTTTTCATGGCAATTCGGAACCAGCGTGATATGATCCTTCTTGTTGTAATTGGGATTAAGTCTGTTGGGATCAAAACTATTGCTTTGTTGGCCATTATGTCACTATCTCATTATCTTCTCTTTTCCCTTGGGTTTTTAGGTGGCTGTTGCAGTGCATGACCGATCTGTGGAAATGGTGGAAACCCTTTACACCATGAACAAGGTAAGTAGTGATTTTGATAACCTAAGTATATTGTATAAGTTATCTTCATGCTTAATGACGATATAGCTATGAACAGAACATAATTGAGATAAAAGATTCATGTAGCAGAACCTAATTAGTTCTTGTTGTTTGTCTGATGCTTTGTTCTATCTATTAATATATCAAATGATTTAAAAATTTCCTTTCAAAATTTTTTTCCTGCAAAAAATATTTCAAAATTTTTTTTCGAACTTACATTTTGCTTTGCATTGCTATCAATTTGATCTGAGTGGATATAAACAAACGATTCATATAACTGAACCCAACTAGTTTGGGACTAAGGCTTAGTTGTTATTATTGTATCTTGATTTGTGAAAGTTCTAGATTTTGTACGTTCATTTTAATTTTTTAAAATTTCACATGATGGTTTTTCATCTCCCTTAGATTCTTCTTTTTCACACAGTATGTTGCATGGCCTTTTTTTTTTATTGATGTCACTAATGAAAATATGCTGTATTTTCAGGCTTACTTATCTCTTCCAAGGGGGTATGCTTCTGCAGCTGGACTAATAGCAATGATGACGGATCACTATAATAATCTGGTGAGATATTTGTGGGCATGCTTCATGCATCTTATTTTGGCAGCTGAAGATTACCCATCAGTTCGTGCTTTCTAAATTAGATTCAGTTGTTGCTCCTTTTAAACATATGGCACAAGTTTTTGTGTTGCAAATAGAGGTTAATCAAAAAGGTTTTTTAGCATCCTGTACATGTATCTACATGTCTGCATCAGATGTGTATACAAGTATATGGTTGTGGAAACCTAATTAGAGGGAATGGTACCTGCTTTGGATAAGGTGTGTCAGTAAAGCTGATGAATTATTATTTTTCAGGAAGACAGTGACAGTGAACAAGAAACTAATAGGCCCATAGTCTCCCCTCGAAAGCCTCAAAAACGTGCTCGGGGAATGAAAGAATTAGATATGTCACCAGTTCCACAACTGGTGCAATCTCAGCCAGCTGTAACAGGCTGCTTGTCACTGTTGAAGAAGAGACGCTCTGGTAGAAATATTTCTCTATCTCACTCTATGCTTGTGTGTGAGCGTGCGTGCGTGTGTCTGTGTACCATGATCTGTTCTTTTTCTTTCTGAGGCGATGAGTTTTGAGAAATCATATCTGTTGTTATTATGTGCTTGAAAATGGTAGCAGTTAAAGTTGCTTTAACTATGTTGGTTAACTGCATTTTTCTACAATTAGTAGTTAATAAATTCTATTGGAGGCTGCTGTAGTTTTTGGAAGTTTCTGCATTGAATTCAGCACTAAATTTATTTCCTCTTTAGCACCTCTGACTATATTTTGCACTTCTCTGGTTCGATTCTCTCCTTTCCAATATCATTAATTGTCCATAAGGATCAACTTTGTTTATGCCTTGGAATCCTTATAGGAACCAGACCTTGGGCTGTTGGAAAAAGGACTCCTCGTGTCCCTGTTTCATATTCATTGGACAAAGATAGTGGGGAGAAGTATATTTCACCAATTAGGCAAGGTTTGAAATTCAAGACTGACGCACTGGATGATGATGTTGCTCACGAAATAGCACTAGTATTAACGGAGGCTTCACAAAGAGCTGGTTCTCCTCAGGTCTCACAAACACCAAACAGAAAAATAGACACGCCATCACCTGCTCGGAATGGTGAACATATGGTAATTCATTTTCATTTTTTCATAGACGTTGTTCTAGAACTGTGAACTAATTTATCATGGTATTCAGCATACTGAATCAGAGATGACCAGCACCAAGTTTCGTGGTAGTGAGATGGACGAGGATGGCTGTGAATTAAGCTTGGGAAGTACGGAAGCTGATATCGGACATTATACAAGAGATAAATGTCTCTTAAAAGGGAAGAGATACCAGGGGAAGAAGCCTGCATCAGAAGAGAATGCAGACAATCATTTGGATGACGTAAAAGAGGCCTGTAGTGGGACAGAGGAAGGACAGAAGCTGGGTGCTGTCAAAGGAAAATTAGAAATGGAGGTTGTGGGTGCAAAATTTTCAAGGTCCAATAAGGGTCCGAGAAAGAGAAGTAAAAAAGTTCTATTTGGAGAAGGTATGGTAGCAATTTTATCAAATTTTTTTTCATATCTCCAAAATCATGCAGTTTCAAGCACTTTTCGAAAAAAAAAGTAATTGATTTGGATTTGTAATTTCACCTATTAAGAATTCTGATTTCCATCTCAAAGTTTGAAAAAATTACCTGATATCTAATGCCTAATTTGTGGTTGGCCTTCCTCACATAACCAAATGGTATCTTTTACAATAGAAAAAGAATATCAAGAACCTTAATTATTTTTTCGGAGTCATTCCAGTGAAATAATGTGAAACTCTGAGGATAAAAGGAGAAAAAAAAAAAAAATGGAAACCTTTGTAAGGTTTTGCTAATGAAAATTTTATGCGGTTGGAGATGGCATTGTCCACTTGGTTCCAATGCGATTCACCAACTTCTTAAGTTTCTGCTTTGTGAATGTCAACTTTGGCCTGCCTTCCTTGATCATTCTGTTGAAGCATGCTGTCCTTGTATAACCTTTCTCATTTTTTCTTTTCTTTTTGTGTAGGTGAAGCTGATGCATTTGACGCATTGCAAGCTCTAGCAGACCTGTCATTGAGGTTGCCGGAAGCACCTGTTGATACAGGTAATCCTATAGATGTTTTGGAGGACAGGTTATGCAAGGACAAATCTTTGATATAGTTTGCTACTCTTCATTTTCTTCTAAAAATTGTTATGTTCCTTCAAGGTGAAAATTCATTGCTATACAGGAAACTTGGATATTGAAAATATCGAAGAGAAGTCCTAGATAATCTCTTTCTTATTTCTTTTTTCTTATTGATATTAAATTTGTACCATAAGATCTAGTCAATGCAAATTTGATGGGTTGCAATAATAATTCGTGCAGTTAGCATGATAATTTATATGCAATATTAATAGCCATACAATGTATTTTTATTAAATTACTCCTGAGAAGTTATGAATTGATTTAACATCTGGATATTGGTATTGAGCGATGATTTTAGTGATTTAGAATCAACAACCTTTTCAATAATGCGATACTTGTTGTTCTGCCCTTTGTGCTGTTTGTCACATTACTGTAAAAACTTACTAGTTATGAATGTTTTATTGACAATTCTAAAGTGATTATCTGATTCTTGGTCAATAATAATTCACCTTCTCACTATCTTCAAAATATGGATTTAATTTAAAGGCTCAAAACATTGACCTATAAGCTTCGAGGTGAGTTTGTGTAGTGAAATAGAGATTCATACACGTAGGATTCAAGAAGCCAAGAAATGTGGTACTCTTGAGATTTCCTTTTAATGTTTTTGTGATTTGTGCAAGCCAAAGTTTTTTCTTATCGCAATGTTGATTGTCCTTTTCTCATCTTCACTTATTATGAGTTTGAGCGTCTTTGTTGATCTGTCTTAACCATATGTTATGAAGATTTGTGAAATTGAGGAAAATTAGTGATTATATGCTGTGTTGTTACTGTTAAGGCAATCTATTTCTGATTTTGAGTAATTATGTCTGCCAGAGTCATCTGTGCATGTTGAGGAACAAAAGACTGGAAATGTTGCCAAATCCAAGCTGAAAGGGATTCGTTCAAGTTCTGGAGTTAAAGTCGCCTCCTCCAAAACAACTAAACAAGGAAAAGTTTTCCCTCATGATGTTAGCACTGCTCCGGATGTAAAGGATGGAGCTCATCAAATTAGTGTTGGGATTCGGAAAAGGAGAAAGAAGTCCTCGCCATCTAAGGTAAGGATTAATTGTAATCTTATCTGATGCCAAATAGTTTATTTCTAAAGCTTTCTTTAATGGTGTATCATTCATATTACATATATTTATCTCTATCAGTATATTGTTTGTAAGTTGCAGATTTTAGAAAATGAAGAGCTCATTGATTCTCATCAGGATGAATCTCATAAGGTTGAGGTGTGTAATTCTTTTCAGCTTCAAAATTCTAGCAGGTGTCCTTTCAATGATTTTATTAAATAGATGAATTTAAATATTCCCATCAATTGCATAATGCAAGTAAAAACACTCAAAGATTCCCAATAGTCAAAAAACCAAGCAGAGCTCCCAAAAGTTTTTGGGAGATGTGAATCCAGGCAAAGGAGATTAATACAAAAATAAAAATTTTTCATTATCATGTAAGTTAATCCTTTCAACCAAAGGCCTTAATTAGCAGAGGAGCAGTCAGAAATGGTGAAAAAAAATGAGTCTTTTAAGGTACACGCTACCTTCTAAAGTGATTGCTTCAAGATTAAATTGAGAGTCAGCCCAAGATAGCACATTGACCATGAGTTATTTTGCAGAGTAGTTAAATTAATAAAATCAACTGAGGTGGTCAAATTAAACCACGCAAGAAACAAATGTAGCTAAATTTGTAAAGACTTCAACAGGAACACAAGACCTTCTTGGAAGTTTTCAAGAGCCAACCAAATATATGGTCATATTATCCCTAATAATCTTTTGACAATTTAACTGCTCTAGAATATAGAGGCATTTGTCTGTTTGTTTTCTTCTTATTCAATATATTCCTTAAAATCAGCACTTGCTGAAGTGAATAAGATTGATGAATTCTGATGTCATGTAAGTTGCTTTTTTGGGCGTAGGTATTGCTGTTATTACTTCCTGTTATGTTTCTAAACATAGAGGATTCAAATTGCAATATCTGCTCATTTTGTTTCTATCTGGATTGCCTTCCCTCATGTGTTTATGTTTTTGAGATCGGATCTATTTGATTAGTAAAAAGGATATGTAATCCTTGACCTCTCGAGTTCTTTGTTAATGGTTATTAATCTCTCAATGTCTTTTATGTTGCTTTTGTTATGGATGATTAGCAATAATTTTTTTTTCCTTCCAATAATAGTTCCCAGTGCTATGCTATTTAGGATCCATATTATTGTTTTGGTTCTGCCATATGGGTTCCTTATATAACTAGTTGAAAACTTTTTTTCCTTGGAACTCTACTGTCTATATGTAAAATTGCGTACTCCTATTTCTAGGTTCATTATTGTTGTTGTTCTTATCTCTCCACTCTTCATGTAGGCTACAGAGGATGTAAATGACTTAATAAAGAAAGCTAAATGCTCTCATGATACTGCATACCAAAAACAAGGAAAATTGACGAAACCTTCAGAATTTACTTCCAGTATGGACCATGGGAGGGAGTCAAATGATTCAGCTCCAACTTCCGTACAAGTTTTGTCTTCAAACCAATTTAACTTACCAACTAAAGTGAGGAGTAGACGTAAGATAAAGACACCAAAACCATTGATCGATAAAGATTCTCCATCTCCTGAGAATGTTGTAATTGGCCAACACATTATACCCATTCCTTCATTCAAAGATGGTGCACTCAGACTTAAGGTCAGATGCACGGTTCTTATTTATATTTCCACAATTTTCTTGAATTTCTGACATATTTGACATATTTATATTTGATAAATACAGAAAAAGCTTTCTAGTTGTCTTTCCCGGTATCAAGTTCGGAGATGGTGTGTTTTTGAGTGGTTCTACAGTGCAATTGATTACCCATGGTTCGCTAAAAGGGAGTTTGTGGAATACTTGGATCATGTTGGCTTGGGCCACATTCCAAGGTTAACTCGTGTTGAATGGGGTGTCATAAGAAGGTATATGGCTCTCTTTTGTGCATATTTCATACCATGCTTTTGATAGTTTATGAAACATGATCTACAAATTATTGCTCTCACAATTGCAGTTCCCTTGGTAAGCCACGGAGGTTTTCAGAGCAATTTTTGAAGGAAGAGAAAGAGAAGCTTAATCAATACCGGGAATCCGTTAGGAAACACTATACTGAACTTCATGCAGGTACCAGGGATGGGCTTCCTACTGATTTGGCTCGACCCTTAGCAGTTGGACAACGTATTATTGCTCTTCACCCAAAGACAAGGGAGATTCATGATGGAAGTGTGCTGACTGTTGATCATAACAGGTGTCGAGTTCAGTTTGACCAGCCTGAACTAGGGGTTGAATTTGTCAAGGTAATTTGCTTATGAAATTTGCATGTTCTTTTCATTGACTCAGAATATTTCAGAAGCTTTGTATTTCATTAGTTGTTGAACTTGCTCCTTTTTAAGTTACTCTAATAATAAGTTGGTTAGTTTATCTAGTATCTGCTGTGAAAGTGACATCACATTAGCTATGACTGTAGAGATATTTTGTTCATTTTGATTTTTTTTTTTTTCCTTTTGCCTTCAAAAATTATGGGTTTCATATTTGTATTAAATTGGAGGTGGGCATGTGCGCAATGATAAATTTCTTCTGTAGTGACTTGGAGGCCATGGGTTCAAACCACAAAAATGGTCTCTTTGTGATGCAAGATGAAGGTTATATATATCCTTCCTAGTACCGGTGGATTGCTTCTGACCTTGCTTTGTGTGACTAAATCAGCATTAGAAATGCATGTCACTTTGTGCCTTCATTTACTGGGAGAGATTTCATCATTACTAGTTAAGTGGAAGACATATAACAACAGATGTTTCAGCAACTAAGCATCTAAAACTCAAAATGTGACATCTACATGCTGGTAACTTAGGTTCCTGAATATGATGTTTGTTTTGTATATCTGGAAGCTCTGGATTATTACTCTATTTAGGTTCTGTTCAACACAATACAAAAACTCTTTATGTCGCTACTTGTTTCTAATTCCCAAGTGAAGACAACTGTATCACGTGGGAAGCGGAAAAACTTGCTACTTCAGAATATCCTTCAAAGATAACATGTGCATTCCTCAATTATCTTAACTTTTTGAGACTCTATTTTGCCATATTTCCCTTTTAACAATTTTATATTGTTCTTTCTTTCTTTCATATATCATAGTGTAATACCTAGTTTTTTCAGGATGTTGATTGCATGCCTCTAAATCCATCAGACAATATGCCTGCATCTCTTAACAGGCACAATGTTGTTTTGAATAAATTTATTGAGAACTTGAATGATCTCAAGATGAATGGGCATCCTATAGAAAGGAAGATGGAAGGATACATAAAATTTGCAACATGTGAAAATCTGGAGAATACCGATGGTCTTCCACATAGTTCCCCGTCAACTCATCACATCAGCAATTCATTACAGCATGTAAAGGTCAGCAGTCCTTGGAATCTAACTTTTATTGTGTGCTTATGGCATTTGGTTAATTCTGTTAGATATAATGAGCAATTGGAATATTTTAAGATGAATCATGGTAAGGATCTCTTTGCATTATAACTCCGTTGCTCTGTGCTTCGTGAAGTCCTCACTGTTCAGAGAGGAGTGGGGGATGCCTGTTATTTGTCCTCGTGAACTGCTTGAATACTTGCTGAAGGATATTTATAGGTTTATATTGTAAATGGATCCATCATCCTTGGGCTAGAATTTTCAGTCAGATTATGCTTTAGGGCAGATGCCCTGAAAAATCTCTATCAAATGTCGAACAAAATTCCTTGTTGTGTAATTGCACTCTAATGGGACAGGCCTTCTATTAAGATCTTGAATTTAAAGTGGATCTATGTCAAAGAGGCAGATTGTTCTTTACAAATATGTTTCTACTTTGGTAATGAGATCAAAATTATTTGCCCTTATCTTCTTTGCTTGTTGCTATGCCTGAATCTTCTCAATTGAGCTTTAGTTTGAGTTCTTTTTTAAACAACCCATATCCCTATAATTTCATTGCTGTAGCCTAGCATTTGACATTTGTAGTTAGAATTATTTATTTGTTTATTATCGCTTCAAGAACAAACTGATTTGATGCAGGGGGGTTCAGCAAATTCTAATACACAAGTTAATAACGAATCAGGTGAAACTGTTATTGTTCAACCAACAGTAAATGCTCAACCATTTATTCTTGCACACATCCAAGCAAAGGAAGCTGATATCCAAGCTCTTTCTGAGTTGACTTGTGCTCTTGATAAGAAGGTCGAATTTACCATCTTTAGATACTTTCTGCTGGCGGAATAATTTTTATTTATTTGAGCACTTAGAAAAAAAGTAGTATAGAAAAGAACACTGTATTTCTTTGTTCATATTCTCTCATCTTATGAATATATATTTGATATATCTGTTTGGCAAATTTTCATTTACTCTACTTCATGATTGGGTTTCACTAGGTTGTAGCATATTTGCATCATAAGTGCTATTTGAATTTGCTTTATCATATATGCTGCGTTATAAACATTTATATTTTGCATTGTAGTGCAATGATAGACATATATAGTACTCTTTCCTGGTGACATTTGTATATTTAATAAAGAAGCTGATAAATATTTGAACTTCCAGGAGGCTGTGGTGTCTGAGTTGAAGAGGATGAATGATGAGGTGGAAAACCAAAAGGACGGAGAAAATTCTCTCAAGGATTCTGAACTTTTTAAGAAGCACTATGCTGCAGTTCTTTTTCAGTTAAACGAAATTAATGAGCAGGTATGAGGACTCCATGGACTGATTAGCATATTTTTATTAGGGTGAGCTTTCGGTCAGTTCGGTCGGTTTTCACCTGACTTTCCAACTGAAACGAATAAAAGAAAATGCACTCAATAAACCAAACCAGACCAAAATGTTTCAATCAACTTCTTTTCTCCATACCTGCTAATTTAAAAACCATTCATCTTATCCCCCCACCCACCCCAAAACACACACACACACACACACACACACACACACACACACACACACACCAAAAAAAATAAAAAAAAGCCACAACATCCCATCCTAAGCCACATTTAACCCTAGTCAGCAATGTACGGTAGAAAACTACAGCTTTTTAATAGGAGTGAAAAAACCTCTAAACGTTGGAAAATTTGCGAAGCGGTGAAAATAGAAATATAGAGATGTGTGCAAATAAATAAACAATAAAAAGCCATAGATTTGGATTTTTCACTGCTTTGGAAAATTTTCAAGCAAAAAGTCTATTGTACCTTGACATGCACAATCAAGCAAACAAAAAACCGTAGAAAACACAATGTATTTGTTGTTTGTTGCGGATGAGGAGAAAAGAGACACGAAATGGCTGGAATTTCCCTCCTATTAGCTCTCAATTGCTGATAAAAAAGCTGATGAGGGTGATGAGGGGCAAGTTGGGACTTGTGATTGTGAATGGCTGTGAGAGTGAGATTGAGAGAGAATGAAAAGTGAAAACTGAGGAGTCGAGATCGAAAAGGAATGAAGATGGGATTTACGGATCTTGTTAGTTTAGTTTTAGCAGGGATGGACACTGCATTTTGAGAAAGGATAAAGTGCAGCAATTTGCAGTCAGTCTTTCCATGTTAACTGAAAACTGAAAAACCAAAAATTCAATATCCTGTTGGGAACTGCATCGATTTAATCTGAAAAGGAAATCGAATAGACCAAACAGTCTGAATAAAACTGAATAGACTGAACCAAACGCCTCATCCCTAATTTTCATTGTGTTATGGCAATTGCTTGAATTGATCACTTCTTTGTGTAGGTTTCTTCTGCTCTCTTTTGCTTGAGGCAACGTAACACGTATCAAGGAAGCAGCCAACAAATGTGGTTGAAGCCCATGACCAGCGTAGGTGAACCAGTTGGGCACTGCAGTGTTTTTGATTATTCTGCAGATGAGACTCAGGAATCTGGATCTCATGTGGCTGAAATTCTGGAAAGTTCAAGAGCAAAAGCCCAGACCATGGTTGACGCAGCTATGCAGGTGTGGAAGATCACTTAACTTCTTCTTCTGATCTCTTGTTTGCATTTGCACCCTGTTAATTTTTAAGTCAGAGTCACAGTAGATAATGTCTTGCTCCGTAGTTGGTTACGTGTGTTTTTGTCCATTTCATATAATGAGCCATCTTACAGCATAGGTGGTTTATAAGGGTATCCAATGATTACTTCATTTTCTTCTTACCAATTGAAACTGTTTCAGGCAATGACATCTTTGAAAGAGGGAAGCGTTGTTGAGAATATTGAGGAGGCTATTGATTTTGTAAATAATCAGCTTCAAGTAAATGATTTAAGCTCTCCGGCCATGCGATCTTCAACCACTACAAATTTGGTTCAGAGTAATCTGGCTTCTCAGGATCAGTCAAGTTCCTGTGCAGCAAATGTGGGGGCAAACTATCATGCTCCTGATGCTGACTCTGACCATATGTCTGATCAAAATGCAACACAAATCCCTACAGAACTCATTACAAAATGTGTAGCTACTTTGCTCATGATTCAGGTGAGTTTTGGACTTTCAGGGTTTATTCCATATTTTCCTGTTCTTTACAAAATCTCTTTTTCTCGGTAAATTTTTTTTCCCTACTAATTGTTACACTTGAGAGCCTCTGGTTCTGATTATTATATATTTATAAAACAAAATGCAGAAATGTACAGAACGACAGTTTCCCCCGAGTGAGGTTGCTGAGGCACTGGATTCTGCAGTTACGAGCTTGAAGCCATGTTGTTCACAGAATCTTCCAATATATGCAGATATTCAGAAATACATGGGGATTATTAGGAACCAGATATTGGCACTCATACCTACGTAGCCCGTAATGATTGCTTTTCTTAGTTTCTTCCCTCTGGAAAAGAGAAAGAATTGTACAATATCTGATTATGGCAATCAGAAATGTATTTCCCTCGATTCCTTTTTTCCTGTTTCATGTTTGGTAATCTTAAACAGGAATCTGTACATGTATCAAAGTACCTGTAGTTGGTTCCACGGCTGTTATTAATACAAGAATCAGCCTCTATCATTCTTTGAGACCTTGATAACCATTGCCAGTATGTTTCTAGTTTCTACCATTACAAACTGAAATCTCCAAAGGCATAATCAATCTTGGTTCTCTGAAATTGATGGTACAAAGTGAAGAAACGGATAAAAACAAGTGTATATATATACATAGGAAACATAAAAATACTCACTAAAATTCCCATTTTCATTTTCATCTTGATAGCCTATTATTTTTAAAAGAATTTTAGAAGTCGAAACTTAATATTGTACTCTTTTCCTAAAATAAGATAAATAAGACCAGATTAAACATCCATTAAAATTTCAGAAGCCAGATTCGGCGTTTTTCGGCTGATACAAAATTTTTAAGTGAATGAGACCTAGAAAGGGAAAAAAGAAAATCCTTTGGAACAGGCATACAGACAACTCTCACCAACTAGAACATTCAGATCACTAGCTCTGGTCCCCAGCAACTTAAACATCAGAATTTCTTACACCAATAAAAGAATTATTGAGGAAAGGAATCCGGAGAAAATGGTGATAAATTCTAGTCAATCAATACAGTGGCGACCCCTAAAAGAAGTCAACAACACATCCTTGGATTTGTGGATTTTTGGTATATGAACATCTAATTCTAGTTTTTTCAGTTTACCAATCATCATATTGTATCCTCTCTGCACTCTGCTGTCTCAATCCCTAGTTCTCATAGCATCTAACAAGTTCTTCAAGTGCTATATCGACAATAAACACTAGTTTTGGTCACAATTTCAGCTTCTTTCTGGGCTTTTTCAATTTTGCACACTCATCATCGTCCACCAGCTGCAACAGAAAGAATTCTTACCAGTCAATAACAAACTTTTTTCTTGCAATAAAATGCAAGGAGAGTGAGTAACAAACCATCAATGACGAACCTTTTGTTTTTTAATTTTATTTTTCTTTTCCTTTTTCTTTTTCTTCTTCTTCTTCTTCTTTAGGGAAGAATTTTCCACTCTTTCTTCTGCAGAGTCCTGAAAACTTTTGAACCAATAAGAAACTGCACAAGAAGGAACATCAAAGACGAAAATGGGAATGCTAAATCCAAGCACCTCAGAGTCACCAAATGAAGTAACATGATGAATAATTCTTCCAGAATTCGAAGTGCCACCTGATATATGAAACAAAGTAAGAAAATCAGGAGCATTTCTATTGACAGCTTCCTTAGTATGATCTAAAAGATATTGCAGACGAGAAAATTAGACCATAGACTAAGAACTCACAGAATCTAAATGAAGAATCATGAAAAATCCAAGATTTTCCCATGTCAAATTTGAAAGGACTAATAACTAAATTTAACTAACGAATTAAGAACAATATACAGAAGCAAGTAATCCAAACCCGAATATCAATAATGCTTCTAAAAATGGATATTATGAGTCGAAGTAAACCTCAAAACCAAATTTATCTAGTGTGAATCAATCTATAATCCAATGCAAGAAATCAAGGAGTACAAACAAAAAGAAAGACGCAAATATTGATTACTGGAAGAGACAGTGTTCTTGGCGTTTTTTACAGCCAATTCAACAAGGTCGGGATTGATAGAAGACAAGCCATTAGGATCTTGAAGCTTTCTCTCAAGGAACTTGGCGAGTGCAGAAGCCTTGTTCGTCTTCAACGGTCCGCCCGGGTGAGCCAATCTTACATCGATAGATAAACAAATGGATTATTGGTATAAACAGAGATTAGTTAATAAATCAATCAAAATCCCTAAATTGAAGAAAACTTCAGAAGAAAAGAGAATTAAAAGAAAAAAGAGGAAAAAACCTGGGTTGGGAGGAACGGGAAGAAGAGGGAGGAGGGAGAGGCGCGAATTTGCTACCCCTGAGAGCTCTCCTTTCTTCTTCACTTAGGTCTTCCATCCGTCTCACGCAACGATTCTTTCAATTCTCTGACAATGGGATGACTGATTTTCTATTAGTCATACGACGTCATTTCGGCTGACGTTTGTTCTAGTTTGAATAGCGGCCGGTTTAGGACGACAATCATATTATTATATATATATATATTCCGCCCCGGTGAGCCAAATCTTACATCGATAGATAAACAAATGGATTATGGTATAACAGAGATTAAGTTAATAAATCAATCCAAAATCCCTAAAATTGAAAGAAAACCTATCAGAAGAAAAGAGAATTTAAAGAAAGAGGAAAAACGTGGGTGGGAAGGAACGGGAAAGAAAGAGGGAGGAGGAGAGGCGCGAATTTGCTACCCTGAGAGCTCTCCTTTCTTCTTCAACTTTAGGGTCTCCATCCGTCTCACGCAACGTTCTCATTCTCTGACAATGGGATGACTGATTTTCCTATTAGTCATACGACGTCATTTCCGCTGACGTTTGGTTCTAGTTTGAAAGCGGCCGGTTTTAGGACGACAATCATATTATTAATATATATATATATATATATATATTTATTTATTTACTTGTATATAATTATGGGTCGGGTCGGGTCATCATATTAAACTGAGAACAATATGCCAGGTCATCGGTAAATGGCGTAGTTTTACCACAGGAGGGGAAGGTTTCCCGTCATTAACAGAAATGGAGAATGCCAATTGTCAAGTCATACATACAAACCGCGCATAATCCTGCGCGGAGGTAAAAGTTTCCTCTCCGATCTACAAATGACTCGAGGCAATCAGAACGACAGCACAATAGAAAAACGAGTTTCTGAACGACAGATTATTTACATTGAAAAAGTACTTGAAAGATTTAAAGTATAAAATTAGCATCTAGACCATCAGGTTTATCAGCAAATTGATGTTAATTACAATATAATTATAATTATAATAGTAATCTAATTTGACTACATCTATCATAACATAAGTTCCTTCTCCCATTCACCCCCTTATCACAAACTTGAAATCTCACATTTAGCAGCTAGAAACCGGTAATCAACATCATCAGTTCTCTATTGCTGCCTCACGAGCAAGAAAATGCAAATTTTAAACTTTCTCCTGCTGGTATAAAACTCCAACCAGTAACACATAAAGGAAGGAGGGGGGGGGGTAAGGAAAAAGGATGAAAGAAAAATGGAAAAGAAATTAAGGCAGTTACAACCCTGTCAAATTTTCTAAGGACCAATCACAGACTAACATAGGAGAGTATTTCATTTTAATGTTGCTCCTCCCCATCTCTTTTTACTACTTAAAAGAAGCAGCATAGAACTATTACACGTCCCATGCTCCCCAAATACATGAAATTTACATCAATGGCTCGCAGTAGTTTTCAGTAAAAAGGACGGGGAGATGAACAAATTAGGGAATCAGGAGAGAATCAGCTCTCACATTGCATACCCCTCTTTTCAGCCTAAATTCTAAAAGTTAGGCTACCAAGCACAGGGTCAATCAAATGGTAGACTTCAAAGAAATGGGATCGAAGTGACCGTGGAAAGTGGGTCTTCCTTGGAACAAGGCAGGAGATGCAGCAAAAACATTTGCCATCAGTCATAAAACCACTGCACAATCTCTTCCCAATTAAAACTTTCATGGTCACTTTAAACTATCCAAGCAAGAATTTGAAGATGTCACTCAGGGTAACAATGCCTTCTACACGTTTGCTGCCAGCTTCCACAATTATGAGCCGTCTTACACCTGAAATCCCAGGGTTGAGGGTCATTAGTTTGGTGCAGTTACATTCGTAAGGAAATTGTGAAAGAAATTTTAATTCACCTGGGTTTGCCAGTCTCTCCATTACTTTTTGCAATGTATCGGAACGCAAACACATTTGACATCTTTGACTTCTCAATTCATATGGAGTGTATGAGTCTTGTCCCAATTGCAAAGACTGCCCAGTTGCAAAAAGTTTAAATAAGGTGAAGCATACATAAAAAACAAAGCCTAGAATAAACAAAACTACATCTTGTAGATTGCTATGAAGTGAAACAAATGCAGAAGGTCCAACAAGTAGGTACAATCTAAAACTTTTTATGAGCTCTCTGAAGTTTAAGTTTAACAGGCAATATCAAGGATTCTCCAATAAAATTGCACCTGCGTACTACTAAGGTCCTCACTCCCCATAGAATATACACTCAAATTCTACAGCCTATGAGACCAATACATATCAATGTTGACAATTCCAAATTTGAGAATCTAAGGAGTATTGCCATATAATAATCCAGTTCAAAAAGAAGTTGAGAACGTGAAAGAAAAAACTAATTTAAGTTACGTCTTTCAAATTAACCAGTATGAGGTAGCTCACTGAACTTCATTCAAGAAACTGGAAGGGGTAAAAGAGCAGTACCTGATGAATAGTCATTTCATTGATATTAATGTGCGTATAGACTCTGTCTTTTGCCAAAGCAGTTATATCACTGTTCAAACAATCAGTTATCCCCAAAATCAAAGAACAGTTGCAAATTGAACTCCGTATGCAGTCTTATTACACTAAGAAGAACTACTTACCTTCGACAATATATATCTAGTAACGAGTCATTATCATCAACTATTGGTATTGAACTTACTTGAGCTGCAAAGACAAGACAATAGCATAAGGATTCACATAATATTTAGACTGACTTGAGCATATCATCATCTAGTTGATTATACCATAAGAACCACTTCTTCACAAACTGATATGATCAGGCCAATCCACTAAACTTGATATCCTAAGGAAATAACTAGCTAAGTTAGTCAAGTCCTATGATAAATCTTGCTCACACATGGTAACAGGAACTAAGCAAGATGAAGTAATCCAAGTTCACATAGGCAGTAATCAGCCCCCATGAGAGTATGAATAAAGAAAGAAGGGCTAATTATATATTAAAATTAACTGAGATATAAAACCATCTGACCAAATAACATGTTTCTTGGCATTTAAGCATTTGGTATAAAATTCCAGGTATGCGATAATATCCATTCTATTACCAGTCTTGTGTACTTTTTTGCTAATGAATCTCCATGGAATCCCCAATTAGCCTTTCTAAGACCCCTTTATTTCTCTCTGAATCCAAAGTTACAGCTAAGAAAATTTGTCAAGGGAAAAAAACGGCTCATACATTTTATTTAACCAATTTGCACCATTTGTAAGTAAATAGGCCTATCACATATCTTTTTGATATTTTAACTTTGAGAAATACTTGGGATTATTTGTGGAATCTCATAAGTCTGGGTCATTTGCAATCTCAGATGAATATACCGACTGCATGGTTAGTACTTAATACTGGCAAAACAATTTCAAGGAGTTTACTAGAAAAAGATATGGGTCAATATCATTGAAATATGAACTTCTTCATCGCGAATGACTGTTTCTCCGTGGATAACCATTTTTCCATTTTATGCACTTGAAGGAAACTAATCATACCTTGGATCAACAAGTTTAAAGCTGAACTAAGTGGAGCGCTTGGTCTCAACATTGCCAAAGGGCGCCTGTTAGATTCTCCAATTTTTGGAACCCATGTACCTACTGGGATTGCACAAATTGGCAGTTGGAGTATGGGCAAAGTGGCAGAACAATGTCTAAAATACCTGCAAATACCTGTAAATTAAAGTCTCTTTGTTAGTAATAAAACTTGTGAAATAGTTCAGCAAGCCAACCAAAGGACTTACATTTAAGTATTCCAGAGAGTGAAGCAAGATGCAGTAGCTGGGGAAATGAACCATCTTCTGAAGAGGAATGGATGATGGGAACTGTAGCCACCTCGTTTTGCAATATTCTCAAAGCAACCTCTTTCAAATTGTCATATGGCCCAGCCTACCACAATCAGAAAATCCCTTGATCAAGCAACAAAATCCAGATCTACTGAAATTTTCCGTGGCAAATCATACATCACATTATCTAATGCTGACTTGAATAAGTTAACAACATTGCAAAGGACATGGAGGAACAAGAAGAAATAATCACATCTACAAACACATATTAGTAGGTCATTTACAATGAGGAGAAGCACGTCATATCGATAACTCACATGGATGATACGTCTAGAAAATGGCCTCGCATGCCCATCAATCTGTCTATTCAGATATGCTTTTCCCTCTTTCCAGGCAGATATGGTGTGTGTATCAAGCTCTTCCTCTGTCAAATTTGATCCATGATTTCCAAGCTGCAAGTTGAATGTAACTCAGCATTACAGGTAACAGAGAACAGCACAGTCAAAGACCTTTTCCAATTACAGTAGCATCTGGTAGGAATCAATAAGCAAGTAGTTGTTGCCGGATATCATGATAACATCTTAAAGATCATCAAGTACATTATGGTTTATTCTAATGCATAATATTCCAGAGGAAAACAATATCCAAGAACAAAGTGACGGAAGGGGTTGGAAGAACTTCAATATAGAATTTGCTTTAAGGTTCAAATTACTTTTGAACTTCAGTACCTATCGTATAATATAATATGAGGAACAATGCCTCAAAATATTGTAGGGGCATTATTATCTTGTTCGATCTATAATCCACCAATAGAAAATAATCAGGAACTGAGTTTCAGAATTATAAACAACTAAATAATTTACATTTAGAAAACTCAACAGGCAAGAGAGAATGTGATTTGATATGCAATTACCTCTCTCAAAATTAAAATGAAATCCAATGCACTAAGCATTCCAACAAACTGGCCCTTGCTGAAGTCCCAAAGAGGCGCCATGGGGATTCCCTGGAAACAGCTTAACTCAGAAAAAATGCATATCCAGGTTCTCGTCCATAAAAGTAAATATGCACAAATGCCATCACCGACAAAGAAGTGAAAGATGGTAAGATGAAAAAGCCCTGGGCAAAGATTCTAGAGCCAAATGGCTTTGAGAACAAACAAAAAATTGCTCCCACTCTCAAACATGAAATAAATGATCAGTGCTAACATGAAAATTACACATAAGGAAGTACCAAGAGGGGCCAAAAATGCCCAACAGATTATAGCATACTAGTTACTACATGATGTTCTTTCCATTTTTAGAATATGTCTATCATCATTTCATTAGTACTTTCACAACAATGAATCACTACAATGCAAGAAGAGTACTTTTCATATGCAAATCGTAAAGGGTTTAAATTTGCTTTAGATGCAAAGTTAATTAACTCAACTTAACTAAACCAAGAGTCAATATAGCATTAAGTCCAAATGTGTTTCTCTCTCTTTTCCTCCAGGCATCTCTATTCAGAATATGTGACAGAAAGTTCAAAAATCTCAGTACATAGGTACATTCAACAAGATTGTAAGGTTATGAGAGAAAAAAAAAAAGAAAAATTGCATACCTGCTCATACAAAATATGAAATGCTTGCTTTACTGGTAGATCAACATCCAATGCAACTACCTGTAATCATTATGTACTAAATTAGGAGAATAAGCAAGTAATTAGCACACAAAAGAATAACCGCATGAGAAGTTTCATAATAAAGACTGTTGGCAAAAGATCCAAACCTTGCCTGACTTGGGAAGTAACTCATATGACGTGTGTGTAGACAAAAATACAGAAATCCGATGACGAGAGACCTGTAAGTCAGCCTCCGATATCCTTGTTACCACATCACTTGCTGTGTTATCTGATACATGGACCTGCATTATAAATCACATCTCTTATACATTATGTGCAATCTAACACCAATATGTGACAGTCAACACAACCAAGAAAATAGCAACTGATAATCCGCAATATGAGGATACTCAGGTTTTCCTATGGCAGAATAAAAAGCATGAAATCAATTTATTAAACAAGAAATGAAAAGGAAAGGCATTTCATTGACAATAAGTGGAATATCAGTTTTTGAAATGTTAAAAGAACATTAACGTAAGATTTGGGAAATCAATGTCAAATATTAAGGCAAAACATCATCTCACCACACGTCTAAAAGTCTCGTTGTCCAATTCCATACCCAATGGCACCTCTGGACCTATGACAGGATTAAAATTGGATTCCCCAGTGAATAAGACAGTGTTCACCACCCCATATTCACTTGTTAAGCAAGGTTGGCGTTCATCATGCCGCCATTCTCCATCAACCAAAAATTTATACTGCATGGTCAAATATCATAGTGCATCAATATATGGAAAAAACTATCGCACATTCAATGTGCTATTAATGATATAAAATGTATATTAGAGCATATTTTACTCAGGTCCCAAGTTTTCATGAGGTTTGATGAATCAATTTTATATCCAAGTAATTCAAGCTTATTTTCTGCAGCAGTGATCAAAGGGTCCACATGTACCTCGAAAGAAAACTTCCATTTCAGCATGCATTATGAAATTGACAAATCTTCAACCATATTGTGGATAAGCGATTGCCATGAACTCCCAACTTTTATAAGTGAATTTTATACGAACTACTTCTCTTTAAAAAAAAAAAAAAAAAAAAAAAAAAAAAAAAAAAAAAAAAAAAAAAAAAAATCCTCCACTCAGCATTGATACTGAACTTCGTAAAAATCAAAAATGCTGATATACGACTTCACCAAGTGCATGTCATAAAAGTAAAATTTATCATTACGTCTTGAATAGCAAGGCAAACCACCTGGATACCCGGGTGTTATGCGCAAATGGCCTTGAAATACAGTAAGGACAACCTTCCATCGGAAGACATTAAGGCAACAAGCCGGTCCATATTCACAATAAGTATTAAGGAGGCAACCCAATCAATCAAAGACGTAACATTTCCCAATCAAATAACCCTAAAAGAAAAAAAAATTCTCCAGCCTGTCAAAGGAACCGCTGAGAAAAATACACTTCCGACCACCCGTGAGGCCACAACCAAACCGCATTAAGACCGGTACCCGACTCCAGCACCACCCACTTCTCGTTAAAAAAAAAAAAAAAAAAAAAAAAATCCTCCACTCATAGCATTGATACTGAGACTTCGTAAAAAATCAAAATGCTGATATACGACTTCACCAGTGCATGTCATAAAGTAAAAATATCATTACGCTTGATAGCAAGGCAAACCCACCTGGTGATACCCGGGTGTTATGCTGCAAATGGCTTGAAATACAGTAGGACAACCTTCCATCGGAGACATAGGCACAAGCCTGGTCCATCTTCACAATAAGATTAAGAGGGCAACCCATCAATCAAAGCCGTAACATTTCCCAATCAAATAACCCAAAAGAAAAAAAAATTCTCACCTGTCAAAGGAACCGCTGAGAAATACACTTCGACCACCGTGAGGCCACACAAACCGCATTAAGACCGTACCCGCAACTCCAGCACCACCAGCTTCTCGTGCAGAATCCATGCCCGAAGCAAACATTGTGCCTCACCCAATTTTACAAATAAAATTTTTTTAAAAAATGCCCCCTTTAGTTCATTCACTGCAAAAGATATTGAAGCTACCAATTAAAAAAAAATTCTCTCATAAAATAAAACCACTAAAAAGCGAAACAAAATTATATTTTCAGAAATATAATCGAAACGATCAATAATTGGCAACTGTCCGGAGCAGTACCAGTACCAAGAACGAAAACTCACCGAGAAGAAGAAGCTAAAGGAGCTTCGAAATTTAAGAAATGGTAAAATCTAATCGACCTTGAGGATAAGTAATTCGAACCCTAATGAGAATGATGAATGAATAATTTATATAGTTGTAAATAGACGAAGTTATAAATGAAAATAATAATAAGAGGAAGAAGAAGAATCGATGATAATGGCGAAAGGGGTTAAGATCGAGAGAGGAAGCGATACGATCGAATCTAATTTTCAAACCCTAATAAAATATCACAAAAAACAAAAGACAGAAACTTTGATAGAGATGTAATTTGATTCATTGTATTCCATTTGGTGGAAAAAAAAAAATTTTTTTTCCCTAAATAAAAGAAAGTCCACGGGTTCGTGAAAAATAATGGGCGGTTTATTTAGGTACAGTGGTAAAAAGGTAAAACTGTTAAAAATAAGAGTGACGTATGGTTTAACTTTTTGATAGCTTTTAACACGTGCGGCTGATGCAAAGTGGAGACAAGTGGGGACCAACCCAAATTCTGCTGGCTCTCTTCCAATCATAGTTTCATGGAATTTTTTGTTAATCAACAATTTATTTTAATTTCCTAATTTATTTAGGATAATTACATCATTTAATTAATTTTCTTTCCACATATGTAAATACGATTTGAGTAATTTGAAATGCATCATATTTGGGGGAACTTTTTAATCAGTAATTTGAGATAATTATGGATTACTTATTAGATAATTACATGTATGTATGATTTTCATGTTTTATTTTTTTCTTTTTTTTTTTTCTGAACATAAGTATTACTTTCATTATCATATTCATTTTGAAATTTTAATGCTTCATTTATAAGATGATAATAATAATGATGCTAACAAAGTCAGATTTTGAAAAAGCCCGAAAGTATGAGCCCAGTGAATTAGGCTACGATAGGTTAAATTGGGTCTGAATTTTGTAATGGGCCCAAGAGAGCCCAATAATTTGAGCCCCCAATTGGTTTTTAGGCCCACAATCAGACCATCTAGCTGGGCCAAGATTTTCATATTGGGCCACATTTGGCCCGAATCTCAATAATGGGCCCAGTAAAACTGGACCTAAATTTGCATAATGGGCTCCATCTCGGGCCTAAATTTACACAATTAGCCCATATATTGGGCTTAAATATCCAAAATCGGCCCAATAAAATTGGGCCTGAATATCAATAATGGGCCAGATGTTGGGCCTGGATTTTAATGGGCCTAATAAAATTGGGCTTGAATTTGCATAATGGGCCGAACGGGACATGTCCCAAGGCACAACATTCGCATTCAACCTGGCCATAGCTTAGTAACTTGCTACAAGCCAAACGATGACGTTTTGCATAGTACCTAAACAGGTATAAAAGAAAGGAATTTATTTTGTTTTATTTAAAATAAAAATTTTTACAATCATAAATTACTATTTAATTTTAAAAACATGAGAAAACACTGTGAAAGTGAAAGATTAATATCAGAATATCATTATAATTATTAATCAATTAATTAAATTAAATTAGTTTTAAAAAAAATTAATTATTAATATTAAATTAAATTTAAAACAAACAAAACCCGCAAGATACCCAAAAAAACACATCAAGCTTCTTTCCATTGCTGCATACATCAATGCAAAGGAACAAGGGAGAAGTTAATTTTTTCAGAATCCAATTGAGCTCGCTCTCGTGACCCAGCCGAGTCAAGCTCGAGTTATTCCTGATTGAGATTGTCCAATCAATCTCTCAACTTCCGATCGCCGAATCCGATCGTGAGTTTTAATAGATAATTTAATGGTTAATCGCCATTTTGATTGGCTTTAATATCTCAATCAATGAGGGTCTGTGGTTTGAGAAGGTGATAGTTGTTTGTTAGGGCAATTAGTTCGTATTTTTTGAGCCCTCTTTCAAGTCGAAGAGGGGGTCTGGCCCCTTCTATTCTGCTTCTTCTTTTCTTTTCCCTTTTTTGGAATTTTGTTTTGAGGAGTTTTAAGTGATGCTGGACTTTAGGGAAGGTATGGTTAGGGTTTTGGGGTCAGGGTTAGGTTTTTAGTGTTGGTCCTTTGGGAGGTGTAGGGATGGAAGAGAATCCTGAGCTTGAGGAAGGCGAGGCTTTCCAGTACAAGGATGATGACGACAACAACATAGACCCTGAGATTGCTCTCTCTTACATTGTAAGGGTTCAATTTGATGTTGTTGCTTCAGTTTAGTTTTTTCAATGGTGATTGTGCTTAATTTTCTAACTTAAATCAATACATATTATTTAACTTAAAATTTGGAGTTTCTTTAATTGGCATTTATGCTAATTTCTAAATTTAATTAACAATTAATTGTAATAGGATTGAGTAATGGTTTGTCTTATGTAAATGTATTGGATAGTGAGTTTCGGTTCTGTTAATTATACTTTTGCTTGGATTTAATCACTAAAATTAAAGTTTGTTTGCATTCTGAAAAAAGATGGGGAAGGAAATTATGAGGTTTTGCATCTCTATCCTCTGAGAATCAAGCACAAGCCTTGTCATTTGGCCGAGAGTTATTATTGATACTTGAATTATGAAAATTTACTTTTTACATACACTTTTGGTATTGTTCTGTTCTTTCCAGTCATCTGGATGATAGACAGGACATGAAAAGCCTTTTCAGATTGCTTTTAGTTTGTAAATTTACATAGATCAGGTGCATCTTTTGTGGACTTTTATAAAGTCATTAGATTAGAAGGTATCTTTATACTGCAAGGTTATATTCAGTAATGGAAGAAGAAACTTCCCTCAGTCAAATATGTGGAGAACATGTTGCTGAAACTATTTGCTTCTTAGAATGATTTAATGCCTTGTGAGCTAGAATTTTGAAACAAATGGAGCTTTTCATTAGCCTAGCAATATCATCAATCATGTAACTGCTAAGAACATGGGTGGAAGGGCAGAACAGATGGAAAAGAAATTTTCACATTTGATTTTTGTAGGAAAATAGAAAGAACATAGACTGTGAAACAAATAGAAAATTTTACTGAAGTTATGCATTTCTATTACAATCAATTGAAGTATAAAGGTCTCTGTAATGATCCGTAACTGTTGATTTATTGGTCGTTAACAATGACGGATATTCCTTCTCCAATGTGAGCAATGGCTGTGCTCATTGTATCTATTGTGATTGTACCTCATACAAAAACTGCTGTTGTCCTTGTTTCTTTAAAAGCAAATTAATGTAGGCTTCTTTATGTTTCCTGAAGGATGAGAAGATTCAAAATGTGTTGGGTCATTTACAAAAGGATTTTGAGGGTGGGGTTTCCGCGGAGAATTTGGGTAAGTGATTCCTAAAGGAATTTTTCCATCAACCACAAATGACATGGTAAGCAGTTTTTGTTCTCTGAAAATGACGGTTATTTTTTTGTTAGGGGCTAAATTTGGTGGCTATGGCTCATTTTTGCCTACTTTTGAACGATCTCCACAACGAAACTCTGTTTGGCCACATCCAAAGACTCCACAAAGAAACTCTATAGCACTAAGATCTCCTAACAATTTGCCTGTGGAGGTATATGGAAAATTTCCCTCCTCTTTTTAATGATTTGGTAAAAATCTGATATATATGGTTGACATTTTGTCAGCTTGGGCAATTCTATTTTACTTGAGAAATGTGGATTATGTTACCATACAGGGTGCCTCCCAGTCCCAGAGTTTGAAAGTTCCCTCCGACATTGCCCCATCTGTGAAGGTTGGAACTGCTTCCTACAGTGCCAATGCATTTCACAAGCAAGGGCTGGCATCTGGGGATATTTCAGTCAAGCGAGATTCTAACATGTCTTCTGCCCTAGTTTCTCAGAAGTCCAATAAAAAGGTTGAAAATTTCAACAAATCAGGGAATTTGTCTGACCAAAGAACACTGAAGGTCAGGATAAAAGTGGGTCCTGATAGCGTGGTGCGAAAAAATGCTGCAATTTACAGTGGTCTTGGGCTTGATAACTCTCCATCATCATCATTGGGAAACAGTCCTAGGGAAAGTGATGGAATGATGCCTTCATCCCAACAGATTGCAAAGGAATCTCCCACTAGTATTCTTCAGGTAAAGGTTCTTTCTCCTTCTATATTTTGTTCATGGGCGTTGGATGAACATAGCGATATTGTCTTTATGAATTTCCTCTTTATAATATTTAATAATGATGATTGGATGAACTAAAAGATACCTGGCTAATTATGTCTTGAAACAGATGATGACTTCCTTCCCGGTCCCTGGAGGTGTCCTAATATCACCTCTTCATGACAGTCTACTTTACTTGATGAGAAAGGATAGATTCTCCAGAGACACCAGGACTGTGCCTCTCATCAAGTGTAGTCAAGACAATTTTGTTGCGAAGGCTGATGAGTCAGTTTATTTTATGGGTAATGGGAAACTGTTGAAGGGGAAGGAGGTGAAGTTTGATGGGAAGAGTGAAAGGGCAGTAGAAGTGAAAAATGGGAATGATACTTTTGAGAATTCCAAAGCATTTTCAGCCAAGAAAAAGAAAGAAAATGGTACTCCAGAGAGCAAGGATATGTTGTCTAACAAATTCCAGAGCATGCCTTTGCTAGGTACAGCAAATGATCATGAGACTCAGAAAGCAACTGGCAGGCCATTTGAAGTTCCCAGGGCACCTGATCAGGATGGGGTGAGAGATGGATTGTTTTCTTCTGACTTGATACAGGAAGACTCTTCAGAGTCCAGATCTTGCCAGGGTAGTGGCAAGAGTGAGAAGAGAAATGGTAGTAGTGGTTCGGTGGAAAAGTTTTCAGAACATAGAGCAGTAATTTTTGACAAGGATTCGTCAGTTAACTTGAGGGGTAATGCTACATCCAAGAATGGTAAAGCTTCTGTTCCTTCAAAAGGTTACTCTGATGTATCCAAATACAAGGACGACCTTAAAGTGGGAGCACAAGCTCCTCCAAAACAGAGGATTGGTCAGCAAGCTGCGTTTCATGTACAGGATGAAATCTCCGTGCCTTGTGTTAAGGAAAAGCGATTAAAGCAGGGCAAGAAGTCACATGGCAATGGAAATAGCAAAAGAGCACCTGCTATTCTAACAAAAGAAAGGTCAGGGATTGTTGTTAGTGGATCAACTAAAAATATGATGGGTGCTGCTCACAGAGTTCCTAAGAGTAAAGATAAGGCAAACAAGCTGAAGTTGCAGAAGGATATCAGTACGTCCAGACATAATCTTAGAGATCCTTTGGACTTAAAATTGGAAAAAAATAGTCAAATGGCTTTTCAGGAGGGACCTTCTGGTAGTTGGCGGAAGGAACCTACTGTAGATAATTTAGAAATGGAACACTATGCATCTCTTGATAGGTCGAGGGAAAGATTTAGGGGTAAAAGAGTTGGTAACCAGCCGATACCTGGGCCTTTTGCCAAAGATGTTGCATATGCAGGCACTTCAATTAGTGGAAATGGATTTTCTTCTCAAGTGGGCCCTTCAATAAGTGGAAATGGATTTTCTTCTCAAGCAATACCACCTGTTATGGATCCTATAATTGAACTAGAAAATTGGGTCTGTTGTGATAGCTGTCAGAAATGGCGGTTGTTACCCTATGGCACAAAGCCTGAGCAACTCCCTGAGAAGTGGCTATGTAGTATGCTGAACTGGCTGTAAGTTTTGTTTTTATTTTGCTTAAATATGAGTAGGAAATATAATTTTGTTTGCCTTTGGCTGCAAGATGATGCTTTGAGAGGAGATCATGCATTTCATTTTTCAATTATATCTTCAGGACTTATCAAAATTCAACAAAGCCTTGCTCCTTTCTTAATAAGTTTTGGGGAGATGAATATCAGTTAGTTCAATTTTTTTTTTTTTTTGGCTTAATGGAAAGATTTAGCATTTGATTCTTTTCACTTGAATTCTTCTTACCTACTGCGTATAATAAGTATTCTATCATTTTCATTCTTATAATAGCTCTGAAGAGTGGTCCAAGTGAAATAAATAAACTTGTTTGAAATTTTTCGCTTTGAAAAAAAATTGTGAATGTGGCAATACACACTTGATCCATATTGCACATATAAACATCTGTGTGCCTGATTTTATGCTTTTGTAAATTTGAAGGCATGGAATGAACCACTGTGACATTAGTGAGGAAGAGACAACGAAGGCTGTTCATGCATCGTATGCTGTGGGTCAAAGTCATATGCAAAATCATGCTAATGGGATCACTTCAGGAGTGAATGTCCAACATGTTGATCACAATTATCAAAGTCTTGATTCTCGTGCTGTGTCTTCACAAGGAAAGAAGAAGCATGGTCTGAAGGAAATAGCAAAGGCAGGTACAAATAGTGGCATTATCCAGTTGTCAAGCTCTGCAAAAAATCACTTGCAGGATTCTGTAAAAAGCAGAAACTTAAATGATATGAACCAGTTTCCTGCTGAAGTGAATGTAATTGACAAATCTAGTTTTCATCCTTCAAAATCAAATAACTTGGCTGCAGAACAGAAAGAGGATCATATTGTTAGAGGTAATACTTCATTTTAGGCTTATGTTTCTGTGTCTGTTCAACTTGTAGTTCCTAATGTGAACTTGTTTTCTAATGTCTATTAGCCGGTGACACCAAGCGAGCAAAGATGAAAAACAATGGGGAGGCCAATAATCACAGACATTGGACTTCTAAAAAAACCAAGAGAGAAGATGCATCTCATGCTCATAAGCATTCTAATTTGAATATGGACCATCGGAGGATGGATCTCAATTCAAAAGGTGATATGTCAACCAAGGCAAGTGGCAAAGACCTGCTAAAATCAAATGAGCACTCTTTTTTGGGGGATGTGCAATGTGATACTAATGAAAGATTACTAGTTTCTGTGAAAAATCTTGGGGATGTCACTCAGGTTTCATCAGATGGTGGATGCTTTGATATGAAAGCAAACGACAAAATGAATATTTCTATAAAGAAAAGGAAATTGAAGGAGTGGCAGGACAATCAGAAGGGCCTTGACAACAATTTGAATACAGAAGAAATTGGTGACAAAGGATTAACAAAGGAAAAGAAACTCAGGGTTTCAAAGAGTGGGGCTTCCAGTATGAATAACAATAATGATAATTTCGACAAAAAAGAGAAAGTGACTCGCATTATATCATTGGGAAGTCAAGATCATAAAATTGATGGTGTGGAAGCTTTAAGAAGTATGAAGAAGGATAAAAAACCCTGGAAACATAGAAAAAAATTTACATCTGAACAAACTATGGATGGTGTAGATTCATTAAGAAAGGATCTTGGACCTGGACAACTTTCAAGGACAGCCACGTCAAGCTCTTCAAAGGTTTCAGATTCTCTCAAAACAAGAGCAAACTTTGATGACTTGAAAGGCTCGCCAGTAGAATCAGTTTCCTCCTCTCCTCTGAGAACCTCATTTACAGAAAAACTTGGTTCAACCAGAGGAAACGTTCTAGGAAAAGGCGATGCTTCAAATGGAGGTCTTCCTATAATTGATGAACGTAGGAGATGCAGGCATGGGGAAGATGATGGTCAGATTAATCAATCTGGGACAGCAAGGAGGGAGAAAGTCTCTGGTGGCCCTCACCCTGACCACCTTAAAAATTTTCCATCAGATTACCAGAATGGAGGTGCTAATCACAAAATTGGTCAACCTAAATGCTCTGATTTGCTTAATGGTGCCACTGAAATCATGGAAAATCATCAGTTCTCCAGTGATCTGCCTTCTACTCAGAACTGCCGTGATGAGGCCAAAGCAGATAGGAAACACCATGAGAATGTGTTGTTCCAACAGAAATTTGGTAAAGGTTCATCTTTACGGTTGAAGCACAATGACAGGAATTCCACATCTGATTTTGATAGAGATGACAGTAAGTTTTCTGAACCAGTGAATGAACATTGTGAGTTTTCAAAGAAGAGCATAAGGTATGACTCAGAGATCGATCCAAGATCTCATGCACTGTGTAAAAGAATAAACAATGTTAAACACAGTATTCCTGAAAAGCCCAGCAGTAAGTCAAGTAAGGATGAGAAGATTCTTGTAAGCTCTATAGGATGCTCAAAAGACAACAGAATTGCAAATGATGATTCAGATGCACAAAGGAGTGCCAAACGCAGCAGGAAGTTGGATGCTGCTCCAAAGGAGAATCTGGTCCAGGATTTTGACAGTCAAACTAAGAGGAATACAATACAAAAAGAGTCAAGAAGCGGGACCCCAGATTTGTTTGCACATACTGAACGGGAGGCTAAACATGATAGTCAGAGTCACCAATCAGTGTCAGGCTCCCAGCAGGAAGAAGCATCTATTGGTTTTAGGGTTCATGCCTCTAGCAGCAATGAAATGTCAAAGGCATCAAGACACCCTGGAAATCCTGCGAACAAGAGTGGAGCTCACCAAAGTTTGGCTCATCGTGTGCTTGATATGAGAGAGGGCAGAGATCTTAATGCTCCAAGTCCTGGGGGAACAAATTCCTCCAGTCAATCTGCTTCTAATGCCCTGAAAGAAGCCAAAGATCTGAGAGACTATGCGGATCGTCTTAAGGTTTGTCGTCTGCTTGACTTCTTGTTGAATTTTTGAATTTCTTTTATAGGATTCATATGTTGTTGTGCCAGCAGGGGAAAAAAATCCGCTGTCTTTTGTTGTTGTAACTTTTGTAATGGTTTTATGATTTTTAGGTATCTGGCTTTGGTTTTGAAAGCAATGAAACAAACTTCCAAGCTGCTCGGAAGTTTCTTCATGGAGCTTCTCTTCTAGAAACTAGCAATGAGGTTGGCAGGCAGGTGGAGATGACTCAAATGCAAGTTTATAGTACAGCAGCTAAACTTAGTGAGTAAGTGAATATTTCTGACTTGTATGATTAAATCACTCTTATTAGACAAATGTGATAATTCTTTTATAAAATTTGGTGTAACTGTGACTTTGGAGGTATATCTCTCCCATCCTCCTTCCTCATATTTATCCTTGTCAGAATTCATTTTTCACATTGGTGATGAAAACTAATACCTCCAACTATGTTCAAGTTTTAGTTGAGCAAATAAGAAAATGTCTGAAAAATGAGGAACTGAAACATAAGTTGTCTCTTGATTCTCCCTCTCTCTCTTGGTGTTGGTAATTAGGAACTTGTCTTCTACTGATGGATTTTCTAAATCATATAGTTGGCATACTTTTATTTCTTAATAGTATCACTATTCTAATACTTTTCTGGCATACTTCTGTTTTTTTATGGGAATTATGTGTAGATGAATACTTGTTTGCTTATAAAAAGCTGTCTGATACAATTCTATTAGTTTTCAGTCATTTTGTTTTGAATTGCATTGCTGCTTCTTTCTTCAATATTGCTCATTTTTGCATGTAGTTCTTCAGTGGCCTTAGGCCTTGAGTTCTTGCCATAGCTGCATAACAACTTGCATTTCATCTGATACTCTTATGATTAATTCGACATCTTTTTGGCTGTTTTGATGCTTGGTTTTATGGTTAACAGAATATTCTTAAAAAGATCGAGATACCAATTTGGGAGAAATAAAGTGAAAGCAACTGTGGCAAAAATGCTTATGACAGTTGCGATAATAGGTGGCGATTTTGGATGTGTCAATTATATTGATGATTGAGAAATAATGGGGTAGTAATGTAATTGGGGTTTGAATGAGGATGGTTTTAGCTGCAGAATGGAGTACCAGTATTGTAATAGCGTGGTAATGATTATAGGGATGCTATTTATTGAAGGTGGAATTTTAATTTGATAATGAACAAATTATCTAGTTTTTATTCTTGGATTTTTCCCGTAGGCAAAATTATATATAGACAAAGCATGGAACTTTTATTTATGCGGTGATGTTTCTTGGAATCTGATTCGTTGGGTTTCAAAAACCTGAGACTCAGTTCTTTTGCACATTGTGGTGTACATGGTTGATATCTTTGTATTATTTAATCTACCTTTTTAGTTTTTTACTGTTTCCCAGTAAAAAGGAATGGAGTTTGATTAGATTAGAATGAGCCATGCTTTTGTATGGCATGCATATATAGTTGTGAACATCAAATTCATGTTTTAGCCTAGGACATTTTAGGTACACCAGTGGTTTCACGTGGTTTATATTTCCATGAAGTTCTAAAGGTTTTGTTCAGTACTTTTTGAGTTAATACTTTGTTGAAGGTTTTGTTTTTGTTTTGCAACTCCTGTGTGTTTGGCTATACATTTAACCTCTTTAATTTGCAGATGTTGTGCCTTGGAATATGAAAGACGTCATGAAATGGCCGCTGCTGCTTTGGCATATAAGTGTGTGGAAGTTGCATATTGGAGAGTAGTCTACTGCAAAAATTCTAGCTTAAGCCGAGATCGAAATGAGTTGCAAGCATGCGTACAAACTTTTTCCCAGGGTAATAAAATGAAGCCATGATACTTCTTGTATTATTTACTGTTGTTGAAATACTTCTTGTATTATTTACTTGACATGAGTGGAGCTGCCTTTTTAAGCAAACAAAGCCCAAAAATTCTTAGAATGTCTAATTTTTCCTTGGTTATTTTTCTTAAGAGTTTTTTTTTTTTTAAGCACCATTATTTGGATAGCAACCTGTGAATCCAAAAATTAATTTGTTCTTACTAAGTTTTCAATTAGTTTTGGGCTTATGTGCAGTCACCAGTCAAATCTTTTAGCTTTTATAATGATATCTGGTACAGATCAGGGGAAAATTGTAACTTCAAATGTTATTAGAAAATTGTGTTTTATATTATTTCTTTTAGGCAAGCAAACTTTGTAAGCATATATTATACTGATCTCAGGCCATTTTCTTTTGTGAGTGCTTGCACAGTAATCGACCATGCTAAAATGTGCATTGTGTGACAATGAATTTCTTGGATTATTATTCAGGTGAATCACCATCATCATCTGCATCAGACATTGATAACTTAAATAATCAAGCAACAATGGACAAGGCTGCTATATCCAAGGGCACATTTTCTCATATTGCTGGAAATCCGGTCATTGTTGCAAGAAAGCACCCAAATTTTCTTCGGCTGCTTGACTTTGTAAGTTCACTCATGCTGGTGTGCATTCTCTGTTTGCCTTAATTGATTTTGGTTGTTGGAGCCAATACTTCAAAACTGTTTCCTTCTTTTGTTCCTGTTTAGAAAATTTCTATTATAAATGCATTGGTTTAATGGTACATGTAATTGGATATATGCCTTGGTCAACTGGTTATTTAAAGATATCTGCTCGGATATGCGATGTTGAGAGTTAATGTTTTCTTGGAAAATAATAGCTCTCATCATCACTAGAACTTAGAATGACCTGCCTTTGGCAATATGAGGGGGTAATTTGTATTTTGTAATACAAATGTCTATGGTCCCTAGCTAAGGATCTACTTATGGGTCCCTGAGTGGGAACTTTAGGAATGCCTATAGAGAAAGTAAAACAATTATTTCTTTTTTGACCTACGGTTGCTAACTTTGGGCTCGTCAAAGAGAACTTGTAATCTCGAGTTTAAAGTACTCAAGAACTCTGATATTTTTCTTGTAAGTTCCCCATTCATCAAAGATCAAAGAAATAGTTCCATGGAGAAATAACTTCTCCTCCATCTTAGGGAACATAAATAAATGTGGCCACGACTGCCACATACTGCTAAGAACAGAGCCAAACTGTTTACTGAAAATAAAAATAAAAATAAATATAACAAAATGAAAATTAGAAATTCACAATCTGCTACCTTCGCATGCAACTGTGTGTACCTGTTGTAAACTAAATCATATAGTTTGACAACAGCAAACCTTTTTGGAGGTTTTCATGTTTATGCTTTGCCTTGCTATTCCATGGATATAGTCTGTGATTTTATGGTTATGGACTTGTCGGCTTTGTTTAAACTTCCATTCTCAAGAATGTATGTTACTAAACAATTAAGTTAGTGGTTGTCTATGTAGCACTAGATTTATAAAACATTAAACTGGCTGACTTATTAGTATATTAGAAGGGTGAAATTATTTATATTTGATTTTCTTGCAGATGCAAGATGTGAATTTTGCGGTGGAGGCTTCAAGAAAATCCCAGAATGCTTACTCAGCTGCTAATGCAGCTTTGGAAGAGGCAGAAAATAGTGATTGTATTGTATCTGTTAAGAAGGTAATTGATTTCAGCTTCCAAGATGTGGAGGAGCTCATACGACTGCTTCAGCATGCAATGGAGGCTATAACCCGTGCAGGTCTGGTTGGTGCTAGAGATTAACTCAACTCTGTATATACTGTGCCTTTGTCTGGTTTATTCCCCATAATGGATGCATGGCGTCAAGGAAAAGAAAGGAGAAGGTGCTGCCCATTTAGAGATGCAATTGGAAACCGGCAAAGATGCAGGTTGCCAGCAGCTCATACCTCTGTATATGTGTACAAAGTGAGATTGATTTGCTGATTTTGTAGTGTATTGTCTTTGACATGGATTAAGGCAAAGCAGGCTCACCCTCAAGGTTTTGGGTTTGGAAAAGAGGGATAAGAGATCTTTGTTCAGCAACAGAATTCGGAGGATATGTAACAAATCATTCTCTGTTATATATTATATAGCTATATATATGTTCTTTTTTGGCCCCATTCATTAGGAGCCTGAGGAAAGAAAATATCAAATAGAGACCGAAATTCGTTTAGGCAACCATTTTGAGGAGGTTGAATACTGATACAATGATGACTGATCAATTTTTATGAAGAGCATACCATTTTTACCATTTATGTAAACATTAATGGAATAGAAAATGAAATTCTTTGGAAGGTTCTCTTATCTTTCTAGAGTTCTCAAGCTTTAGATTTTGCTTTATTTGAGCCAGCATCACCTCTGTTTAACTGAATCTACAGGTATGTAATAAATTATGTTAATATTTTAGCATTCTCAGGAGAGTTCCTTTTTCCTGCTCTTTGTTTTTGAAGTTCCACTGTTATTAATTTTTTCCTCTGTAGCTTCTTCCGTCAGATGATTCAGTTTGATGTCCTCGCAATTGTTATTTTCTTTAAGTGAGAACAAAGAATAAAGGGTTCTGATCTCCTTGACCAAAGGTATGCATAGTTATTTTTATTTATGCGAGGACATTTTGAACCTTTACTTCCTTTCTCCCCCCTCGTGGGTTGTTGTCAGTTCACATTTATTATTTTTTGTTCAGCTTTAACAGCACAAGGATATCAGCTCATTGTACTTGAACAGACTACGCCGATGCTTGGCTAACAGAAGTTCAGCCTATTGCAGTTCATTGCTTGGCTGTTTCTGCAGAGAGATTTATGAGGTAAACTAGTGTACTTTCAGTTGTTTTGCTGTTAGATGGGGCCTCTCTCTTAGGATAGAAGCAATAAATAGCTTCTCTTTCCTTGTAGATTGTCCATCTGTCCTTTCCCATTTTCCATTATTTTGCTCGAGTTTTCTTATCAACAAGAAATTTGCTTATTTTCATATTTTTGTTTATAATTTAGCTTTCTTCTGCTTGATCGTGAAAATATTCTGGTAAACACAGAGCAAAGTGTCACGGGCCTAGAGTCTTGCGCAGCACAGCGCCCATGCGGCGCCCTGAGAGCCTGCTCACTTGGCAATACTTTGGCTCTGAGGCAAGCCTTGCCATACCGTACCACACTGGTTTCGCCCCGCGGCACAATACCCCACCTGCACGCAGACTTTGGATGGGATAAGGGCCACTAGGGTGTAACAACGACTTGATTGCTAAGCCGCCCCAACCCACACAGGTTGAAACACAGATTGGTACACTCCTTTATAATGACCTAACACGGTCACGGAATCTGTCCTCGACAAAAGGCTGTCTTTTTTTTTTTTTCCACAGTTAATGCTTGGAGTTGATTTTGCAGTATGATTTTGTTCTCCCCAAAACATTTTTGACCTGTTTAGAGGATTGAGATCAAATCGATGCTTTATTTGCATTACTTGTACGATATTTGTAGTTTTCGTGCTAGTTTCGATATTCCTTTCAGGTGTATTATAAGTTGGCGTTGTTAACCGGGGTTCTGAACACATGCTTGTGTTGCTAGTTGCAGGAAATCCATGGACAAGAAAAGTGAAGGAGTTGGAAAGATAAGGAAATAAAAGAAAATCAGTTCCATTTTATTTATTTGTTTGTAAAATCTCCAATATTTATATTTTTGGATTCAATTCTTTTTACCCTTTTAAAATTTAGGGGAATAAGATCATGTAAGAGAAAAAAAATGTATCAATTGACGGGATCGCCAAAATTCTCTTTCTCAAACTGTCAAATGGTAAATAGAAATTTGTTTGATATAAATGAATTTCATGAAATTTACAAATACACATTTTCATGTTTGAGTATAAATGACATTTATTATACTTGAATTAAATTTATCTTTATCGAAGTCGATAGAATCTGTCAATGGAATTCTAAACGAGAAGCAAAGCTAGCTGTATGTGATACATACTAATTAGCCTGAGGATAAGGTCGCCAGTTTCGAGAAACAGAATGTTACGAGGACCAAAATGACCAATCAATATCATGGGTGTATATGTAATGTGTGTTTATATTGCAAAAGCTTGGCAAAAGTTTCTTTTCTGGTTTTCATTTCAAATGAAGAGTGCAAGTGCTAACCATTAAACTGAAAGTTATCTTAATAATCAAATAATCACTGCCAAACACCATAAAAATAGTAAATTTGTAAGTAATATAATGCAATGATTGTCACCAAAAATCCATGCAAGAGCAAGATCCATTCTTAAAATGATGAAATCTATTAACATCTCTCACTACAATCTCTCTCTCTACAATTTCACTTATTAGTTTGAAAGCCTCGTGACAGTCTTTACACATTCTCAAGTTCTTCATCACTCTAATAGTGATTCCTTTGGGCATGCTTATCAATCCAAAGGCTAAGGCCAACCTCTCACTGTGCAGACCCACAATTTCCTCCTTGGCTTCTTGTTCCACATCAACAAATACTAATCCCATGCTTCCCCCCACATAACCCTTTTCTTTCATTCTCCTCTCCAAATCCTTTAGCAAACTCAACACTTCACTTCCTCTTTCAAACGATAGATCGCCTGCATAGAACACATAAGTTGAATCCTTATTCTCTACCCAGCTGCACCCAGGTTCCTTATAAACTCCAACACGCCTCATTTCGGACCGAAGACTATTGGCATTTTCCCACTCCCCAGCCAATGCATAAGTGTTTGATAATATGACATAAGCACCTGCTACTTGCTGATTGGATTCAATTAGCCATTTACTGGCTTCGACAGCTATATCTACTCGTCCCTGGAGCCTACTAGCCGACAAAAGCGTGCCCCACAAGAGAGCTCCTTCATCAGGGTTCACCCTAATAGATTTTGCTAACCGGTGAGCCTCGTCTAGACACCCAATTCGGCTGAGCATGTCAACAACACAAGTATAGTGCTTTGTATCAGGCATTATTCCATGTTTCTCGTACATGGAATTGAGATGTTTTAGCCCTTCGTCAACAAGTCCTGAGTGACTACATGCATGCAAAACTCCGACAAAAGTGATATCATTTGGTTTTATTCTTCTCTCAATCATCTCATCAAAGAACTGGAGAGAGAGTTTTCCAAGTCCATATTTTGCAGCACCGACAATCATCGATGTATATGGAATGACAGAAGGATCTGTAATTCTCCTAAAAACCTTATCCGAATAACTAAAACACCCACATTTGGCATACATGTCAACGAGTGCACTTGCAACCACATCATTTATCTCATGGCCACTGCGAATCACTGCCCCATGTGCAACTTTCCCTGAAACCAGCTTCCCCAAGCTTGCACAAGCATTGATCACACTAGCTAACATAAAATGGTTAGGACTTTCTCTCATCAAACTACTGAATTCTCTGAAAACTTGAAGTGCTTCGTGTCCTCTTGCATTCTGTGCATATGCTGCGACAAGTGAAGTCCAAGAAACAACATTCCTGTACTCCATCAAATCAAAAACCCGCCTAGCTCCATCAGGATCATTGCATTTCCCATACATATCAATCAATGAAGAACACACCACAAGATTTCCTTGAAAACCCAAAAGCTCAATATGGGTGTGGATTTTCTTGCCAGTTTCGAGGTCAGCGAGAATCGAACACGCATTAATCACAGTTGAAAAAGTGAAATCATTAGGTACTACTGAACTCTCAGGCATTTTCGTATATAACCAGAGAGCAAATTTGGGTTGACCCGTGTCGACATAGCCAGCTATAATCGAAGTCCATGATACGACATTAGGTTCAGGCATTTCGTCGAACAGCTGCTGCGCATGACCGGTTTTGTGGAGACGAATGTAGCAATTGATGAGATGATTGATGGTGAAGGTGTCAAACAAAAGCCCAGATTTGAATAGAGAACTATGCGTTGAGATAGCTGCATTGAAATGGTTGCAATTACGAAGCTTTTCAATGAAATTGGCTTTTGTATGATAATTTGACCGTTTCTTTTGGCGGGAAAGGTGTAAGGTTGTTAAGGAAAAAAGGCACTTTCCGTTAAACAGACGCTTCATTTATCAAAAGGGAAAGACTCAAAAGAGTCAAATACACAGGTTTTTGGTTTACAATTTTCATTAAAAGACAGGCGAGGGCAATATGGTAACCTGATATTTTATTAACTTCAACGGTTGAGTTAATTAAGAGGTGAGTTTACTAAGTTTAGATTTTCAAAATTTACAAATTTCGTGAAACACAAATGAAATATTTTTATGGGGACCAAATAGAAATTTGGTAATTAACTTGTGGAATTGGTTTGATTCGTCTTCATATTTCCATAAAAAATGTGAGAGCGTAAATTATTGAACCAAGTCGGTTTAATAAAAAGGAAGTTCGATTTTTGCTTTAAACTGTAATTTTAAGTTTTTTTTTTTTTTGCTCAGTTCAATTTTAAAAAACCAATTGAGAGAGAGCTTAAAATCGAACTAATCCAGTGAAAACTAATCGACTGAGCTTGTTATATTCATGTCGATTCACATATAAATTCAATTTAAACTGATTCTACCATATGAAACTTCGGTTTGTGGCTTGATTCAATTCTACTATATGAACTTGCAGGTTAAGGGTAGGCGTCCACAAATTTGGGTTAGAAGTTAAAGCTCAAAAAATGAGCCCATGGGGCACTCATCCCCTTTGAAGAAGCATGGTTTGGTGTATTTGCTCTATTGAGTTGTAGAATTCCTTTTTATATACATGCGAGCAAAGTCTGTCGAATCGAAGTAACATTATATACTGTTTAATAAAATTAATTTTTCTCTTTGAACAACTTTCACTAAATCGATAATAATATTTATAGTGAAAATCTCATATATTCTGTAAGACGCGAGAAAACTAATTAGATCATAACTAATTGGTTATAAATTGAATTTTTAATAAAAAATAAAATGGGTGGAAATCAAGATATATGATTAATAAAATTAGACTCGGTTTATACTTGAAGAAGCATGTTTGGTGTATTTGCTCTATTGAGTTGTAAGAATTCTTTTTATATACATGCGAGCAAAAGTCGGTCGAATCCGAAGTAACATATATACTGTTTAATAAAAATTAATTTTTCTCTTTGAACAACTTCACTAAATCGATAATAATATTATAGTGAAAAAAATCTCATATAATTCGTAGAGACCGCGAGAAAAACTACATTAGTTTTATCATAACTAAATTGGTTATAAATTGAATTTTTAATAAAAAATAAAATGGGTGGAAATCAGATATATGATTAATAAAATTTAAGACTCGGTTTATATATATATAAATATATATATATATATATATATATATATATATATAGTATATTATATATTGGCTTTTAGATACAATGAATTGAAAAGATAACAAATGAATGGGATTGAGAGTGACAGAGCATTACAAGCAAAAACAGTTAAACACAAAGAGCTAAGCAAAGGGGGGTTTTGTGGATAAACATGATCTAAGGACATTGCTTGGTTTGTCAAGACACATGTCATTAGAGGGATTTCCTTGTAATATTGGACCACATCCCTTTCTTTCTACCTCATTTTTCATTTATTCAATCTTTATTACACCTTTCTTGCTAATTCTTTTTTCAATTTTTGGTATTAATTTACCCAGTAATATGAGAAAATGGGTCGTATGACTTTGATAGAGCTCACAAAAATTAATGAAAAAAAAAAAAATCTAATTTAATCTCATATAAATAAAGCTCGTATTAAAATTATTTTATATTTTCAATGTAAGATTCAAGTCAGGTCTTATATTTTATTTTACGATTAAGATTATAATAATCGTTAAGAAATTTTTTTAATAAAAAAAAAAGGTTTATTGAAGTTGGAATGGTATGGAAGAACTTGGAGAACCATAAGGTAAAAAGAAAGGTGAGAATGGAGATAACGTTATGATCTTTTTCTTAAAGTTAATTCCTTTACAGACTCAGACTCAGAGCATGCGCATTTAGATTTGATAGCTTGACTTTTTTTGTTTCAATCCACTTCCTTCCTTACAAGATTGAATCCTAATCTTTTCTGTTTCAACTTTTCTCTTTTATTATATATATCTTTGTCGGACACAAGTATATAATTTGTTTATGATGCAATTTTTAATGTTTCAGCTAACCCATAAAAAAATTTATTTTTAGTGAGAAATTATGGCTCTTAGGCGTAACAAGATATTGTTCGCTTTGGATCGAAGTCAATCAGGCCCGCACGGTTTTATTCTTAAGCTAGAACCATCTCATAACCCAAAAAACCTTTTACTAGTCTAAGGCTTACCCATTCTTATATACATTACTTTTAGTGATGTATCTTATGCTTAGCGGATGTGAGATTCGTCTAAGGTAATCTAACATTTCAAGCTAGCTCCTCATCTGGGGCAGATGTTACGCTTCACCCCCCCATTAGAGACTCAACATGCTAGATGAGGTTTGCCCTACCACCAGCTAGAGGGACAAGGCTTGGGTCTTATACCAAGTCTGTCGCATCTTAGGCCTAACAAGATATTATCCGCTTTGGACCAAACTCACTCAAGCTCGCAAGATTTTTTTCTTGGGCTAGAACCACCTCATAGCCCAATTCAATATGTGATGAAATTGATTTGATTCAAAATGAACAATTCCTCTAGTGATTGGAGCCAGACATGACAATAATAGCCTATTTATAAACGAAAACACTTTTACCACAATTTGCATAAAATACAACCACAATGTAAAACGGGAAAAAAATTGTTATGTCTTTGAAGACCGTTAAACAATCTACTTGTTAAATTATAGGCCTCAATTGTTATGTCTTTCAAGAACGTCAAACAGTCTACTTGAATTATGATCCTTAGACCTCCTAGAGCTCTCTGGTCTGAAAGAGCCATAACCAGAAGATATAATAAAACACAAGAAAGAAAGGCAAAGTTCAGAGAATAATAGGACATATGAAACTACCTAACTAATTAGGACAATTTTCAAGGATGGCCCCTACCTACCCTTTAGTACTACTGACTGCTACCACTCACTTTGGGAGTCTTGTTACCAGAGACAATTATATATGTACCAGAACCCACTATTTCTTATCAGATTCCATTCTCTTTTCAGTTTTCACTTACATGACCTTCATAATCAAAAGAAACCAAAATATATAACTTTGATTCTCATCTTCATAATCATAAATCTTTCAGTACGAATTACTTATTATAAAACTGTCAAGAAATTTCTACTGTTAAAATTTACCATCCCCAGATTATTATATCCAACCCTTCTATGACCTTGCAATGTCGGGAGTATTGTTTTTATTCACTATTTTTTTTTTTTTTTGTCGTTTATGTTATAAATAAGAAACTGCTTTCAGCTAGACTTGTTATTTCTGCATTTATCGAAGCACTAAAAGATTCCTTGTGGAAGTAAAATTTTTATGAAAAAAAGTGCATATGATAGGGCCATTGCACCCTGTAAAAGCCACATTAAAAATACACAAACACAGTGTATGCTTTCTCCTGCTATAAAAATAGAGCTGTTATAAGCTTAAAACTACATAAGCAAGGGTAGTAGCCAGCCCCTCTTACATTCACTTGGGTTTATTTTTTGATTTTTTTTTTAAAAGTCTCTAAATTCTAGTTCCATGGCTCCTGTACCTAGTTTTCATATCAAAGCTGGTCATATTGATGATGTTCAAGAACTAAGAAAGGCTAGGCCAACAGCAATCCCTCATAGATTTGTTAGGGACATAGCAGAAAGGCCTATACTGGCTACACCTCTACCATCTGTCATTGATGTTCCCATTATTGATTTCTCAAAACTAATGAAGGGCCAAACTGAAATTTTCCAGCTTGCAAGAGCCTGTGAGGAGTGGGGATTTTTTCAGGTAAAACAAAATATATACAAGTAATATAAAGAAAATGGATTTTGAAGCTAAGTTGTGCATTTTTGATTAATTTTTTCAGGTGATTAACCATGGAATTGATTTGAGTTTGCTAGAGGACATAGAAGAAGTAGCTAAGGACTTTTTTATGCTACCTTTAGAGGAGAAACAGAAATATCCAATGGCACCAGGGACTGTTCAGGGATATGGACAAGCCTTCGTGTTTTCTGAGGAACAAAAGCTTGATTGGTGTAACATGTTTGCTCTAGGGATCGAACCCCACTTTATTAGGAACCCTAAATTATGGCCAACAAAGCCACCCAAGTTCAGGTAATCTTCTTGTACGATGATACCGTAGAGTTAGTTCTAAAGGCCATAACTTTTTTTACTGTTACAAGCTTTGACTACAGTATAGCAATAGACTCTTTTGTCTTCGGAGCTATAATGTCACGTGCTATTCTGCAGTGAAACTGTGAAGGTTTATTCAAGAGAAGTGAGGAAGTTATGTCAGAATCTGTTAAGGTACATAGCTTTGACCCTTGGGTTGAAAGAAAATGTTTTTGAGGAAATGTTTGGAGAAGCAGTGCAAGCAATCAGAATGAACTATTATCCACCATGTTCAAGACCAGACCTTGTTTTAGGGCTAAGTCCACATTCAGATGGAAGTGCTCTAACTGTGTTGCAGCAAGGAAAGGATAGCTCAGTAGGACTTCAAATCCTTAAAGACAATAAGTGGGTTCCTATTCAGCCAATTCCAAATGCATTAGTAATCAACATTGGTGACACTTTAGAAGTAAGAATCTTGAATTTTGATTTCTCTATAAATATTATATATAGCTAAGTCTTTCTTGATTGTACAGGTTCTAACAAATGGAAAATACAAGAGTGTGGAACATAGGGCAGTGACTCATAAGGAAAAAGACAGGCTTTCTATTGTCACTTTCTATGCTCCAAGCTATGAAGTAGAGCTTGGCCCAATGGAAGACCTGGTGGATGATAATAACCCCTGCAAGTATAGAAGATACAGTCATGGAGAGTACAATAAACACTATGTAACTAACAAGTTGCAGGGCAAAAAAACCCTAGAATTTGCCAAGATTAAAAGCAAAATATCTAGTTAAAAAGGGCCCCACTTGGTTCCTCATCTCGAGGCATTTAAATAGTTTCCATTAGATTTTTAACACACTGTTGTTAGTGTTTCAGTTTCTCTGTTGTGTAGAACATATATGCAAGGTTAAAATAACAGTGTTAAAAACCTATATTTGTATTAAGATACCAATTTTCTTGTCAAATAGATTTGTGAGGACTTTGATGAATAAGAAACTACAAAGTAGTAAGAGAAAACAAGAAACCGAACAGCATAAAATGCTACTTTTACTGTTTCTTTTGCATCAGGTTCCTATTAAGGAAAGAAGCTTGCAACCAAGTGGGGTAACTAAAACACCAGTACTAATATATATTTTATGAAAGAATGAAACTGAATGGACAAAATCTCTGGTCTTCCATTTTTTGAGGGAAAATAAGCTTTTTTGTTAGTGGCAAGAGAAAGAAAAGAGAGCCCACACCTTGTAAGTTGTTCATTATTATTGAAGTGAAGGAAGCACTAGGCAAGCAAGTTGTGATGGGATTTTGGTGATTCTAAGTTGAAATGACATTTCTTGGTGCTAATTAAAAACAAAAGCAATGCACAAAGAAGAGCTCTAGTTAGCATGCATGACATAACCCATTAGATGTGAGGTAAACAGGAGATATTAATTAAAACGATTGATAAAAACCAGCCACATGGTTCACAATAAGCTTTTTCAATGAGTAAAGAAACCTCGTTGGCAATGAAAAATGATGCAAATTGGAATGTTTTGACAATAAATCATTCACCCCATTTTAAAGAAAAACGATACTACCTTAGTAAGAGTGAATCACGTCTTGGGTTGAACTCAATCAACAAGAATACGAATCATAGAAATGTTGATGATGAGATCAACTTTATGAAAGAAAAGAAAAACTGTCCTATATCTTGAAATGAAAATAAAATTGGTTAAGAAATAAAACTCAATTTGTCTCCCTAAATTTATTCTTTAAAAAAAATAAGTTACAAAATCGATCTTTGGGTTGAATTCATATCCCCTCAACCTATAATTCATGTAGAATTAGCTCAAAAAGCCTCTAAATTTGCCCAATTTGTCGCACAATTCACCCAAATTAAGCATGCTTATGTCATTAGGCTTGAAAAAGCATTTAGAGATGAAAAATAAGAACGAGAAGCAAGAGGATGATGATGAAATCAAATTAGTGGTCCAAATAAAAAAGAAGAAAGACTTTACTACTCACCACATTAACTTAACAAGTGACGTGTGCTGGAAACAGAGGAAAATGGATTGGTTGTCTCCACTTCCATCAATCCCAAGTCCATGGGAAAAGAAAAGAATCTGCAAACCCATTTGCTCCTATAATGGCTCAACTTGAATAATTAATGTCCTTCCATACAAATCTAACACAACTCTGTAACCATGAAGTCATATTTAGACAAGAATTTAAAGAATGGACAACCCAATTAAATATTTATTAGTGTTTTCATAACAAGCTATCAGCATCGATCATTGTGGGATTTTCACTTTCTACATTTTCTTTTGGTCTTTTCAGTGGTGGGGAGAGAGTGAGCTCAGCGAATGGGGGCCCCAACCCCAAACTCAGAGCTTGGCAAATTCTAATCACAAGTTGCAACCCAAATTTATTATATAATAATAGCAATAATATTAAGTTGGAAAAGGACAAAGCGATTTCAAACTGTTTGGGTTTGCTTGTGGTTAGGGAATGCTAAGAGAACCGTTAATTTTGCTTTATCATTTCATTCCATTTAGCTCCACATTGCGGCAGATCTCTGAAAGACAGGTTCGGTTCAATCACGCACCACATTCACCCAATCCTATTCTAACACCACTGCACCACCTGTGTGTATCTTCTTCTTTGCTTTACAAAATGGGAAAAGAAAAAAAAATAAAATAAAAGTATATATATACAAGATATAAGGAATTTACAGAAAATTAAATTTGCAGATCTTAATGCTTCAAACCAATTTATTTCGTCTATAATTATTGAATTTATCCAGAAATTTCAGCAGTCACTGAAATGTAGCTACTCATATCAATTTTATAATATTATTAATGCCAAATTTTGGTAGAAATTTTACCAAACACCAAGTTGTACTTTTTATCTGACAGTAAAGAAAAGTCGCTATCATTTAAGTTTTACTTACGAAAGACTGATGTAATTCATTACAACCTTAAAAACAGCAGCTCCAAAAGTCCAATGAATGCTAAGCCATTGCGTTCAACAGAGTTACTCAAGTGTACTTGTTGAAAAAGAATATACAGAAATGCATAAGCAACGACGTCCACATTCAAAACCAAACCATTAACCTGATAGTTTTTAAAACTGGCAATCAAAACATAGTGCAAGTAAAATCCAATTACATTTTCTTCTCTTCTTCCAGAGGGGCGGTAAATAAACAATTAACAAAGAGGCACCAAGTGATGTGATGGGATTTGCAGCAATGAGAAGACGAGATACAAAATGGTCCTATTGGTGCTTGGGCCTCTTTATGGAATCAATTACAATTCTCCGGCTCGGGTGCACAATCTTACAGTTGTTGCTCATACCTGGCTCTGAAGGCAAAATGTACAAGCAGCCTCAGCTCCTGCTTCTAAGGAAACACCAAAAGCAGAGCATAATTAATGGCATTTATACATATTCTTGTGCTTCTTCAAATTGTCTACAGCCTCTCTTTCAATGCAAATTGCAGCAGCCACTGTCACCACTTCATTATTCATGGACAATAGACCAGGCCACCTTATGCCAAGTATCTGAACAAGTTAGGATTATCTTTGTCCCTTTCGAGATAATCTCGTGTAATCAGATCTTCAATCCGCTTTTTAATTGCCTTGAAATCAGGCTGAGAATTTCATAATCCAATTAAAAAATCAGAGTTGGAACAAAGGAAATAAATGAAACACAAAATCATCAAAGAGTAAACTGCCATATAAACCTTGAACATGCGACCCAACTGCTCAACACACTCCATAACCAGCTGTTGGTGACCCAAAACTTTCCGGCTCTTCATGATGCGTACGATTGAGGCATCAATAGCATACCGTCTATCCTTGTCGACATCTTCAATTACTTTCTTCTTCTCATCCACAGGAGGTAGAGGAATCTGCGAGTTGAAAAAAGCAAATTCATTCTCTCGTGTAATAGATAACAGGTAGTATCCAACAAGATATGTTTAGAAGCCTTCAGCACCTTGATCCTCCTCATCTTGTCAGTGAACTTGGAGTTGAATTCAAAGTGATCAGTAGGAGAGATTGTTTTTGTATTTGGCTCCTTGCTTAGAATCTTATACTTTGCACATGACAAAGAATGGAGCAGTCTAACAACATCATCATCAGTCAGGTTCAATTGAGTCATGATCTCTGAATAACTCAATCTATCAGAAGAGTTGAAAAGTAACAGTGCAGAAGCCTATTTGAAGGGGAAATTGATCAGCATTCAGCACTAAAGAAATTCAATGAAAACCCATCCCTTCGTATTTTAATGATTAACTTGATAAATAAAAGAGATTTAACTTTATTAGCACATTACCTGATAAGTAGTCACAATCAGCTCCATTGTTTTCGGTTCAAATTTTCCAATGAGGTTACAAGTACCCAGAGAGTATATCCAGGTAAGTTTTCTGTGCTTTGTTTTCGTTTGATAGAATTCCCTGAAAACTTCAACACACTTAACCTAAAGCAACATATAGCAGAAGAGATGTTAGTTACTCTACCAACATACTAACGTTCTGACTAAACTAGAATGAAACAAGAATACCATCTCTGCCGGAAGGTTCAAATCAAAAGACTTGTAACTTGGCCAGAAGCCTGTTGTCAAAACAGTAACTGTCAAGTCAATCCCTGGATTTGCATTAGGGTTATTGCTTAGATACTCCTCAAAACTGGTTTGGTTTTCCCTTGCTAATGTCAAATCGGTAACCTAGAAAGCAAAATTAATTTTGAGAAACATCAGTTGATATCATAATATCATGCATATACACATTTAAACTTTTGATCAGCAAAGGATGACAAAAGGCAACTGACCATCCCCTCCATCTTTGAGGTGAACTGACCACCACATTGTTGCTTCAGCTTTGTCAAAATGCTTCTCTCATGGTCATCATTAGCACTCTTATCAAAAAGAAGTCGCCGGGCAAGTTTTTTCCTGTTAATGACAGGCAAGAAAAAATAATCAGGGGAAAACTTTCCTGCAAATATATCCAATTAAAATGTCTATTAATGAGGAAACAACATTGCTTACCTATAAAACTCAGCAAATAAGTCTTTGTCACTAATATAAGCAAGCAGCTTCACCACCTGCATATCAATAATGAATTCAGTTAAAAAACTGAAATAGCATATACAACTCATCAGACACTGATGAAAGCTACCAGACCTTTTCCAACATTTCTTCAATGGCTTCATCACTTAATTTTTCACTCCCACCTTTCTTCAGGATATTATCACAGAAAGTCGCTAATAGCTCTGCACTAGAACTTCCAGCAACGCCCTTGTTACAAAAAACTTCAAAAGCCTCTTTCAGTGCCTGGGGAAGAACACAGAACATTCAAACAATATAGACCTGGAATTACATTATCTAACAATGTTACAAACAATAGTCTACCTTGTGGAAAAGAGTGTGGTTCTGGAAACAATCATTGACATATGCCAAGTATTTGTCATGCAGCTCAATAACCTTCCTAACAAAAAGCTGAAAACAACCAAATTCAGTACCCCACCAATTTAATAGCACATTCAACCTTCAGATGTAGAAATTAATAAATTCACCTGTTCTTGCACACCAACAATATCCTTTTTTTCTGCCTGTAAAAATGGAGGGAAAATCAATATAAAAATATTATCCTTGACAACAAAAGGCATCGGTTGAAGAATAGTTGAGAGTGTGTGCAACCATTTTGAGCAGATCAATCATTATTTCAAAAGATATAAGCCACATAATAGATAATCCAAACTCAGAAGAATCGGTCCAAATTCACTTGTTGAAACATGGATATGCATTTTATACGAAAGTCACTGCGACATACCCATGAGATCATGAGGTCAGAAAGGGGACTAACAGTAAAAGCATCATCAAAACAAGAGAAGGGAGAAGCAGCTATGCAAAATAATGTTCCATATAACTATTCATGCCACAATATTGCTGATCTGATCAACAAATTAAATTTATAACTAAACATAATGTTATTACTATCATAATATAATGAATCATACCAAGTTGAAAAGGAATACTTGAAAGTCAACAATCAGAACTACAGATCTTAGCACACAAAACAGCATAGAAATATCAACTGTAGAACATCATGTGAATAAGAGAAACCTTTTTATGTTATTTACGGGTGAGAGAAGGGATTGCTATAGTGGAGCCATATCACATAATCTGGCAAAACTAAGCAGTCATGATACAGACCTTCTTGTTGCTTGCTGCATCTTCAGCTTGTTTGACCAAAGCTGTGCCTTCAGCAGTAACATGCTGCAACATAGAACAGAAAATTTTCCAAGAACAATTTAGAACTTACAGCACATGCATCTCAGAACAACCACAACTAAAGAAATACTTGTTCAAGCATAACTACCTGCTTAAATATACTGGAAACAGGATCTAAGCCTCGAGGAATTTTGGAAAAGAGCCTGAACATTCGTGACAAATCCTCTACCTAAAACAGAATTTAGAAAATATAGAAGGAAACACCAACCATCAGCCAATTTATTCTGACCAGAAAAGTTTATTAAAATGTAAATGCGTAATCTACCTTGTCATCTCTAAGCAATGCATGGCATCCAGAGTGCTCCTTTTCAAGTAGTTGGTTTGCATATACAGACAGCAACTCATGTTGAACTTTCTGAGAAATTGGGGACAAACAAAGACACATGGTGTCACGATAGAAAGAGTGAAAATAAAAATGTACATTTTAAGTTGGGCCCGAAAATTTCCAAAGGAGATTCTTGGTCAAGGCCCATATTAGTTAATATTTTGCAGTCTTTTGGGTGGCACCATCATCGACTAATAAAATCAACTATTCAAAAAATTTGGAATACAAAAATAAACACTAACCTCCAACAGTTTCGGCTCACTGCTGGAATGCAAGTAGTGAGAAACCCTATCTTTTTCCCGTTTTAAACATTCCTCAGCCTGGAGTCACCAACAAGATACATTAGAAACCAATTAACATGGAACAAGATTCTATTTCAATGTGTTAAACAACAGCTAATTTACTTTTAACATATAATCTGGACAAGAATCTTCTAGAATCCAATTTGATGCCTTCCGAGAATAATAAGCAGCTGTGTCTTTAAGCATGGCTGCTTCAAAATCATTCTCATAATAATCCATCTGCCCCATCCCAATTTCGACAAATATATCCAAAACATTCTTTAATAAAGCACGATCAATCTGCTCTCCCTCACGCTCCTGGTCAATCTGTATTAAAACAATTATTTTTCATTAATTTCATGAAGGAAATATAAAGCAGAACGTACATTTAAGGCAAAGTGTACCATACCAAAGAAATTACAGCATCCCTCACTTTACCATTTAACTCCTGGTAGACCTGGAATTTATAAAAAAACGCGCACACCATAAATTTACAATATGATTTTCGAAAAGGCATACACAAAAGTGGGTGATAAAAGGAGTTCTTAACATTATGGTCCAAGAAGCAAGATGACTAGGGCAGGAAAAATGGCCTTCACAAATATAGATGGAAAATAAGATGACAGCAGGGATTCATTCATCACATACCAGGTCACGGAAGCATGTGAGTCCAACTTCATTAAGGGGTGGGAGTGACCTCCGAGCAATAAAGTATCGATCCAGGTAATGGAAGAAACGAGAAAGCCACCTAACCATAACTTTATGGTTTGCCCACCTTTTCACAAGCTCTCTCAACATAAACTCATCATGTTTTTCTCTCAAGGATGGCAAAACCTGAACCATAAAACTCATTGACAAAAATAATACAACCAACAGATAATATGCATCTGAATGATGAAAGTTTGAAAGAATGCACCATCCACACTATGGTGTAACCCAAGCCCAACAGGACCACCGATAGAGAACAATTAAGGGGGAAAATACAATCAACACAAGAATGGAGAAAATACAAGCCTTTTTCAATCCATGGTTTGAGTGATTAAAAAATTAAACCAGTTTGCAAGCATCCAAAAACAGTACAAATTTCTCATGGAGTGAACTTTAAAATAAAAAAAAAGCTAGCTGTATTGCAAAGAACTTAGGAAAGTTAACATTAACTTCAACATATTTATGACACATATAGCATTATGGGGTTAAGTGTTCATTAGATCCCATAGATGCTCAAATTTTTAGAAAAATAGGCAATAAAAAGATCCCAAATAAGTACATTTCATCCTAAATTTCATGCCATACAATAAGATATTTTGATTCAAAGCCACGAGCAAAATGCATGGACTACTAAACAGCTTGGAAGACTAAGACTCAGTTTAATTTTCCTCACCGTTGAAGTAATGTATTCTTCGAAAGACTCACGGTACTTGTCATACAGTTGTTGGGAGTAATCATGAGGAGGCTTCTGCGTACACATGTTGTAGATGGTACTATAGAGTAAATTAAGGATAATGGCAACCATAATAACAAAGTCAACAGCATTAGCAAATGAAACCAGAACATGGATTGATTAACGTGTACACACTAGCATAAATTGCAAGCAACATATCAAAGGATACGTATAGAGCATCATGTAGTCCTCGGAGCTGAACTGTGGCTCAGGCAATCCTTCCAGGATGTTCTTCAGCTTCGTAATCCCTTTTTGCATAAACTCCCATCCTTGCTCTAGGTCAATCGTCTTCCGCTCATTCATCGTCATATTGCCAAAACCTTAATTCCCAGACCCTCCAAACCAAAATCTGCAAACATCATGTACAAATCCTTTATTAGTAGCAACACAGCAACAAACTCACCATTCTTGCACAGACCACAACGACTAAGACATTAACTCATAAAGAACTTAGAAACCAATACTATTTACAACAAACTCAAACTCTAGTCCGAGTAAAGTAATTCCACGAACAGATATATAGAGCTGGACCTTATTGTCATCACAACAAAAACCCTAACTGTATCTAAAATACACAAAGTAAAAAACGACAAATGTCACTGTAAATTCCCCTCTTCTTGACCTAAAACGAAAAACTCGGCGTCTAAAACCCTAATTCACCATTCGGTACATGAGAAGCAAGAGACGAAACAATAATTAGAGAATACACTAAATCGAGTTTCAGGTCTTGATCAGAGTAGCTCCCCTAAATGATACTTGAAGGTTTCTTTCCTTCCGTTTTCCTACGATTTCTCAGTAACCAAACAAAGCAATTGCTCTAATCGGAGCTCGAAACCAGATGACGTTGACGAATTTGTCAAATATAGAAAAAAGCAATTCATCCAGGATGAAGAAACGATCAATAGAAAGAGATCAAGAGATGCGATTATAAAATCGAGTAACATATGTAAGTACCTCTATATATAAGAGAGAGAGAGAGAGAGAGAGAGAGAGAGAGAGAGAGAAGATAGAGACCTGATTCGAAGAAGAGAAGAAGAAAGGCTAGACAGTGTGGATGGAGAAGAAGGAAAACGAGGTCCGACAAAGCATTGATGGCGAAGAGGCTGTTGAGAAAGAAGATATGGCCATCTTCGGGTCTCGGATCCTCTATTATTCATTTCTCCCTCATTTTCTTTTTTTTAATTAAAAAAATACTAGTCGTAATATTAAAAAAAAAAGTTAAAATTGTAAATATTTTATTTTTTAGCGATTAAAACATTCAAGTCATTTAGACTTTTTTTTTTTTTAAGGATAAAAGTAAGGCAATAAAAAATTTAAAAAATAAAAAAGGAAAAATCAATTAAATGGATCTTTGTGTTTGAATAAAACGATTCATATATTTTTGTGGTTCAAATATTACTTAATTATAATTTTTTTAATACTTACCAAAACTCGTATTTGTTTTAGGTACTTATATACGTTGATCCATTATAAAAGGTTAATTAATAAGTTTAGATCTTGCATAATATTTATATTTCATGTCAATAAGTTATTTTAATTTGAATTGATTATCACCAAACCTTCCACTAATTAAATTTAATTTTTAATGATGAATGCCTCATTTTATAAAATTGATTGAGTTTTATAAAATTCTATAAGTTTAATTTGTAATTAATAGTAATTTAATTATAATCATTTGCTTAAAAATATAAATATTGGTCATAAATTTATATGATATAGGTAGTTGTAACATAAACCAGCTATTTTCTCTCTAGAAGTTACAATAACACTATAGTTAATTGAAAGTTTAAAAAAAAAAACAATGTAATTGATACTTTTAATAGGAAAAATATTTGCAATAAAACTTAAACTTATATAACCTCTCTGTCTAATTAAGACTCATCATTTCTTTTTTTTTTTTTATTTTACTCATTATTTTAGAAATTTAAGGAAGTATTAATATTTTATCGATTAAATTCAATTTTAAATGAACCTTATGACCGAGCCGAAAAATAATTGTGGATTCATCGAATCAAATCGGCCGAAGCATTTGGTCACCTTTAATTTTCAAATTATTGAATATAGGGAAAGAAAGCTGCAATCAAATTTATTGTTACTATATTTATAATTTTCATCCAATTTTGTACAGGCAGCTAATTAATCAGTCATAACCATTCTTAAGAGTCCAACTAAGACATGCACGGGATTTACCAAATTTCTTGTAAGAATGAGGATAAGTTTTTTACAAGTCATAGTGATACTTACAGCCACTGTCTGACAAGAACTTTTGGAAAAGAGGCTACCTAGGGAATGCCTTCTTCTATTTTGCCTCTCCCAAACTAGAAATTGTTGAATCAAACAATAGGAATTAAACTTGGAAATTTTCGAAAGGCATAAACAGTTCAAATCAAAACCAAGTAACTCTGTAAAAATGGATTTGCTTTCCCTGGTAGAAAATGATAAACAACCCACAAATGTCCTATGTGTCCAGAAAAAACCAGACAAAATCCTCGGGTTCCCGGGTTTAGAAACACTGCATCCAATCTAGAAACTTATTAGAACCAATCATATTAACATAATATGCAAACGCGGTTTCTATTATTTTATATATTGGTATGTTAGCAAAATAAACTAGCCTGTGAAATTTGAGTGATTCTAATCCATAACGTTCTTGAAAAAACAATGTCGGAGATGGAAGAACGAGGGACAGAGCAACGACAAGAGAGTGGCCCTGTTAAAAAAGAAAAAGACTTGTTCGATATGGAGGCCGGTGGAAGCAATAGCTCTTATAGAAACCATCAGGTAATTGGTTTCTTTAACTTACATGAAGTCAGAATATTTTATTTATGATTGTTTTGAGTTCGGAAATTCATTAATTTACAACTGTTGGGATTGTTTTGAGTTCGGAAATTCATTAATTTACAACTGTTGGTTATGCAGGTAGAAGATTGGAGAACTGTTTTGAAGCTTGCATTCCAATGCATAGGTGTAGTTTATGGCGATTTGGCTACTTCTCCACTGTATGTGTTTCCTGGGGTTTTCCAGAATGGGATAAAGCACAATGATGATCTTCTTGGTGTTTTATCTTTGATTTTTTACTCCATTATTGTCATCACTCTGATTAAGTATGTGTTTATCGTTATGTCTGCAGACAATAGTGGAGGTGGTAAGCTTCATACTGTAAATAATAACTTACCAAAAACCAAGCAAGACATATATATGTAAATGATCTTCTTAAATTTTAAATGATCTTCTTAAATTTTGTCACTTGCAGGAGGGACATTTGCTCTGTATTCTTTGATATGCCGACATGTCAGGGTGAGTTTGATACCAACTCAGCAGTCACAGGATACAGAAGCTTCCATCTATAACTCTGATGCATCAACAATGGCTTCATATCTAAAATCATGGCTAGAAAATAGCCATATAATGAAGTACGTTCTTCTGATCACAACCATGCTCGGTGTGTCCATGGTCCTTGGAGATGGAATTCTCACACCTTGCATATCTGGTAATTAAATATTGACCGATAAAAAGAGAGAAAAAAAAATGATCATCCCTGTCAAAATGAAGTTATAAAAGTATTTGAATTTGTGGGTGCAGTGCTATCGGCTGTGGGAGGTCTTAAATTGGCTGTACCTGGCCTTGAACAAGACGCAATAATGTGGATTTCAGTGGCGATTTTGATTGTCTTGTTTCAAATTCAAAGATTTGGAACACATAAAGTTGGGTACAGTTTTGCTCCAATTCTTGCACTATGGCTTGTTTTGATTGCATTTATTGGGGTTTTCAACTTCTTCAAGCATGACCCAAGCACAATCAAAGCTCTCAATCCGATATACATTATACAGTATTTTCAAAGGAATAAAAAGGATGCTTGGATTTCTCTTGGAGGTGTCATTTTATGCCTTACGGGTTCTGAAGCTCTGTTTGCTGATTTGGGTCATTTCAACATTCGCTCAATTCAACTGAGCAGTTGTGTTATACTGGTTCCCTCTGTATTGCTTGCCTATCTTGGCCAATGTTCCTATCTTCGCAAAAACAGTTCTCATGTTCCAAATGCATTTTATAGCTCAATACCAAGTCAGTATTATTTTCTCTTGTAGCTCACTAAACGTTCTCTTAGTACTCTGTTTCGTAATATTTTATTACTGGTAATTCAAACATTATGGATTTTGGTTTTTTTTTTAATACCAAGTCAGTATTATTTTCTCTTGTAGCTCACTAAACGTTCTCTTAGTACTCTGTTTCGTAATATTTTATTACTGGTAATTCAAACATTATGGATTTTGGTTTTTTTTTTTTTATTCATTATTAGAGTTTCTTTGGTGCAGAAACATTGTATTGGCCACAGCTTGTTCTAGCTATATCGGCAGCCATTATTGCTAGTCAATCATTAATCTCTGCTTCATTCTCTATCATCCAACAATCTGTAGAACTTGGTTGTTTCCCTCGAGTCAAGGTTGTTCATACATCTGCAGAATATGAGGGACAAGTTTATGTGCCGGAGATCGACACTGTTCTAATGATTGCTTGTGTAGGAGTCACTCTTGGCTTCAAAAACACTATTCAACTCAGCAATGCATATGGTAATTAATTAAGGATTAATTAATTACTAATTAATATATCTGTATGTACTAATTCTTTAATTTTCTTCTATCTGTATGTACTAATTCTTTAATTTTCTTCTTACAGGAATTGCTGTGACATTTGTTTTTGTAATTACATCTTCATTCCTCGTTCTTGTTATGGTTATGATATGGAATACAAATATAATTATCATAATCATCTACATATTAACCGTAGGTTTAATAGAGTTGTTGTATTTGAGTTCTTCACTGTACAAGTTTGCTGATGGAGGATATTTTCCTTTATGCTTAGCCTTTGTTCTGGTCTCTGTCATGTTCATATGGAATTATGGATATAGAAACAAATACATTTACGAGCTGGAAAATAATATTGGAGTTGAAAAACTTACTGATATAGTCTCAAATACAAGAATCCATCGAATGGATGGTCTTGGTTTATTCTATACTCAGCTTGTTCAAGGCATATCTCCTATATTCCCTCGTTATGTGTCAAGTATTCCAGCTTTACATTCAGTTCTTGTATTTGTTTCCATTAAGTTTCTGCATATTTCTTGTATTTGTTTCCATTAAGTTTCTGCATATTAGTAAAGTTCCTGCAGAAGAAAGGTTTCTGTTTCAAAGAGTAAAGCCAGGAGAATTAATATTTCGATGTGTTGTGAGATACGGATATGCAGATTCAAGAAAGGATCAAGAGGCTCTATTCGAGGAAATGTTTGCCAATCAGCTGAGGGAATTTATTCAAGAAGATAATAGCAATAATGGCGGAGAAGATATGCAGAGGGAAATGGCTTTGGTTGATAAAGCTTTAAGAGATGGTATTGTTTATTTGATGGGTGAAGGTGAAGTTGTGGCTGCAAATGGGTCTAGTTGGGTTAAGAAATTCACTATAGATTATCTCTACAACTGGTTAAGCTGGACTGTGAAACAACCTGATGAAGCTTTTCTGATTCCTCGCAAGCAATTACTCAAAGTAGGCATGGCATACGAGGTTTAGATTGTTCTGACCAGTCCTCAATCAAATGCCTTCTCCTGATAATAAATAAAATACTGTTTTTTGGCTCACAGGATTGAGAATCTTGCTGGTTACCAGTGAGTTATGGCAGAAGTATAAATTAGAATGTTTGCAGGATTGTAATCTTGGTGTTTTAACAGGCCCTTAATTAGTTACCGTATGTTATTGTTTCAATTTTCTTTCATTTATACAGAAATCGAATTGCAATTAAATAAACTAAGCTAGACAAGAAGTAGCATTTCGTACAAGAGACGATGAAACTAAGTCCAGCATGGCAGAAACAACTTACTAACCAATTTTAATTCATTTCTTTTACAGCTAGGCTAAGCAGTGAAAATTTGGACTCGTACGTAAAAATAAATAATATAACAATTTAAACTCGTATAGATTATTAATTCATTTAATTTAATAATATAACTGTTAAAATTGCCTTGGAATTCTAAGATTCACACTTTAAGTCTATATTGGTTGGCCACATGTTTTTCATGGTTAATACTAGTCTTTGAGTGGCTAAGGAAATTCAATGTTAGTTGGCTATGTTGGTGAGCTAACTTGGACTAGGATGACACATTTTCAACAATGGAAGGAAGACTTGAAGTTTGTTCACATCGTGATACACTTCTATATAAGGCAATCTTGCTTGGAGCAAAAGCGATTAATATCCAACCAAGAAAACGCGGTTTCTATAAATACACTTTACGTATGATTTATTTCAAATAAAAACACTCTCACATCTCACCACACTCTGCACACACTCTCACATCTTCTCTCATTTTCTTTTCATTTGTGTGTGTTGCTGCGTTAGGCTATAGCCTATTTACAGGCAAGTAATACTTAGTGGCCAAGAATGATTCTATGGCTAATATGTTGCCATTTTCTCCTCTAATGGCAAATTGCCAATTTCTCCACCAAAGGAATGTGACATCTGGCTTTATTTTATATTTATTATTATTATTATTATTATTTTACTTTAATTAGTGATGATCTTTAACATTATATATACTGTGCATATTTGCAAAACAAACAAGACTGAAATTTGGGTGATTTTGCTTCATAAAGTTTTCGTGTAAAACGATGGGAGAGGTAGAAGAAGTGCAAGAACTAGATGACAATCACCAACAAAACGGACAGGGGAAAGGCCTTATTAAAAAAGAAAAAGATTCATTCGATATGGAGGCTGGTGGAAGCAATAGCTCTTATAGAAATCGTCAGGTAATTGGTTTCTTTTAACTTACATGAACTCGGAATATTTTATCTATGATTTTTTTGAATTTTGGAAATTGATTAATACAAATGAACCCGGCTCGCAAGAAAGAAAGCAGCTTAAAACAAACAGTCAGAATTCGGTTTGAGTGTTCAAGTGAGAGTCACCTCCAATTGACAACTATTGGGTATGCAGGTAGCAGATTGGACAACTGTCTTGAAGCTTGCATTCCAATGCATCGGAATAGTTTATGGCGATTTGGGTACTTCTCCATTGTATGTGTTACCTGGAATTTTCCAGGATGGGATAAAGCACAGTGATGATCTTCTTGGTGTTTTATCTTTGATCGTTTACTCCATTGTTACTATCAGCTTGATTAAGTATGTGTTCATCGTTTTATCTGCAAACGACAATGGGGATGGTGAGCTTCATACTAAATAATTTAAACTAATAGTAATTTTATCAAGAACAAAGTAAAAAAGAATAACTGGTTCTATATATATATATATATGTATATATATATATATATGATCTTATTGAACGTCAATTGCAGGAGGGACCTTCGCGCTGTATTCTTTGATATGCAGACATGCGAGAGCGCTGTATTCTTTGATATGCAGACATGCGAGAGTGAGTTTGATACCAACTCAGCAGGCGGAGGATAAAGAAGTTTCCACTTACAAGTTCGATTTACCAAATCGGCGCAGTGTAAAAATGGCTTCATATGCAAAATCATGGCTAGAAAATAGGAATGTAATGAAGTATGTTCTTTTGTTGACAACAATAATTGGTGTGTCGATGCTCCTTGGAGATGGCATTCTTACACCTTGCATATCTGGTAACCAAAATATATTTTTATGTACATTTTCTAAATCATGACCATAATGTCAAAATAAAATCATAAAAAGGTTTGAATTTGTGGGTGCAGTACTATCGGCAGTGGGAGGTCTTAAAGTCGCTATACCTAGCCTTACAGACGATGCAATAATGTGGATTTCAGTGGTGATTTTGAGCCTTACAGAAGATACAATAATGTGGATTTCAGTGGTGATTTTGATTTTCTTATTCCAAATTCAAAGATTTGGAACACATAAAGTTGGGTATAGTTTCGCTCCAATTCTTGTACTATGGTTTCTTCTGATTGGAATTATTGGGATTTACAACTTCTTGAAGTACGATCCTAGTGTAATCAAAGCTCTTAATCCATGGTGTATTATACAGTATTTTCAAAGGAATAAAAAAGAAGCCTGGATTTCTCTTGGAGGTGTCGTTTTGTGCCTTACAGGTTCAGAAGCATTGTTTGCTGATTTGGGCCATTTCTGATTTGGGCCATTTCAATATTCGCTCAATACAATTAAGCAGTAGTGTTGTGCTGGTTCCCTCCGTATTGCTTGCTTATTTTGGCCAATGTTCCTATCTTCGCAAACATAATGCTGATTTTGCCTCCGCCTTTTATAGCTCAATTCCAAGTCAGTATTGTTTCCTTTCCTTTCTCACTGGACCTTCCTTGTTATTGTTATGTTATGGATTTTCATTGTTTGGTGCAGAAGCATTGTATTGGCCACAGTTTGTTCTAGCTATATTGGCGGCCATTATTGCTAGTCAATCATTAATCTCAGCTTCCTTCTCCATTGTCCAACAATCTCTAGCACTTGGTTGTTTCCCTCGAGTCAAGACAAGATTGTGCACACATTCTTCAAAATATTGAAGGGACAAAGTTTATGTGCCTAGGAATCAACACTCTTCTTAATGATTGCCTGTGTATTAGTCACTTTTGGCTTCAAAAACACTGTTCAAAATAGGCAAATGGCATTATGGGTAATTAGTTAAAGATATAATTTTGATTATTTAATTTAAGTTTAATATCTTGACATTGAACTATTCTTTAATTTTTATTTCTTACCAGGAATTGCTGTGACATATTGTTTTTCGTAATTACATCAGCATTACTTGTTCTCATTATGGGTTTATGGGGGGGGGGGGATATGAAGACAAATATAATTATCAATAATCTTCCTATAATATTAACAATTAGGTTAACAATTAGAGTTGCTATTTGAGTTCTACACTATACAAGTTGTCGATGGAGGATAACCTTCCTCTACTATTGCCTCGTTGTCGTTTCTCTTATTATGCTTCATATGGAATTATGGCTACAGGAAAAAAGTACATGTACGAGCTTGAAAAATAAGATTTTGGAGCAGAAAAGCGCTTACTGATATATCTCTAATACAAGGCATCCATCGGATTGAAGGTCTTGGTTTATTCTATACTTTTTCAGCTTGTTCAAGGAGGGGGTATATCTCCTATATTCCCTCTTAATGCTGTCAAGCGTTTTCAAAGCCTTTTACATTCAGTTCTTTGTATTTGTTTCCATTTAAGTTTTGCGATATTTAGCAAAGTTCCTGCAGAGGAAAAGGTTTCTGTTTCAAAGGAGAAAAGCCGGAGAATTAATATTTCCCCGATGGTGTTGTGAGATATGGGATATGCAGATGCAAGAAAGGCATCAGGGGGCTTTGAGTTCGAGCCAAATGTGGCCAATCAGTTGAGGGTATTTATTCAAGAAAGATAATAGCAATTAATTGATATGCAGAGGGAAATGGCTTGTTGATAAAGCCTTTAAGAGATGGCGGTCGTTTATTTGATGGCGAAAGGTGAAGTTATGGCTGCCAAATGAAGTCTAGTTGGTTTAAGAAATTTGATTGTGAAATGATCCTCTACAATTGGCTGAGCAGGAATGTTGAGACAACCTGATGAAGTTTTTCTTTAATTCCTCAGCAAGCAATTTACTTAAAGTAGGCATTCACTTACGCAGGTTTTAAGATGTTGAAAGTCAGGTTCAATTTCAATTGCCCTTTTACTGATATTAAAGTTGAGTTGGCGGCTCAGAAGTGTTATTTAGAACCATTTTTGCATATTTGTAATGGACAAATTAGATTCCAATAAACTTCTGAAACCATACTGCAGCGTTTCTAATCTTTCTGTGTTAGAGGCATTTGATTTCTGCTTTTTGGGGTCATGTTGTCATATTACAGCCAACAAAGTCTTGTTGGTATTGATATACTGGAGAAAGTGTTCTACTCCTTTTGAGATCATCTAGGTACAGAATGACCTTCCTCAAATAGCATTCATAAGAAAATTGTCTCATTTTCTTTTAGAAAAATGCTTAATTTGGCTTTGTTTTAATCTTCAAGGCATCTGATAAAATCTTCTCCTGAGAATAGCATTACGATCCTTCTCATTTGTTAACATTTTTTTCCCTTGGAACATGAAACTCCAGCGGGTGCAAAATGATTGAAGGCTTAGTGCGAAAAAATCATGGGTTATCTTTAATACATCATAGTTTTGTTGTAACTATAAATTAAATTATTTATTAATTAAATAAATAGTTAAAACTCATTTGTCAACCATAATAATTTGATTTTCATTCCAAAAAAACATCGATTTAAAAGGAAATATATTTCTATCAATATTCAATATAGGGGAAAAAAAATATTTCTATCAAATATTGAATTTAAAAATATTTCACATAATCTATAAAATTTTAGAAAATATCTACACATTTGTTTGGTACCATCAAAAACAAAATATTCTTTCCCGAAATCAATAATAAAGTTTACTCCTTGGCGGTGATGAAGGACTATTTGGCTTCTCTATGTTCCAATTTTTTTTTTTTTTTTTCTTTTCATGCATCGATTCTTTCCCATTTTCTTAACAACTCAAAAAAAGACCAACCCCAATTATATTTTAAATCGAAATTTTGTATTATTGTAATCGAATATAAGATCAAGATTGTGTAATATTTTTTGGTCATTTCCACTCTCACTAGTGGTTTGTGAAATCAAATCAGAAATTGCATATCCTCTTAAACTCGCTCAACCAAATCGCATAGTTCAGAGGATATTATATGATAACTATAAACGGATTGGGAGATTAATCAATAAATCTTTCATCATACAATTCAATTAAAACCCCATGTTCAGAAAAATATGAAAAATTCATAATATTGAATCTACCAGAAGTCTAATTGGCCATTTCTAGGACTAAAAGAAACACTTACCTTAACTAAGATTGGCCTTGAACTCTAGAAAAGCTATTCCTCTTATCAAAACTGGGTCAAACTTCAAATTGGAAGCGCTCGATTTTCTTCAGTTAATAGTATTATTATTGCTTACTGCTTCCCTTCTCTTGATTAAGCTCTATCTCCTTTCTATTTTCCCATATCTTTGTAAGTACCTTCTTAAAGGCTTCTGCATAGTCATCAAACCCCTAGAGCCCATAGCCCAAACAAATATCATCTTCCATTGACAGTCTTCCCTCTTACTTTTCGACACTTCCCAAGGCTTCACTTTCGGTCACAAAACTAATGAACTCAGAACACGCATTCTTTGTATAGTTTCTTTAGGCTTCTTTGAGGAATTTTGCTATTAGGCAGGCAAAATTTTTGCTTCATTAATCCTCCCGACGTTGGCTATTTGGCAACAACCGGTCTTGCTTTTTTGATCCCACCGTTCTTCACTTGAAACCACTAAGCTCCAACGTTTATTAGTCTACCATTTCTTGATGAAAATAACCTTAATTGCGTCCTCCTTAATCTCAACCTAATAACCTTCTTTCTTCCTTCTAGGTCAACCATCCATTTATATCAATATATATATATATGTTCACAATATTGTAAAAACCATGGTAAATTTATTCTTAGGTTTAATAATGCAAGTTAGTATATTGCCTATTCTGTTATCTTTTGAAATCAATTAACCATCTTGGTTTCTTGTGAAAAGAAACACCAAGCTCCTCTGCAGGAGGATGTGTTTCAAGTGAATCACGATTTGGAATTGCATTGGAGATGATTCTACTGAAGCCCAATCACCTTTTATGCACAGGGCTCTTGGTATAAGTGGATGCCTATAGAGATTCCTGCAAGCTGGCTTCCTCAGATCTGGAGATCAGTACCAGGTGAAATTCCACCTCTCTATGACAGAATCTGCCTATTCTCTTGCTCACAAGAGAAGGAAATGATTCCAATAATTGGTACTTCCCAAACGATTTTTTTTAGTGGATTGCCCATATCATTAATGCTGGATCAAGGAGGAAAGAGGAGAACCCCTAAAACAGGAACCACAAGGAATTTCCTGGTGATTTGAATGAGCTTGCCAATAGAAAAGGGAAACTAATTAAAAATTCGAAAGCATTGAGAGACACAGATTTTTTCCAGAGGTGATTTACAAGTTAAGACTGAGCCTAAGGACATCACACTAGCAGGTGGTTTAGAAGTCAGAAACCTGTAGCAGTTAGATATGCAGGGAAGAAAAGACGAATCAAATGGTTGTCCACAGCTATGAGGGCAAAGCGGCTATCGAATGGTTCCTGGTTCTTTTGGTTAGTATATGGAATGATTTGAGAGGAGGGCGAGTTTTCTTCGTGGTTTATACATTTTGGAAAAAATCTTATTCAAGTAAAGAAATTTGTTTGGGGAGCAAAATATGGGAAGATATACTTTCATTTTATATGGTAAAGTTTATAGGTCTAACAGATACTATTAAGGATGGTCAAAGACTTGCCGAAAAATAAGAAGGCCGAAAAATTAAATGATGGATATTGGCTGGGAGGCCAGGCCAGTGGCTCTGCTCCAAATCACATGACAGTACCTTGCCGGTGGACCTTGGCTCTTTCCTTTTGCGTGATTACTGGACCAGGCCTCCTTTCTCGTCTCCTTCATCATACATTTTGCCTGCCACGTGGAAGCCTCTTAATATTTTGATCGTTGGCCGGCTGAAGCCATACAAGCCAACAACTGTTCTATCATCAGAAATGGATAATCACCTATATGTCTCAGAAGCTGACATGGAGAATTCTCCTCTCTTTTACACTTTTTTGTTTTTTTTAATCGAAGAGGAGATAGAATTCAAAAGGAATTTTGAATGGGCGAAAATGTCATATCAATTTATTATTTTTTCCAAACATTGCACCCAACTAATATATATCTGATAAAACTATACTTGGACAAAATACAGCAGAGCTACCCACTCTTGCATTTCTGTCATCACTCTTTTACTTGAACCTTCGTTTCTTTTTTATTTTTGGAAAAAGAAAAAATCTAGTGGACGCAAATATTTCCAAATAGAATTTGAATCAGCAACTAACTATGCATGAAAACCAACCTTTTTGCTAAGCCATGCACCACGAAACCACTCCAAACACATTGTGCTTCAAAATAAAAACCCTTTACAAACCTTATTTTATACTTGTTATTTATCTTCCCTTTTGTTTTGGCAACATGTGGTAATTGTTTAGGTTTGTTTCTTTCTTTTAAGTACGAAAAAATAATATCATTTGGGATTTCGTGGCATCATAAATGTCTTTCTACCGGATTTGATTCGTTACCTTAAGAGGAACGCGGCTCTCATTTGAGCTGCTTTCTTATATATTTTTTATTTGTTAATAAAAGGAAAAGTAAATATAACTCTTTTCAAGTTTAACCCTTAATCTTTTTTTTAAGTGCAAAAAGGTACTATATCGTCCAGCCATTATTGTCTTGTATGGATAAGGCTCTTGTATATGAACACGTGTTCTAAAAAAGAGGAATTGAAATCACCACAGCAGTAGTTGAAGTTTATTACTTTTAGTTGTTACATTTGCCATAGTTCATTGAAACCCATCCTTTGTTTGAATGGGTTGGCCAA